ATATATATATATATATGTATATATATACCAGTTTGCTTTAATAGTCTTTGCATTGTACTTATAATTGTTACTTTAATCACTTTTTCCTTGATATATATTAATATTTTTATATTTTAATTTCTAACTTCTAAAAACCATCAATTTCAATAGATTGTTTGTCCAAGAGAAGAAATTAAGAAACGCAACAACTAAATTAAAAATAATATTAATATAATTAAAGGGCGTATAATTCTAATTATCTATATTCCAATCAATTAAAGAAAGAAAGTAAGATTTATTACAAATATCTCTCTCTTTTTTGCCCCATCCCTGCTAGATACATATTTTGAATATAATTTTTAAAAAAATATTATCTTCTTCTTTTTTTTTGTTTTGTACATCCAGATATAATTGAATCATTATTTTAGTTTGTTTGTCTTTTATTTGTTATTGCATTTATACTCAATAATAAAACAAAACTCCCCTATCCCCCCTCCTCCTCTTTTGCATAAACTAATATTACAGATAAATCATTATGTTATCTCGTGCTACTACTTTACGTGCGATCTCAAGATCCGCTTTAAGAGCTACTGCTACTAAAGCTATTGCTTTAAATACTACTAGGTTTGTTCAACCAATTAGATTTGCTTCTACTACTAAAGCTCAACCAACCGAAGTTTCTTCAATTTTGGAAGATAAAATTAAAGGTGTCTCTAATGAAGCAGCTTTAAATGAAACAGGTAGAGTCTTAGCCGTTGGTGATGGTATTGCTCGTGTCTTCGGTTTAAATAATATTCAAGCTGAAGAATTAGTTGAATTTTCTTCAGGTGTTAAAGGTATGGCTTTAAATTTAGAACCTAACCAAGTCGGTATTGTCTTATTTGGTTCTGATAGATTAGTTAAAGAAGGTGAAATTGTTAAGAGAACAGGTAAGATTGTTGATGTCCCTGTTGGTCCAGGTTTATTAGGTAGAGTTGTTGATGCTCTAGGTAATCCAATTGATGGTAAAGGCCCAATTAAATCAGTTGGTAATTCACGTGCTCAAGTGAAAGCTCCGGGTATTTTACCAAGAAGATCTGTTCATGAACCTGTTCAAACTGGTTTAAAAGCTGTTGATGCTTTAGTTCCAATTGGTAGAGGTCAAAGAGAATTGATTATTGGTGATCGTCAAACTGGTAAGACTGCTGTTGCTTTAGATACTATCTTAAATCAAAAGAGATGGAATGAAGGTGCTGATGAAAAGAAGAAATTGTATTGTGTTTATGTTGCTGTTGGTCAAAAGAGATCTACTGTCGCACAATTGGTTCAAACTCTAGAACAACATGATGCTTTGAAATATTCTATTATTGTTGCAGCCACTGCTTCTGAAGCTGCTCCTTTACAATATTTAGCACCTTTCACAGCTGCTTCGATTGGTGAATGGTTTAGAGATAATGGTAAACATTCTTTAATTGTTTATGACGATTTATCTAAACAAGCCGTCGCTTATAGACAATTGTCTCTATTGCTAAGACGTCCTCCAGGTAGAGAAGCTTACCCAGGTGATGTTTTCTACTTACATTCAAGACTATTAGAAAGAGCCGCTAAAATGTCCGAAAAGGAAGGTGGTGGTTCTATGACTGCTCTACCAATTATTGAAACTCAAGGTGGTGATGTCTCTGCTTATATTCCAACTAATGTTATTTCCATTACTGATGGTCAAATTTTCTTAGAAGCTGAATTATTTTATAAAGGTATTAGACCAGCTATCAATGTTGGTTTATCCGTTTCTCGTGTCGGTTCTGCCGCTCAAGTTAAAGCTTTAAAACAAGTTGCTGGTTCTTTGAAATTATTCTTAGCTCAATACAGAGAAGTTGCTGCTTTTGCACAATTTGGTTCCGATTTAGATGCTTCAACTAAACAAACTTTAGTTAGAGGTGAAAGATTAACTCAATTATTGAAACAAAGTCAATATTCTCCTTTATCTGCTGAAGAACAAGTCCCATTGATTTTTGCAGGTGTTAACGGTTATTTAGATACCGTTGAACTTTCAAGAGTTGCTGAATTTGAATCTAAATTTTTAGCTTATTTGAAATCTAATCATAATAATATTCTAGATGAAATTAGAACAAAGGGTGAATTGACTAAAGATTTGATGGCCACTTTGAAATCAGCTACTGAATCCTTCGTTGCTACTTTCTAAATTAATTGAGACCGCTTTTAAAAAAATTATTACTACGTGTTTTTACTTCCATTGGTAGAGAGATGTGTGTATCATTTTCTTTTTTTTTTTGCCTCTCATTTCATCACTTAAATCTTTGTTAATTTTTACTACTATTATCTATTCTTATTATTATCCCTAAAAGAGGACCCAAAACAATGAAAGTATTCATTAGTCTCATTCCCTTTATTAATCTGTCAAAGAAATATATAAAAAAAAAACATTTTAGAAAATTTCCATACAACAAAGAAGGAGAATACATAAAATAAAATAAAAAAAACATATAAATATATATATATATTTACTTCTAGCGCTGTATTAATTTTTATATATATTATTACTATCTTGTATACACCTTAAAATTATAACCCCATTTAGGTTTCTCTTAATTGCATACATCGATGTTCATTCAGCTTTCCCCTTCAGTATTGCTTTCTTATTTCCTTAATTTTCCAATTTTTTTATTTTTGACTCCGGTTACTCGAATTAAAAGTGTCACACTATTCTTTACATGGATAATAAGAAACTGAATCACCATTATTTTATTTGAAACAGAGTTTAATGAACCTAGATTTCAGGTATTTGACTTTTAAGATAATTAAGACACACAAAGGTAATATAACATGGGGGGAAGAAGCCACGAAGTGACAATAACTGAACAATTTGAAGGGAAAGTCGTCGTCGTAGGTGCCGGTTTGGTAGGTTGTCTTGCCGCTCTGGCATTAGCCCAAAGAGGTTACGATGTTACAGTGGCCGAATATCGTAATGATCCAAGATTAGAGGCAACTACTAATAGAAATTTGAGGTCTATCAACCTAGCTATCTCGGCCAGAGGAATTGAAGCATTGAAATATGTGGATGAAGAATTATGTGAAAGGGTTTTACATGATGTTGTTCCAATGAAAGGTAGAATGATCCATGATATTGATGGTAACCAAAAAGAATTATTGTATGGGATTGCAGGCGAACATATTAACTCTATTTCGAGGGCTAGTTTAAACTGTGATTTACTTGACGAATTAGATGCTGTATCGAATATCAATGTATGTTTTGGATATAAATTGGCAAAAGTAGAATGGGGTGATACAAAACAAGTTTGCTATTTTTCAGATGATAAAAACCCCATTACTGTTGATTTTATCGTTGGTGCAGATGGTTGTTTCTCCACTACGAGATCTCAAATGCAACGTAATTTGAGAATGAATTATAAACAAGAATATATTGATTGTTGTTATATTGAATTGTATTTACCACCAAAGAAAGATGGTAGTTTCGCTATGGCTAATGATGATTTACATATTTGGCCTCGTGGGAAATTCATGTTGATTGCACTTCCAAACGCTGATGGTTCATTTACTGTAACATTTTTTGCACCATGGTCCCAAGTGGATTTCTTAGTGAAATCAAAAAACGAGACAAAAAATTTCTTACAGAAATATTTCCCTGATGCAATGGATTTAATGGGGTTAGACTCTACGGCTGAAGAATTTATTAATAACCCAAAGGGACCATTGATGTGTGTCGAATGTTTACCTTATAATATGACGAACGGTTCAGGAATCCTAATTGGTGACGCTGCTCACTCCATGGTTCCATTCTACGGTCAAGGTATGAACTGTGGGTTTGAAGATGTCAAGATTCTGATGCAATTGTTAGACAAGTATCATGGTGATCGATCTGTAGCTTTCAATTCTTACACCGAGACAAGACATCAGGATCTCATTACCATCAACAAATTAGCTAGAGAAAATTACAAGGTGATGTCGGAAAGTGTCACTTCCGTTTGGTTCAATTTGTATAAAGGTGTCGATGAAACATTCTCAAGAGTATTAGGAAATTCTTGGTTAACTTTGTATACGATGATCTCTTTCAGAGCAGATATTTCATACTCTGATTCAGTCAGACGAGACAATAGACAACATAAAATAATTAAATGGCTGTCTATCTCGGGTCTAATGGTTGCTACTGCCGTTGCCTTGCGTCGTATATCCCAATGATATAGATATGTATTTCCCTTTTTCATAAATATTGTTTCAAATGACAGTAAAATTGATATAAAATTTGCATGTTTTATCTATCTTTATATTTTATTTTTGTTGGATTGTTCTTTTTCCGGAAAGCGATGCTGATACATTTTGATCTATTTGCAAAATGTAAACAAACAATATTAAGAAATTGAATTATATTTGAACAAAACATAAGTAATTGTGTTTACATATGGTTGATAAAAAGAAAATAGGACGCATATAAAGTCTGTTTGTAATAGTAATAGTAATAGTGAGGCAATATGGCGACACATTTGCGATTAGATAATGATGATGAGGAAGGTCTCTTTACAAACAAAACCACAATGATGGCAAATTTCGAGGAATGGATCAAAATGGCCACAGATAATAAGATTAATTCAAGTAACAGTTGGAATTTTGCATTAATTGATTACTTCTATGATTTAAATGTGTTGAAGGATTCAGAAAACAATATTAATTTCCAAAAGGCATCAGCTACTCTAGATGGTTGTGTGAAAATTTATTCATCAAGGGTTGATTCGGTTTCTAATGAAACTGGGAAACTACTTAGTGGGTTAGCTCAGAGGAAAGAGATTACTAAGAGAAATGTTGTTATTACAGAAAATGGTGAGCAAGTAAACGGAGAAGGAAATGGGGAAGGTGATGCAGATAATCACGTTGCAGGTGAAGATAGTGTGCAGATTGATCCATTGACTGGACTCCCGATTTCAGTGACGACGGATCTTGCTAGGAGGAGAGTTCATAATAGAATCCTTGAGACGACATTAGTGGATTTCGATACAATTAAATTAAAAGCATTGGATCAGGAATTGAATATTGATCCATTGTTTAAGAAAGCCTTAGTGGATTTCGATGAAGGTGGTGCAAAAAGTTTACTACTTAATACTTTGGATTTAGATGATTCTCTCCGAGTGGTGTTTGACGCTTCAATAAAGGAAGACAAACAAAAGAGCATCAGTTCATCAGAAGATCAACAAACGAACGATGACGTTCAGGATGAGATTATTGATAAGTCTGGCTCGATGATGGATAATAGTGTAATAGATAAAAGTAAATCACAGAATCTAGTTGGAGATGATACTAAGGACACGACATTTATAGTTGAAGACGAGGTATTAGCTCTTGGTATTGATTTTATTAAGTTTGATCAATTAGCCATAAGTGAAATATCGCCATCGATACAACAACTTAGAAATGTTGTTGAGGATATAAGTAAAGCTAAATCCTTTGTGAAAAATGTTAATAATAAACTAGACAATTTTCTCACTGAAGAAGAGATAAAAGATACTGTACCAGACGCATTCGATGGTATAGATGACAATATGGACTACTATGATGATGAAAATGGAGCAATAAATAGCAATGGAAATTTGAGTGCACGTAGACTTGATATGTCTAATATTGGTATGGATGAAGGTGAAGATGATGATGATAATGATGAGTTACAAGATAAAGCTAATGACAATACTACTATTCAACCCATTATGGAAAAAGATTTGATGGCATATTTTGATGATAACCTTAATAAGAATTGGAGAGGAAGAGAACATTGGAAAGTTCGTAGTTTTAAGAAGAAACTGTTACCGGAAGTGGAATTAAATGATGAAACAAACCCAGTTGCAGCTCAGAATTCTGCCACTACTGACGCTATTGCTCCTGATGGTGATAATAATGATGGAGATACCGTTACCCAAGAGACTTCCCAGAAGAAGAAGAAAAAGAAAACGGTTACCATTGATTTCTTTAACTTGGATGATAGTTTAGAGGATAATGTTTTTATTCAACCGAAAAAGAAATCTTCGATTGAAATGCCTCAGCGGTTAAGAATTAATGATACACATTATCTATTACCTGACGATTTCCATTTCTCTACTGAAAAGATTACAAAGTTATTTATTAAACAGAGACAGACCATGAGTTTATTTAGTTATACAAAACGGACCACAAGGACGGACTCATCATATATGCGTCGTGATACGTTTACTAGTGGCATTGGAACGGAACAACAGGAGGATGGTGAAGGTCATGGGCCAGAAATTGCAGATGAAGAGTTCTGGGCAGAAACATATAAGAGAAAGGAAGAAGAAGAAGAAGCTCGTGTAAATGGTAGCAATGGTGAGACAACCGAAGTTGTTGGTGCACGTCTTGAAAACCCATTTGATGATGGTGATGATAATGGTATTGATTTCAACCAAGCATTTGACGATGCAGAATATAATGATGATGAACAAGGTGATAACCAGCCAATACGTGAAGACTACATAAAGAAGAATGAGGATGAACTAAACGGTATGCCTCAGAAAGTTAACTATTCTCGTGTCTCTAAGAAAGTTGATGTAAGAAGATTAAAGAACAATGTTTGGAAATCTGTCCTATTGCTTGTCAATGAAAAGGACGCCGATGCAGGCATTGAACAACAATCAAACGAAATAATAACATTATCATTTAAAGATATTGCGAAGGAGTTGGTTAAGTTCTACCCCAAGGAACTTCTAAAGGATATTTCTACAAGTTTCTGCTTCATTTGCCTGTTACATTTATCAAATGAGCATGGTTTGACGATACAAAACACGGAAAAGTTTGAAGATTTGAAAGTGGAATACAACAAATCAACAATCCAGTTGAGTCAATGAAAAAGAGAAGTCTCATAAGTGAGCATATATATATATATATATATATAACTGTGTGTTTGTGTGTTCAGTTGTAACTTCGTTATACATTTTTCCGGGGTTTACTTACAATCTCCGGTATGCATTTAATATCAAATCTTTTACTATGATCATCTTTGTTTTCGTTTTTTGGAGTTTGGCGAGGATGACTAGTCTCGAATATAAATATAAGAAACCAAGTGTGTAAAGAGTACCAATACATAGTTTCTCATTTGGGGAATGTAGAAGGGTGTCTTTTTTATCCTTTGGGGTCATATAATAAGAGTGGTATACATATATATATTGCTTGCCATAATGTTCAAATTCGGTATATTGAGGGGAATCAATAGGGCAGTTATACTTCCAACAGCAGGGTTTACGCTTGGTGTGGCAACCTTTATTAAAGGGTGGCCCGATGAGTCTGATGCACTGACTCTCGAGGATCCCATAAAAGATGTTGCAAAAGTTCTAGGGAAATCAAAACAACCTCTGCATTTACAAAGATCTGATATTTTGTATAAAATATCAAAGTTACCATTATATAAAGAATTGATGGTTGATCCCGATGTGAAACACACATTCCAAAGTGAAGGGATCCCTCAAGGTCATAGATTTTATCATGTTGGCCAGGGTCAATTATTTGGACCTGGAAAATTAGAAATTGATCCTTTGGTATTCATGAATGAGAAAAAGGGAGAGATTGTAGTGTTCTATCATTTAGGTAAAGATCTAGCTAATGAAAGAGGTCAGATTCATAAGGGTGTTTTATCTTTATTGTTAGATGAAGGGTTGTGTTTTTGTGGATTTCCAAAACTTCCAAATAGGAGAGGTGTTACAGCAAAATTGAGTATTGAGTTTGCTAAGGAAATTCCTCAAGATAGTACTATAGTATTAAAAGCTCATGTGAGTGATTCAAAGGGCCGTAAATGTATCATTGATGGAAGTTTAGAATCCATACCACAACGTAATATATTCAATAAAATATTAAGGCAAGGCGGATCTGGTAATGGTACTATTTTTGTTAGATCCAAATGTATATTAGTTGAACCAAAATGGTTTAAGTATTTTTCATGGGTAAATCTATTTAATGAATAAATAGTAGAAAAAAATGTGTTTGATATATTCTTAAGAATGTGTATTAAAATTAAATAAATGAATAATGAAATTATACAAAAAAAAAAAAATTGAAATGGATGTAACTTAATTTGAAAGTTGAACATTTAAGAGAGATGGAAGATTATTAAAATTATGCACGAAAAGTGATTCTGTTTTTTTGAAAATGTAAAATAAGAAGTTAATGACGATAGAAGGAGAAAAAAAATATTTTTTTGATCATTCTAATCTTCTTCTCTTTAAATCATCAGGAACATCGCTATTTGGAGTTGCAATTGAACTTCCGCTTGATCTATTTTTTCTTTTCTTTGTCATCTTTCCTGTACCATCCAAATCAAATGCTAAATCATCAATTTGGAAACCTTGTTGATCTTGGAATTCGGATGGATATGATCTACCAAATTGTGATAATACATCCTGACAAAGATTCCAATCCATATTTGGTGCATTAAATAAAGAAGCATCTCTATTAATCATAGCATTATGATAATCTTGGTCAGTCATTTCAGGAGTTCGCGTTACTTGTGCTAACATATCTTGATTATTTTGAAACACGATATTGGCAATTTCTCCACCTTTCCCATTTTCTCTATTCGGTATTGTTGAAAATTTAGCAGATAAATCACTTATTTGATTCTTATAAGATTTCCGCAGTTTAACAGCTTTAGAACCATCTTTATTAGTTCTGGCCACTTGATTTGCTAAATCACTTAAGCCATATACTGACATTAAATCATCTAAAGGATTAGGTTGTTGTGGAGTATACGTCACTTCTGGATCAACGTAATAATAATATGAAGGTGTAGTTTCCATTTTGCTTGTGTGTGTGTGTATGTATGTGAATGTGTGTGAATGTGTAGTAGTATTTGATCAACAAAAAAATAATATATTAAATATAGCGAAAGAAGAAGACTAGCTTTTTAATTCGATTGGGTTAGTCTTTATATATAAATCGTTCACAATCAAATAATTGATGTGGGGTCTTTCTTTTAAAAAACGAAATTTATAATTTCTAGCAGATGTTCTAAATAAACCTATGATCAGGTAAATGTGTCCTTGATGCAATGGATAAGCTAATAAATAACGTAAACAAAACTTTAAAAACGTTTGGTTTCTTCTTCTCCTCAACGTAAATGTGGTTATAATAAAGAAAAGTGTCAGTCTTGTATTGTATTTTCAAGTTTTTTTAAAAATAAAATACGAAATTATAATACGTACATAGCAATTTATTAAAGGGCTACCACGGAAATTATATGTGAGGAGAAACAAAGTACGTTTTGCTTCATATGTGGGTGGTTCATTTCCCCTTTCTCCTCTAACCTTGGTACCACTTTGTTGAAAATATCATTTTGATGAGCTGAAAAATAAAAGAATATTGCCCGAAGTAAATGTCTCAATGCTCTACTCCCCCACGCCGCTGCTAAAGAAAGAAGACTGCACAAGTTTCTTTTTTTCCCATTTATTTTTCTGGTGAATTACGCATCGTAATATGTGATTTACCGTCAGGGCACAGCGTATTGCTTTTTTTTAGTTGTGTTGCCCCGTGCGCACCTTTCTTAGTTGAACCTGCTATTTCCGGATTAAAAAGCAATTAAACGAACTGGCTGTTTCTTTTTATTTCTGTTGGACGCGGCGGTCGTTCCGCGGTTTCTGTGCGGTGCGTGTTTCTCCGTGATTTTTCTCGCCACCCTTGCGGTATGAGCGATGTGACTGTTTTTCTGGGTTTCCAGCACCCGTACACCCACTTTTCTTTGGTTTCTGGAACATCTGGACATCCGCGCGAGGATTGATATTTTTTCCTTTAAATTTCAAAGTGAAAAATTTAACGGAGAAAATTAAAAATAATTTCTGTTATTTTTTTTTCTCGTTGTTTAATATGTAAATTGAGGAAGGAAGAAAGCTACAGCCCTCAATATTGAATACACAATAGTAGTAAATATACTACTAATACATAACAAACTTATAGGACCTTTAAAAGTAACATTTGTTGAATTATTCAATTACATTTTTTTAGTTCAGTGTACAAGAACAGTGATAATTAAGGTATGTTAAAAAGTGAATAAATGGGAGACACATGTTAGTCGTAATTATTAGTGATGAAGAGATAAAATGATATTTAGGTTCCATGCATATATAGCAATTTGATGAATTGTGATAAGATATGGATAAACAAGTTATTGCATTAATAGATACCAGGATATTGTTCCAATGAACAAGAAAAGAGGACAGATTGATACAGATATCTGAGGACGAAGGAAAATTTTACACCATAGTGAAATTATTTAAAAATTTTACGATCATCATTCATTTATTTTGAAAGACTTCAAATCCCATTACAATCGAGAAATCTTAAATTCAATCGTTTCTTTTATACTAACATTATAAATTGTGATATTATTATTTACAAAAATAATATTAAATACAATATTTTTAAAACAGAATAATGGCCTCCTCTTTACCACATCCAAAGATCGTTAAGAAGCACTCCAAGAAGTTTAAGAGACACCACTCTGACCGTTACCACAGAGTAGCTGAAAACTGGAGAAAGCAAAAGGGTATTGACTCTGTTGTTAGAAGAAGATTCAGAGGTAACATTGATGAACCAACTATCGGTTACGGTTCTAACAAGAAGACCAAGTTCTTGACTCCATCTGGTCACAAAGTTTTCCTTGTTGCTAACATCAAGGATCTAGAAACTTTGATGATGCACACTAAGACTTACGCTGCTGAAATTGCTCACAACGTCTCTTCCAAGAACAGAGTTGGTATTCTAGCTAGAGCTAAGGCTTTAGGTCTAAAGGTCACCAACCCTAAGGGCCGTTTGGCTCTAGAAGCTTAAATTTAAAATACTATTAAATTATTTTATTTGTATTCTAAAAAAAACAAGCTTTAATTCCATTCATAAACCCTACATATTAATTGCCTAAAAACAGATAAGGCATATGTATATTTATATATATATATCTGAATTTTAAAGAATATCGTCATTTCCAATAAATTTTAATTTGTTTTAGTTTTATTTTAATATATATTTTTTACCTAAAAAATATGTATATATATATATATATATATATATTTGTATGTGTATTATGTTATTTGTTGTTTTTAATAGTATAACCATGCTAGAAGGAAAATTACAATAGCAATTAACAATAAAATGTTAGAATTGCTGGTGGCAGAGTCTGTTGGTTGTCCCTTAGCTAAAGGAACATCATAATTAGCTACAGGAGTTGAAGCTTTTTCCTCAGTGGTTGATTTAACTGGGGTTTGTACAGGGACAGCCTTGACAGGTTCTGTAATTGGAGTAACAATATCTTTCTTAATGTCTGGGATAACTTGTTTGACTTGTTCAACAATAGGTTCCTTTTGTACTTCTGGTACAATTGGAGCAGAAGCAATAACAGCTGGTTGAGTAACAGCAGCAGCGGCAGTATCATCAACGATTGGAGCTTCAGTGAATTTAACTTTAATCTTCTTGGAGACCATATCCTTCTTGAATTCAGCTTCTAAACTACTCCAAAGTTCAGGAACACTCTTACCATCCAGATCATAAGGAGCTGGTAAAGTTAAGACAAGGAATTTATCCTTACATTTACTATCCTTGGGTGGTTCTTCAGCTAAACCTAAAAATATTATTTCTATCTTCATAGTTTCACCGGGGGAAACTTTCCCTGCTGTTGGTCTAACACAATATAATTTTGGAGCTGTTGTCTTAACTTTAAAAGCAAATACTTCATCACTATCATTAGTAATTTCAATATAATCTGTAGATTCTGCAGTTAATGGAGTAGTAAACGCTAGCGTTTCTGGTTCAATTTTAATAGTTGTCATAATTCTTGTAATTTGTGTATATATTTATATGTGAGTCTATAAGGAGTTCAATTGAGGAAGGGCAGAAAGTTTTTAGAAGAACAGAATCACCTTTTTATCTATATTTTAGGCTGGAGGGGTTAGGCTATATCTTTTGCTGAAACAGTTTAAATTTCCACAGTACTTTCCTGGATCTATTTTTTTTTTCTTTTGATTCAAATTACAACAAGTATAATGCAATCAATTGATCAATGCAAAGAGAAACTTCCTTTTTTATTCAATCAAATGATTTTTTAAAGTAAATTGATATATTTCGAATACTCCCTTTCCTCCTGTCTCTCAGTCTCTTTCTTCTTGCAGCAGCCTCGTAAGGCACCCAAATTACTAGCAGCCCTTGACCTCAGAAACTCCTTTGTTTACTTCCGAAACCTTTGCAGTGAGAAGCTTTACCTTTTGCTTCTTTAGAGATCAAAAATGATATTTCTGGGGGAGTCGAACGAGCAAAGAAATTCTTCCGTCAAAAAGAAAAAAAATCGACTGAAACTGGCCACCTTGTTCGTCGTGCGCCGTGATGTGCGGCGGAGGTGTGTCGTTTGGTACGGGTGTCACGTGTATATCACGTGTGTTGTGTGTCACGTGTATGGCACGTGACATTGGATGTGCGTGTGGGTGTGTATGAATATACAAGGATTACTACCTTTGGGTGTGTGTCTGGCAATAGCACCAGCAAGTCTGACATCGATTTAACTGGCGATCACAGAGCAGTGGGATAATGATAGAGTGTGGTTGTCGTTTAAATTACAGACAGTACAGCCTCTTTGTAAACGTTTTTTTATCTCGTTTGATACCGTCTCTGTACGGCCCTTTCTGGGCATTTTCCCACAACGCGACTATAAAATATCCAAAAAACCAAAATTGAAATTTCGTAAATCATGAAATTCTTGGAAGATTCAACCTTTACAGGATACAAATCTTGACATTTAAGCACAATAGAATCGTTCCAGAACACTTTAAATAGTGCTGTTTGAGAGCTGGTTCAAGTATAAATTAAAATAAAAGCTCAAAGTTATATCTGGATAATATTTACAACTGTAACTATGGCTGCTTCAAAGAAGTCCGGTGTTGTTACATTATTGCATACGGCATGCGGCGCAGGTATTTTGGCGATGCCCTATGGGTTTAGACCATTTGGTTGGTTTCCAGGTATATTCATACTCACACTATGTGGGTTATGTTCAACAATTGGTTTGTTGTTACAAGCAAGGGTCGCCCAATATGCAAAGAATCAAAATGCATCCTTTTTCAGTCTGGCTCAATTAATTAATCCAAATTTAAGTATAATGTTCGATTTAGCCATTGCAATTAAATGTTTTGGTGTTGGAATATCATATATCATTGTCGTTGGAGATCTGATCCCATTGATCTTATTTATCTTCACAAGAAATTCTTTACTATTAGATAGAAATTTTAATATTACCCTAATAATGGTCTTTGTTATTGCTCCTCTATGTTTCATGAAAAGATTAAATTCATTAAGATACGCGTCAATGGTAGCAATGTCATCAGTAGCTTATCTTTGTGTCCTAGTGCTTTTCCATTTCTTATTTCCATCAGATGATATTAAGAATTTGAAAGGTTCAGTCTCATATGGTTTCCCAACAGGAGAACCTTCACCGTTGACTACTTTGCCTATTTTCATCTTTGCTTATACTTGCCATCATAATATGTTTTCAGTAATTAATGAACAAAAAGATAATTCATTTAAAAATGTCAAATATATTGCTATGTCATCAATGTTATTAGCTTATATCCTTTATTTTTTAATTGGATCTGCGGGGTATCTTACATTTGGTGATAATATTGTAGGTAATGTTATAACATTATATCCAATATCTTTGTCTTCTACCATTGGGAGAGTGGCAATTGTACTATTGGTAACATTTGCATTTCCTTTACAATGTCATCCTGCTAGAGCCTCTATACATCATATTATACATTATTGGGAGCAAGCAAGGAAAACAGTCGATATTGAAGAAGATAATACTATTGACCTAGAGTCAAGAGAGTTAATAGTAGCCGAAGAAGAAACTTTACTGGCAGAAGAATTGGTCGTCGAAGAATCTGTTCAAGAACCTCAAGTGGTGCCATTGACAGGTAGGCGGTTTGTTATCATTACAACTTGTATACTTGTTGCATCCTATTTAGTGGCAATCCTTGTCTCAGAACTTGCTAGAGTGCTTTCTGTTGTTGGTGCTACTGGTTCTACTTCTATCTCATTCATTTTACCGGGAACTTTCGGTTATAAGTTGATTGGCTCAGAGCATAATGGTGACTCTAATGAAGAGTCACTCTCTAAATTTGATAAGTTTTTAAAATATGCTGCATTAGGGTTGATTATATGGGGTATATTTGTCATGATCACATCTTTATCAGCTACATTATTCTTAGGTGCATCTCATTGATGAAACCTAATTATAAGCTGTTATCTTTTTTTAAATTTCTGTCCATGAGTTGCTAGCTAGCATTTGATCTTCTTTGCATTACGATTATTATTTTTTTTTTATATGATTTTAAAATATTTCCTTATATTCTTAATTACATGGACAAATAGATATATATATATATATATACGAAATTATGATGTTTTACCTTTTTTTAATAATTTTTTGATAGTTTTTTCAGTTTTTTGAATGTCTTCTATTTTATAGAAAACATAATTCTTTTACAAAGAAAAAAAATACAATCATGTTACTCTTAAACTATGTAATTTCATTGCATCAATAGAATGGTGACCATCCCATATATATAATAGATAAATTTTCAGGATTAGTAGCATCCTGAATTAATCCTTCAATCGTAGCTTCCACTCTTAACCCATCTCCATTTAATTTCTCTTCTACACCTTTCAATGCTCTATTTGATTCTTGATTATCATTATTATCAACTACTTGTTTACCATCTTTATTATTAGTTCTTTGTTCAAGGTTAGGATTATCGTCCAGCTCAGTATCATCCTCCAAAAGATGTTTATGCTTTGTCACCGGTGAAATGACCCAAGAATATAATGGATCCCATTTCAAAACATTCAAGACACACATTACTTTTTCAGAGTCCTTCCTCAAAGCCGTATACACTCTTTCACAACTTCTTTTAAATAGTCCATCAACACCTGTGATACCAAATCCATCAATTATATCTCTTGTAAGTCTGAATGGTACTAGTTCAGGAATAGGTAATAATTTTCCTTGATCAAAGGCAATACCCAAGTCAATATGAATTGGTTCACCAGTTGAAGAATCAAGTAAAATATTATTTAAATGTCTATCCCCTAAACCAAGAATATAACCAACAATCGAAGTCGTGGCCATACCTCTGGTATAACATTTTTTAGCTTCAAACCATGCATTATAATCAATAAAATTTTCAAAGAAAAACATCCTTAATTGAGGTTCTATAATGGAAACTATTTTATTATATATTTTTAGTCTCTCTGGATTGGGTTTCGTCTGAACGGCCTTCATTTCCCTTCTTGCATCGTCGAATTTCAACTTATCATCCTTGTGGTACTCTTTTAATACCTGGTGTAAACTGACTGAATTATTTACAAACTCAATTATACCAGCTCTTGGGCCCAATGGAATAACTTTATACGTTCTGATTCTGAGTTTAGATTTTGAAAGTTCCTCATTTTGCATTAAAATATTATTAACCTGGGTAAAGACTTGCTCCATAATTGCATCCTGCCTCAAATCATCATTACTTCCTTTCATTAGTACCTGTTTTGTAACACCATTAGACATCTTGAACTTTACAATTTTCGGTAAAGAAATACCGGTTGAGGTGACATGAATATCTTCAGTAACAGATACAATATACGGACGGTTTTTCTTCCCATCCTCTGAACTGTGGATGGTAATATGGTCTGTTGGAAGTGGGATTTTATTCATTGGTAGTTTATTCAACCAGTAATCTCCTATTTTTAGACCTTTTAGGTTAATTACTTTAGATGCCTCCTTAATTCTAAAGCTCGCTAATTCGACAGACTTTTGACAGAACTCCTCAATTGGGAGGATATACTTACTATAATAATTACCAGAATCGAATGATTGCAAACTTTCAAAGATATTTTTAACAGCAGCAATCTTCCCAACTATATTCGCATTAGAGCCAATGGTGTAAATTTGATAAAGTTTAATGCTTATCGCAGAATAAATGGACTCGTATGGTAGTTTATAGAGTAATCTTTTCATTGTTAATTGTAACGGTTTTTGAAATGCTGAATCATCGTTGTTTAATTTGGACGATATTTGATTAACCCATGGTATAAATTTCCAACTTGGAATACTACTAATACTCTCCATTAATTTTTGATTAAGTGTGCTGTTGTCTGCATTTTCAAACCACAATGCACAAAATTTATCCATGACATCAGAATCATAAATATTTGTGGATATTAATGTTTTCATATAAAAATTTAGTGACTCGTATGTAAATTCGTCGCGTAATAGTTCCAATTCATTAAGTCTACCTTGATCTCTATCATATTGTAATTGAGCTTTGTAAATATGTCTCTTTGCAACCTTCCTCTCTTTTTCTGAAACAGTTTGATTTTGGGATATTAAGGTGAGTGTTTCTAAATTCTGTCTACTGATCTTACTCCTTTCTTGGAATTTTCCAATTTCTCCACTAGCTTGTAGTTTTTTAATTTGATTATTCAAGAAATCTCCAAATATACGAAACGTTCTTGCTCGAAGGTCACTTTCCTCCACCTGTATAGTTTTTCCACCAATATATTTTTTATATATTTCATTAGGGGATTCCATTCTGGATTCAGAGCACCACTTTACTAGATACCCCAGAACGATGCCATTTTCTACACTTAATAAATTAACAAGTGGTTTGAATTCTGAAATATCAGCTTCTATTTCAGGCTCCGATGTTCTTAATAAATCATTCATCATCATTATTGGTGTTTTATAGTCATCAGACTCCCACAATGTAATAGCAGATAAAAATGATATCAGACGAGAAGAAGCATGGCTAATGCTATCCTCTATCGGTGGACTTTGGGAAACCTTATTTAAAGATGTCAAAATAAAAGCATTTCGCAGTGAATCTTGCAATTTATGATTTTTAATAGAAAATTTCATTTGGTCTTTTAGTACGATAGTACGTGCAAGGTCCAAAGTAATTGGATTATAATGTGCCGATAATTTTACGTTCGCAAATATTGCAGATAAGAAATGATGTCTACTCTGTAGAAACATCCTCTGGTTATCTAAGTCTGCCGGGTTTGGGGTTGAATTCGAATATTTAGCAATTTTATTTAAGACATCTCCCAATTTCATTGGAATGTTTAAATTATCAACTATATCAATCAATTTACCTATTTCAGTAACAAGACCAAACCAGTCTTCAGAGTTTTTAAAATTGTTTTGAGCACCCATAATACGAATTAATGATTCCTCCAAAGCTAGATTTACAGAGCTATGCTCATTATTCACGAGTTTCAAGGTTGAATATAGTCCCTTAGAAATACTATCTACCTTTTCTGGGATTGGTAAATCCCAATTCCCAAGTTGAAAATTCCAGTCAAAGTTTTCATTAGATTCTTGTGATGGGTTTCCACTTTCGATCGACTTTGTAATACCATAAAATCCATTCTTTTCGGAAGTCATTTTCAACAGGGTTAAATCATCTGAGGTTCGTGATTTATAATTTGCATCAAAACTAGCATTTGAAAAAACAAAACTTTTCCATGGATTATAGTCCAATTTAATCGTAGAATTAAATGCCTCCATTAAAGAGTGTGCTGGGGGTAGGCCAGACTGGAAGTCCCTATCACCTAGACTGTCGTATACTTTTGATAAAAGTATTTGATCATTTTCAGTGTTTTTCTCCATATAAATTTCCTCGTATAGCATTAGACCTAAGGTTGGCATCTTAGCGTCGATAGCTAAGAAACACAATTGTGAAAGGTTCAATTTTTGAAATGCCTTCATGCAACATTTGTTTTGGAGTTTACAACCGTATCTTATAATCGAAACTGTCGAGAGAACTATTCTTAGTTTGGCTTCATAGTCGGTTACGTTGCTACTATTCATTACAGTAATAATTAGGGTAGGATACCATTCTATGAAACCTTTTGGATCATAGAACAAAGAAAGGATAAATAAACTGTTAAAAGTTTTTTGGCGATATTGATACGATTCTACAATCAACGGGTTGAATATTGTGATTATAGGAACCGTAAATGACATTGCTTGTAGTAACGCTGACATAAATGATGTCCGCCATAAGTCAGAGCTAAATTTTTCATATTTCTTTGAATCAAGTGCGAATTCATTAATATCTACGTGTGGCTCCCAATGAGGAGATATAATATCGTATATTAGTTCTTGTGTATTATTCAATTTATCTGGGAATTCTCTTAAATTAATTCTTGTAGTGTCGATAATACTACCTGACCCAATATTACACAACAAAAAATCAGATATGGTACGACTTAAAAGAAATGTTTTATTGCTGTCATTTTTAGAATCCAGATGTTTGTTAAAATTTAGGAAATCTTGATAAAAAATCAGTAATGGGTTAGAGCTTTTAAATATATTGGAACACTTCGGGATAATTGATGCTGCTTCAGCTGAGCTTGGGATAGAAATATTCTTATCTACCTTATATTTTATAAATAAAGCCTTTAAAAGGGTGAATCGTTTCGAAGAAAATGGACTATCTACATCAGTAGTTAATAATCTAAATAGACTGCGTTCTGATAATTCAAATTGAGATTTATTGAGATGAACTTTAGTATTATCACTTAACAATACAGATATTATCAGAAGGTCTTCGTCACAATAGAGTAGACCGTTCAGCACTTCACTTACGATATTATAGTCCAATTCTATTTCATTCCCATTAATGTATTCAATACACATTGACCATAACGGAAAACCATTTTGATCTGTAGATATAGAAATTTCATTTAATAAACTGGTGATTTCGGAGCCAAAATTCAGGTTAATGTGCAGTTTTAATCTAATGAATTGTAGAAATACTGTAGAAATCGATTTTTTACTATCTATTATGGTTCTCTGTTCATTGGTAAAGATTATTTGTAGTAGAGGAATGATATCAAATAGTAAATTTTTATCCATGATGTACTGGGCGATCTTTCGGATGATAGCATGATACCCAACACATTTGAATAAATTCTTCCCAAAATGGAAGAATATAACCTTTATTTCACGTAAGCATCTTAATTTCCCGATTACTTCGTCGGAATTTTCTAACTCAGTCAATTCAACCCATAGAAGTCGTTCGCAGATTTCTGATCGAACAAACTCCGAGTGATTAAAATATGCATTCATAAATTTCATACCAGAGATCAAATCAATGTGAAAGGGAAATTGGTATCGTATGGTTGATTTCTCATTTTTAATAATTTCATTCCATTTAATAATGTTTGGATAATATCGTTGAAGAGCGCTATTTACGTCATCGGGTCGACCGAGGTCTAATAATCGTAAAAATATTTTAAAGGTCAATAGCGAGTCCTTCTTTTCATACACTTGCATGTTCTTACCAAGTAACTGAAAACCTACATCAAATATTAGAGACCCAATATTATCTTCAACGAAGGCTAGTGGAATAGCTAAGAATAGACTCCTAGTTAATATATCGGCCTCATCTTTCGACCCATTTTTTAATAATCGATCTAAGACATCTTTACAATTAGATCCTGAGGACATGTAGATTGCGCCAATTTCTCTCGAATATTTTATATAAACATGATCGATATCAGAAAACCCAAATGCCGTTATATCCCATTGATATATAGAGGTTGAGTCACTCTTTGAAATTCCTTTTATCCAGTTTGACAACAATTCTAATTTACACATATCAAATAATTCTAAGGCTGTTTCCATTTTCCATGATTTGGTAATTAGATCAAAAGCATGATGAATAAAATATTCGACATGATAATATTGTTGATATGATAGCATATCTAGCAGGCATTGTACTAATATTGTGTACGATATTGAGGTCATGTGAATTAACGTCAGTGTATAACAAGCCGCTATTTCTATACTTTGTTGTGGGACACTAAATACTTTTATTATCTCTTTCAAGAATATATTTTGATTTTTATATGTGATGATCTTCATATATTCAATAATAGAGTTCTCGACACACATGATAGAATTAGTATCTAACCTTTGTAGACATTGAATAAGTACTTCGAATATTCGTTGTTTTGTACCCTTGTCTGTATTTTGGGAGAGTTTGGGGTAAGTAAGTATATTGAGAAATAGAAGAATTAAATGTCTCAATGCATAGGTTCCACTGAATGTTTGGTCTTCGAAACGCATTATCAACCAATTCAATATGTCATTACAGTCTGAATATATGTGACTAGACGGATCAGACAACCAATGCTCATCAACAATGAATAGATAGTCGCAGAGGCATTCTATGGTTGCATTCGAAGTGTTATATTGATTAGACAGTAGTTTTTGACCTACTAAAGATGTTAGTTTCTCTAATTCTGAGTTTCCAATATCCAGGGTTGATTTCTTATTGTTCTGGGATAGTTTAAAAAATAACCTAAGGCATGATATAATTAATTGGGGTGTTAGTTTGTTTAAATAGTCTAATAGAATAGAAAATCTATTTTCGGAATTGCTATCTAAAATAATATGTGTCAGTGCTTCAAATGAAAGTCGTAGTTCGAATGAATCGTATATTATTGCATACTCTTGTGGTAATGGTGTTCCAGTTCTTTTAATAGTTTTTTCAGGTGATGTTTTCTCGAAATCTCGATCATTATTGTCCTTGTTAGTATTTATTACTAAAAACTTGTCAGTAAAGAGATTGAAAATATGAGAATGGTCAAAAATTTCGTCAACTAGTGCCCAATCAAAATCTCCTCTAATTACTTCTTTAAAATACTGGAGATAAGTTTTATAAGATTTAAATTCAACAGAATACTTTGAAAGGTATAAAGTGTTTTTCAATGCGTATATAAAGTCCTCATAATCGGTGTTTGACTTGATGTACTTTCCTATCCTCAACAGAGTGAATGTCCATTTTAGTATTACATCAATTGAATATGTATCGTGTTTTTCAAGAATATCTAGAGCTTTGAACAGAATATCATTCACAGTCTTGTTATTTGATATGTTGCGAATCATTTGAATTGTTCTTTGACCATACTTTATTTGTTTCTCAGTTTGTGGTGGTTGAATTAAGAATTTCCTGTGCGGTCTACTTTCCTTCTCTATTATTATTCTATGGCCCCATGACAGATATTGTTCTGCATTTTCAATAGCCATGGTTTCAATTATATTGGGTCTATCATCAATATCAATGCCTGCCAACCATAACAAAAACAAATCTATCTCTTTTTGATTTTCTGAACTACTGAAAATTTGGTCCCAAGAGTTCATTAACCAAATCCTCACTCTATATTCACTTAATTTACCTTCTCTCGAACGGTACTCTGAAGCATAATGTTGAAGATATTGCCAAAATTCAAAGGACTCATTGCATACTAACGATGGACCATTTACATCAGAAAGGTCATAAAGATCAAATATTTGGTTCCTAAGAGTGGGATCTGCAACAATCTTATCAGAATATCTAATTATTTTTGATATCACAGAACAAGCCGGCCTGCAGTTGTTATGTTCTTTGATTAGTGGTAGACATAATTTTGTTATTTTGACAATATCTTCTTCTCTTAGTTGTAATGATGATTGGGTCAAAAGTGGTACTAGAGATATCGTACACCAAGTTATTAGGTCAGGATTTTCAAATCTTTGTAATAAAGTACTTTTGAATTCATTTAGACTTGATTCACGAATATTTGACATTGATGCTAAAAATGTGAATAGTTGAAGAGAGGTTAATTGAACCTTTGTAGAACTTGTTGATGAAAGACATTCAAGTAATAAAGATTCTATATTAACACAGTTGTTCAACGCAGTATTGAATTCATTTTCAGTCTTATTTCTTTTGAATAACGGAATTGAATTTGATAAATTTTGTTTTAGGTAGAAATACGCTTGTAGCAATTTAACTGATACCAAGGTGTTTATCCATGATTTGGGATTCTCTTCGGTATTCAATTTGATATCACAAAAATTAAGCCAATCAAGGTCGTTGATATTTATAGTTTTATTAAATATAATGCTTTGGGGGTCCAATGATTTAGGATTATAAGTGTTTAATCTTGTGCTTAAAGTTTGTTTAAAAAGATCTAAGAAGCTATTGTCATCAAATGTAGGTAAACTAACACCAACCATATTAGGTAATTTATGACAAATTAAATCTGTTGATAACAGATAATGATACATCAATTCGTCTTGAAGGGGCTCTACTGTACTATCATTAAAATTGATTGCATACTTCCATGTTTCTTGAATTATTGAAAAGCATACATTAATGTGGCTCATAAAAGTCTTTGCAAGTAATAGATTGACAATTTGTATAATTGTACGAGTATCAGTAGAAAGATACTCAACTGTCTTCAATAGGCGTAAAATTGTTCCATGTACAGATAGTGCACCATCGTATAATGCAATAGTATCGAGTTTTAAAAGGGATGCCACTATACTGATAAGATTTGATACTGTCCTATTCGATACAGAGATAGAAATTTGTTTATTTAAGCATAGACAAACTTTCTCCATTAGCGAAAACCATTGATGGGAGGTGAATTTTAATTGAAAAGGGCATGACTCAATAATATTCAATAATGCAAAAGTTAGATGCACTGATGCAGGTTCTACTAATGTTTGATCTCTGTCTTTAACCATCAATTCCGGTAATATAGCCAGGTGTAGGTTCAATGTCTTCAATTTGAATCTGTATCCAACTTTCTCAATGAAGAGTCTCAAGACATATGCAACTGTGGAGAGTCTATTCTCAGAAAGAGATAATTTGCTTGTATTTGATTTTGATCTATCATCTAACAAGTCATAGTATTTTCTATGTTCGAGGTCAAGTAGCTCAATCAATGATTCAGATGTTCCATGTAGGGCCTTTGACGGGATTCTGGATGGATCCTCTTTCAATACTGTGGTTAAGTCTTCCAAAGCAGCATTTCTTTCCTTTAACTTTGACGAGGAGAATGATGATAATATGGTTATTATATCTGTGTTATTCATAACATCGGACTGTGAACCTTTGGTATAACGTTACTTTTATATTTTGCAGTTGATCCTCGTACTTAATGAACCTTTAAAAGTGTCTTAAAACACAATTTTTTTAAGGTCTATCTCATCAACTTTTAAGCAATTATATATTCGGGATTAATTAACTGAGCGCTACAAGAAATAAGTAAACATGTTTAGGATTAAGTTATTCGATAGATTAAATTAAGACTTGGATACACAGTTTACAATGTATTTACCTTGTTTATAAATTCTTTCTACTAATAATGTATGATATTAAATGATGAATGATATATATATGTGTGTATATATATAATATGGAAAATTAAGCAAAATGATATTGCTAAAAGTTTAAGAAATGTCATAGAACATTTTTATAGTTTTTTCTGCTTATTAAAATGAGTGGAATTGAGAATAGATAGAGACAAAAGTTTCTGTTTACACAACAACACCGGAAGCAGAGGCAACTCTTGGCCATAGATCGGCACATTCCTTACCGACTGGACCAGTGATGGCGGAACCCTTCATTTCACCCTTTGGATTAGCAATAACACCGGCGTTATCTTCGAAGTATAAGTAGACACCATCCTTTCTTCTCCAGGACTTGGATTGACGAACAACGATAGCTGGCATAACCTTCTTTCTTAGTTCTGGCTTACCCTTCTTAACGGTAGCCATAACCATATCACCAAGAGAGGCAGCTGGTAGTCTGTTTAATCTAGAACCAGAACCTTTGACGGCGATGATGTATAGGTTTCTAGCACCACTGTTGTCAGCACAGTTCATGATGGCACCAGTTGGTAGACCTAACTATTTAAAAAAAATGGGTATTATGTCATTACTGCTATTACATGAAAGTGGGAAATAACAAATAAGAGAAGACATAAAAAAGTAATATGTTAGTAAAATTGGAACATAAAGGAGGCCAACCATTTGCACTTAATGATAAGTTCAAATGATACATGTAAAAAAAATGTGCACTATATATATGGTTCTTGATGATTTCATTTCTTGGGGTTTAGTTCAATATTTAATATTACTTCCAATGGTAAAACTTATAAATCATTGTAATTCAACACACACACACACACAACCTCTTGTATAAAAGAGATAAACACGTTTTCTTATTTTCATTTAATTAATGATTGTAACATACTGAAATTCTGAATTTTGTACCTTGAGCACCGTTACCAGACATTTTTACTTGGTTGTACTATTGTTTTATGGTATTCAACTTGATTTTGAATAAGGTACACTAAAAATAAATTAAACAATTAGAAAATCTTTATATATAGTTAAGAATACTACCAAGTAAGGTTTAATTACTTTTAATTAAATGTAATCTAATGGCATTGTACAAGCTTCAGTATGTATTGATCGAAACTAGAGAATACACAACCTTAGAGTAGCAGTAAAAGTCCATTGATCGATAATGAGGAAGGACAAAAGATAGAATTTTACAGCAACCCCCGTACAGTATGAGAGGGTCGATGATGAGAAAGGTACTTGAAACTCAGACAGTCAAAGAAAAAATTCAAATCCTTAGAACAATTTTTCACATCGAGAAAGGTTTAACTTTCTGTTACGATTCAAATTTCAGAAATTTTTCAAAATGAGAAAAACAAAACTACAAAGACAATCTGCAAGTTCTCTTCTCTCTCAGGCCTTTTCTGTGAAAAACAACCCAAAAAAGGAAAAAGTCAAAAACAAATTCAAAAAACAAAAATCAAAAAATCAAAAAAATATATGGGTGTACGGATGTTTTCTTAATTGTTGGAAAACAGTCACAAAACCAAAAATTACGTATGGGCTCATTTAGATCATGACATAACATGACTAATGGACCAACTCCGAGTATCTCTTGCTGTTGAAATATCTTTGGTATCATTGCTTGATTTATTATATCCACATCCACTCTGTAATTCTGATTTCTTCGCTGAGGATCGATGATTATCATTCTGAGATGATGTTGCATTAGCCAATGAAGTTGTTACCTCTTGCCTTCTTTCCATAAATTCTCTTCTATCCATTGAATCCCAATATTCTTCTGTTGGATTATCCATTTTATTTGAATTTGAATTTCCTGGATCAATAATCATATTACTATTTGAATAATCTGTTGGATCCATTGAATGTGATGCGTAATAAGCCAGTTCTAATTCATGTAATCTTAAAGCTTGTAAATCGATTAAATTAATACCATTTTCATTTTTAGCCCATCCATCACCACCTTTCACAATATCTTCTACACATTCTCTGGGACTTAATTCATTAGGTCTTGGATCCCAAGGTAAATGGAATGTCTTTGCATAGAGACTATCCACTAATGGATTCATAGAAGTTGAAATGGTTGAAAGACCCTTTGTTGTTGATGATTGACCCGATTTCAAAGTGAGAGGTCCCCCACCAATAATACCATCAGGTGTAAGTGGTGACATTCCGTTAGAAGAATGTGAACTTTTACGTGGTGAAGAACTTGATGTTGTACCACTTAAATCTGATGTTCCATGGGTATCTAATAAAGTCAATGGTTGTATTTTATTTTTAGAATTAGAACTGGGTCCGGAGCCATTCTTAATACTATTATTATTTGTAAAAATTGAATTCCCATTACCTAAATGCATTAAATTAAAATCAGTGTATGTACCACGGATTAATTTCATTTGTAAAGTTACATTAATAATTGAATTAACTTTTGAATTTTTTAAAAGAAATCGATTTGTAATAGGCATTTCATCCTCTCTAATATATTCTGTTAAGTTAATAATCACTCTCCCTAATTGTATCTTATTTGAGATTTTCTCTTGTAAATTATTCGTTACATTACCACCATTTCCATTACTATTAGTAGTACTTGTGGTTGTAGTAGGATTATTATCATTAATAAATTCAAAATAAATATCTAATACTAAATCCTTTCTATGTATATTTTTATTTCTGTCAACTTGTAATTTCAATTGAATTGGTCTATCTAATTTATAATTCCATTGAGCTCTATGATGTGTTACTTTTACTCTAGAGGTTAAACCTTTACTTTGATTCGATACTTTATATTGTTTATCATCACCAACTAAAGAAGTGGAATTTTTATTACTTCCCGTACCATCCCTAATATTCCATTTGACGTAACAATATCCTGAAGTTTGTGGAATATTAACTAATTCATTAACTTGTAAATAAAACAAAAATTTTGGACGTCTACTTTTACTTTGACTTGATAATAAACCAGACATGATTAACGTACGTACTATCTCTAACTCCTTTTTTAATAACCCTTCAAGTTAGTATAATAAACTTAAAATGACTATGTTATATGTGTATCTCAGTTTCTTCTTCCTCTCTTAATATTGCATAAGCCATTATTAGTAAACTTAAAAAAGGGCCCTTTATTTTATTTTTTTTGCCTTATTATTTTCAAATCTCAAATTCCATGAAATGAAGTCGTATATCTGGGAAAACAAAAATTACCACTCACAAACTGCAAGCCCTAACCTCCACAGACCATACAAACAAGGGTGTATACTATACAAACAGGGAATTAGGGCTACACCCCCGGACTTACCTACTTCAATTCCCGCCCGAAGCAAGGGAAACCAGTTTAATACGCGGTGTATGGGTGATGAATCCCGATGCTCAACAAAAAATTTAGAATAGCATACAGCACCCATACACTACACCAAACCCACAGCCACAATTTTTTTGTAAGGGGTGGGAAGTTCCTTTCTACGACCAATTTACAGGGAGCGCAACACGGGAATACAAAAATATATATACCAAATTTGGAAATAAAAATAAATTTTAAAAACGAAAAACTGACTTTTTCTCAAAAACAGACAAAATTGAGCGTACGGACTACCAAATTGGGTTTTAAACTTTTTATTCCTACTACACAAACTGAGGAGACATCATCAGTTGTTCGTTGGGCACAGAATAAATCTCCCGGACAGACGCGAAACATTCCTTGCACAGAGCACATGTCTCCTCTACAATACAACAGTACTACAATGTAAATCCAAGCACACATAAACTCAAAGTGTCTCTTACACATAGCTAAATTCGGTTAAACACCCAACAAAATCTATATATTATTTTTTCCCTTACATCAACATAAAAGGTCAATTGACCAACCAGGTTGCACCAGCTCATGCGTCTAACGAATATTCACGCACTCTTTTATACAAAGACACGATTCAATCAATATATATAGATATATATATGTGTGTGTGTGTCTGCACGGTTTGTCTGTGGGTATCTATCTATTGAATGCATTTTTTAAAAATAGACAAGTAATGGGGGGATGCATAGGCTGATGCAGAAAGGACAAATAAATATAGATTGATACGGAAATAGAGAGTGACACACACACACAGCCTATCTTTCTTCTTGCTCACTTCGGATCGAGAGAGTCCAGACTTTCTGCAAGTGATTATTTCGTGGTTGCTCTCTCGAACCATTTGTATGTGTGAATCCTCCCTTCCCATAAAATATTTATATATGTGTGCTTGCTATTTTTCCATGAATAAATTTCATTGTTTTGGAAGAATAAATCATGTAAAATACAATATGAAAAAATTTGTATTCTGTTTTTAATTCAATAGTTCTAAGATAGGGGTAGAGAAAAGGTCGCAGTTTCACCACCTTATTATTAGAACCTTGCTTTCTTTGTCAATAATTGATGAGGATAAAGGTCTTTTTCACTTTTGAAGTTTCATTAAATAATGAAAATCCATAATCGCGTTTTCGTGTGTGTACATCATGATTACATGTATTTTAATTTAATTTAATTTCATTTCATTTCATTTACTTGAGATTTTTCTTTTCCTCGTTACAACTGTATATATATATATATATTGGTCTGACTAACTTTCTTAGCCTTTAGATAATTTTTCTTTTTCATTCCTCAATTCTTATATTATTTAGTGTTTTTATTCTAATTCTTAAAATTATACTTTTCTTTCCCATATCTTTAACCACGAATAATACTTACTATCGTTAACAAAATGGTCTCAATTAAATCTTCTATTCTAGCCTCTACTGTCGTTGCTATCTCCGCCGTTAACGCCGCCGATGTCACTGCCGAACAAACAGCTGACCTATTAGTTATTATCAATGATATTGAAAGTCACGTATCTGACTACTTATCTCTAGAGACCTCTGGTTCTTCTGATTTCCAAGTGCCACCTGAAGTTCTATCCCTATATGCTCAAATAAATACTTACACTGACGAATCTTATACTTCTTTATTCACTGAATTAGATGTTGCCGCTTTAACTGCTACTATTACTAACTTACCATGGTACTCAACTAGATTACTACCAGCTTTACAAAGAGCTAATGCTGGTGCCTCTAGTAACGAAACTGAATCTTCTTCTGTTGCTGTCTCTGAATCTGCTTCCGCTTCCGCTTCCGTATCTGAATCTGTCTCTGCTTCCATCACTGCTTCAAGTAATATCACCATCGAAGAAACCTCCTCTGTCTCTCAAGCTAGAAACAGTTCTTCCATTACTCACGTATCTTCTTCTGCTTCTCACTCTTCTACAAAGGAATCCTCAAAGAACTCCACTTCTACTTCTCACAGCGGTAACTCTACTAGTTCTAAGACCTCTTCATCTGCAAAGAACGGTGCTGAATACGTTGGTGCTTCTTCAGGTTTGTTATTCGCTGGTCTGGCCGCTCTTCTATTGTAATTTTAAACAAGTATATCTAGATCTAGATCTATATCTATAATTTTTCTTTTGTACTTCCGTTTTAATACTTTATTATGATCATCTTTAAATAAGAGTTATATTTCAGTTACACATATTTTATATAGGTATTGTTTGTAAGAATATTCTCTCTATTGGTACTTATGAGCGAGAGTAGAAATAGATATACCCATTTTGACGTATCTCTTGAGTATCCTGTGCTAAGACAATCTTTTCGTCATTATATAATACCCATTGTTCTCCAGGCATGTCAGGGACAGATTTTCTAATAAATGCAACATAATGTCCAGAATGAACGGAATTACCTTTATGACAAACAACTCCTCTCAATTTATAACGTGGTGGTTCGGTATAACCATATTCTTTAACCTCATTATTGTTACCATCAATGTTAGTGGTGGTACTTATTTCATCAATTTCTCCATCGTCGTCCATGTTATTGAATACCCATTCAATACTACGATTGACATCTCCTTGGTTCAATAATAATGCTTTCTTGGACAATTTGCCGTCTAAGCCCATGGCTAACATACTATCTAATACATTAGAGTCGACTTCATTGTTCTTTTGTTTGTCTTCTTCTGGTGGTTGTTCAAATGGATCATTCAAATCGGCGTCGTCAACATGTTGGAATAACCAATTCATAGCGGATTCAGTATTTCCAGGTTGATTCCCAGTTGCATATATTGCTCTCATACTGGCATTTTCACTAAAACCCATTTCTTTCAATTGTGACATTGTTTCAATATTAGGTTTAAATCCCGATGTCTCGTTATCTTCCATCAATTGTTCTTTATCCGAATCGAACCCATGCGCTTTCCATTGACTCATATCTAAGGTTTCTTCAGGATCGTCGACACCTGGTAATACTAGCTCATTACTGGTCTTTACAGGTGTCCAATTAACCAATTTAATTCTGATCGGATTTAATACTAATGTGTCAGGGAAGGTCTTCATACGAGCTTGTTTTGTGGCAACATTACCCATATCCGAATGACAAGATGGACAATTAAATTCAATAGTCTCATTTGCAAAAAAATCTGACAACCGTTCCTTTATATCTTGTATGTCATCGTTCTCTAATAAAGGTAATTGTAATGCTTCTGCTGTGTTATACGAATATTTAACTTTATGGCACGTTTGACATTGTAACTTATCTTCCATTGTGAATCTGATTAAGTCACTTGGATTATTATTAATATCATCAGCAGTAGGAAACCTCTTATCGAAATATTTTTTATCTAATTGTGTAATCAGATATGTTAAAAATTCCATTGCGTCCTGTTGTCTATTCGAACTAAATTCCTCATGGTTACCACCAATACACTTCTTAAACGTACGAGGTTTAATTCCTTGTGGGTATTGGTCAGGGGTCATTTTCAATGCATTTGTTAATTTAATTAATTGGCATTTCAAATTATTGCTAGGATAAACTACGTCCATTGGGAATTCGACACCGATGTCTTCTATTAATTGTTCACCCCAATGAGATACACCATCATTGATTAGACATTGAATGACAGAATTCAAATAACATGAGTTTCCAAGGTTTAGTAATCCGCATCCTAGCTCATCGTTTGCTTGTAAAGAAACTAATTTATTACCTTGAGAATCGGTCATCTTAAAATCCCAATTCATATTTTGTTCCACTTGTAACTCAGTTAAAGTCTTTTCAGTAGCCATCTTACTCGATATGTCAATTCCAAATTTGGTCAAAATTAACGATAAAGTCTTGTTACCATCATTAAATTTGACTTCATCATCACATTGATAACAATATAAATCATTAGAATTCTCACTTAATGAACCCAATTTAATAGCCAAACAGTGGTCTCTATGAGTCTCATAATGTTTCAACCCGTGTGAATGGCCCTCAATACCTATTTGCTCTCTACCACAGCCTATATTCCCACAATATAAACATAACCATAAATTTGAATCTAAATTACAATCGTTACATTTGGTAGTGTCCACTTTCGAAACAGGAATTGTATCAACATTGAAATTTCTAGAGTGTTCACATGTATGTATCTCTAATTCCCAAGAACTTGCTTGATCTGCTAACTGTTGAGATTTGGCGTTTAGGATGGATGCTATTTTCTCAGGGGTACTTTGAGCGTCAAGAGATTCGCTATTCAATAAAGTCTCGATGTTTTCACCATCGATGTGCAATAATTTCCATACTGTGTCATATAATTGATCCTCTGATTTCTCCGTAACTTGTAGTTTAATCTTCTTTGTAGGGGTAGTGTTACCTTCATCGTCAGATTCCTTCTTTGGTTTCTCTAATTTTGCTACTTGTAAATAATTGGTATGCACAGTATCACAGGAGTTCTCAGTGACATTCATATGTAATTCCCGGTGTAGCTTACAAACAGATTGAAAACATGATAGACAGACGTTCAATGAATGTAACTGGTCAGCTGTTGTTTGGCCCTCGGAGACATTGTTAACAGACGTTTCGAAACAATAAATACATTCATCTCTGTCGATGACGTTAGGAACGTTAATATTTGCTAGAATTTCGGTTTCCATTATGTAGATATTGTTCTGGGATAAAGTTAGAGTGTAATCAATACTCTCAAAGTTTCCTATTGCTTCTCTCTTTGTTGTTTTGATAAGTTTTGCCACCTTGTTTTAAGAAAAATTAGTCTTCTATTACATTATATTTTACAAGTATAAGGTAAAAAAATAAGCTCCACGGCTGTGAACTAAACTGAAAGTAAGACGAGGCAGGCAAATTGGGAAAGAATCAATAATAATATTGTATATATATATATATATATATATATGTGTATTATGTGGTATTATGTATGTATAAATTAGATATTTCATTAAATTATAGATGTATGTGAAAAACGGGAGGGAGGGAGAAAGAGAGGGAGATAAGACAGGTTGTATTGTTCAGTTTCCCATATGGAAATAATTGCTGATCCAGTTGTGGCTATGACGACAATTTCTGTATCAATTTATCTTGTAGAAAGTAGTCCAGTCCCAGTTGGATTTTAAAAAAATGTGGTACTGGTATCAATTGTTTATTTTGTCTTTCTCATAATGCAATGGCTTTACAAATGATAAATGAAAGTAGGCTTAAATTGTTCTAATATATCATTAGAACATTAAACAATATTTCACTATACCAAACACACTTAAACTGAACATTGTTAAGATGAAAGTGTGTAGAATATAGGCATCTGCAGTCAACATCAGATAGTATGGTAAATTGATATAGTACATCCAGTACATCTTCTCGATACCATCTTCAATCTTTTCGACGATGAAATTTTGTTTATCCAGACCATTGGCTCTTCTCTCCTTCACCGTTGGAATAAACTCCATAACGTGTGAGCTCTCAACTACAATCTTTGGATGCAACATTTATGTGGAGGGTGAGATAGAAGGAAAATCGTAGCTAAACCAATTACTTTAACTTCTTAGAAGAATATAAATCGCAGGTTCTATAGTATGGTTATAATGCAACCGAAAGTAGTACACTCTAATATTTACACAATTGTTCTTTATATACTTCTATTTACCCTTTGTTGTTGTTGTTGTTGACAATAGTAAATGAGGTAAGAAAATAGGAGAGAAAGAGCAAATTTCGCATTTTTTCCTCATTTTTCATTTTCGTTCCTCTTTTCTAAATTTCGCGGTGATTCTTTAAGCAACAACAACGAGTAAATGAACAAATGGCTCATTTTGGCTGCAATTGACACTAAACTTGAGTTCATTCTTACTTAATTCTATGCGATATATGAGGGTGGGAATAGTTTCTAATGATTATGTATTGTGTAGTTACTTAAACATGGAGAACAGAGAACGTTTACTTGTCTTGGATTTGCCTCCAAACTGTTCCTTTCGGAGTCTATCGATATCTAACGATTGACGAACTCTCGACAACGGTCTTGTCTTGGAGTCTATACTTGTAGTCGAACTGTTACTGCTTTGAGGGTCATTTAGGGTTGACGTTAAGTTGTGTGGGTTAGTTTTCACCTTCTGGATCCCTTGTGACGTCTTGTCCAGGTATTGTTGATTCCTTCTTGTGAAGTTGATCTCCTCATATTTTAAGTCCAATGAATGACGACCTGGCCTTGCAGCATTATTACCTCTTGTGTCTTCGAATTTCTTAAGTGGAGCAATATCTGAATTCTCCGATAATAAAGATATATTTCTTGTATGATTCTTTGTGTTTATTTCTGTAATTGATGGAGATGAATCCTTTGAAGTCGGTTTGAGCAAACTAGATTTACGTTTAGCTGCGTCCATATTGATATCTATACTCTCGCTAGAATGTTCACTAACCAGATCATTTTCAAGCATCCTCTTGATATTTGGAATCTTCATTTCAGAGATACTTTCTTCACTCATTAAATCATTATTGCCATCTATATCCACACTGGAATTTCCATGACTACTCTTGTAACCCATATCATTTGTATCAGAAAGAGGTCCGCCTCTATCTTCGCCATAGGTCCTTCTAATACCTGCACTTCTACTTCGTCTCATACCTCTGGACCTTTCTTCTTCCCCAACATCTGGAGAAAGTGACATTTCATTGATACTTAACTCAAGAGTTTTATGCTCACCTTTTGACGGTAGATTCGGTTCATCATTCCGCTTTTTATGAGGAAGAGGTGGTGGAGTTGGCGCTGTCGTATCCTTTAAATCAATTAGATCTGGGAAATCTACATTGGACAATTTTTTATCATTATTTTGAGTATTGAAGTGTGTTTCATTCGACTTTGAAGAATCATGATTAGTGAACCCTACGTTGGAGTGGGGGAGAAATTGAAATTGTTGTTGATTTAGAGTGGTACTTGCAGTAGGAGTGTGGTTATTATGATTGGTCGAAGGTACAGCATTACGGAACAACTGTTTACCTCTACTTTCATTACTCTTTGGTGGAACTCCGACAGTCATGTTAGGTGTTGAGGCAAATATATTATCAAGGTTTGGTGGGGGATGTAAATTACCATACGTTGTAGGACTGGTTGCATTATAAGTAGTTGGACTTTGAGTCTCAAATTCGGCCATTCCAGGGTTCAATAACGAGTTCCTCTTCTTTTGGTCAGTATTTGTGGTATCGATAAAATAATTAGTTGATGACTGGCCATTATCTGATACATTATTCTCAGATTTAAAATATGGGAATGGGTTATTAGATTTATGAGCCTTACTTTGTGTAGAACTTCGAGTAGGTTCGTTATTAACATTATATTCAGGACCAGCTTCTACAACACCATTACTACCGGTATTACTTAGAACGTTAGTATGGATAGAATCATTTCTCCCGGACGGGAAAAAAGTATTTACATTTCTCTCACTTTGAGTAGTAATGGTAGGTATCATATTAAAATTCGTCTTGGTATCACTAGTAGTATTCCTATTTGATGTTAATTCTGGTTGTGACGTTGGAAGAATCTTTACATTATCTCCAAACTCCTTTGCCGCATAGTCGTTTATTTCATTGATGCTTGGATAATAAGTTGTTTCATTACTGATTCTACTTTCATCTAATCCGGCCTGATAGAATTGTGGTTGTAGCTGTGGCTGTGGCTGTGGTTGTGTTTGTGGGTTATTACTGTTACTCCTTATCGTAAGTGTACCATCATTGGTATTGTTGTTGAAAGGTATGTTGACAATTTCTTGTTTGTTCTCGTTAGTTGAAAGATATGATGCATCTGAAATTTTCCTTTCATTTATTTTTTCAACAACTCTTAGTGATTCAGGATGATTGATTTTTGGTACCACTTCGTGTAGATTAGTGAAAATTTCATTATATAGATTAAGATCAGTTGAGGTACCCATTAAGTGTGATTGTTCTATTGTTAATAGATTCTTCTGTATATCGTTCACTTTTATCTTATAATCTAAACATGTTTGAAAATTGTAAGGACCTCGTCCATATTTATCGAATAAAGGTACATCCACATTTCTAAACCTACATAGCGTCTCTAATACTTGGTAAACATTTGGTCTCATATGTGGATTTTCCATCAACATAGCCGTGATAAGATTAGTGAATTCTATGGGATATTTATTTTCTGGGAATGTAAATCTACCATGGACGATAGCGAATTGGCCAGTCATTTCAAATGGTGTAATATAAAATAATAATTTGAATAAAAATACACCCAATGCCCAAATATCGGATGTCTCATTGATGGGTAAAAATCTATAAAGGTCAATCATTTCAGGAGATCGATATTGTGGAGTAGTGTGTATAAATATATCTTGAGTAGCTACGGCAATTTCTTGGTCGTTCAATGCAATAGGGTTGATGCCAGTGGTGGAGCCAAAATCGGCCAATTTAAAATTGTTATCCTTATCCACTAGTACATTTTCAATTTTGATATCTCTATGGACTAATGGTTTAGATAAGTAATGCATTTGAGCTAAACCTAATGTTACATCATACATGATTTTAGATATCTCATCAACCGATAATTTGGTAGTTAATCTATCATTCATGAAATCCAAGAGCGATTTGTTAGGACAAAGTTCCATCAATAGAAATACTTCATAACCTGTTGAACCGTTCTGTAATTTAGTTGCATTGGAATCGTAATACTGAACTATATTTGAGGAACCACTCAATTTCTTCATTACATCAATTTCGTTCTTCATTTCATTAAGTCCGTTATCGTCGTTAACTTTTACTCGTTTCAAACATGCAATGTCACCTACATTCAATGTGTTATTATTTTTCTTTTTTGTATCATTATCATTGTTAAGGATATCTAATTCATTAAGTAACTCTATAAACTTCACGGTGTATATCTGAGCAAAACCACCTTCTGCAAAGTATGCCACAATTTCAACTTTATGAGAACCGACGTTCACGATATGACCCGGTTTAAATTTCTCAAAGTCTGGGTTCATTATACCTGAACCCGATCTAAACCCAACTGTCGATCTAGTTGTAGCATTACTTGACGACATTTGTTTAATATTTCCCTGTAAGAATGACCTGTTGAGATTGGGGTCTTGGGGATCAACTTTGAAACTTAAACAAAAACGAGAGCGCTATCCTTTAGTACTAAACTCAATGGCTTCAACTCTTAGAATTTAGATAATATTCAAATCGAGTGTTAATAGATAATCTTATTGTGAGATCACTAGCCGTTTCAAACTTTTGTCAGAATGAAATTAAGATGAACCTGTTCTAACTAAATATATATGTGAGAAAGCACCTTAACACAGCGGAATTCTATTTCTTCTTTTGTTTCTATCTCTCTCTTTTTTTAGCACTTTACATAGGGGCGCCTTCTTCTCTTTAACTGTGGAAATTTCAAAAAGACATTATTAGTTGTAACTGGAATGAATGATAACGACCTTTTTTCCAACTTCAAAGAAGATAGATAGAAAGGATTTATACTGAGCTGATGTTGCATTGATGAGGGATTCAAGTCATGTTTACAATTATTTATGTACATAAAAAGTCTATATATATAAATATGTGCTAATGTATGCTTGCGCAGTGGCGCAGGGTCCTCATAAATTTATTTTTTGTATCTATCAAGTAATATCATTTTGTTAAATCTTAACTTAGTTTGGCTAGAGTTGTATTCAGTAATTTCTTCATTTCACCATAACTGTATGCAATCCATATAATTTCGAAACCTTTGTTACTTCTCTTCTTTATAAATGCCATCTTATGGTCGATGAATTCTTTTAGGATGGTTCTCAAAGATACCTCATTAGAGACGATAAACTCCGATGCACACATATCATGGAATTTTTTAAAATCTATACCAACAGTAATGGTACCACGTCTTACAGGTGGTACTTTGCCATTCATTTCTACTTCCATATTTGCCATTTGTGTCTCTAATAATAATTTGTAAAGTTTTTTGGCATTGACCGTCAAAGAGTCTAAAACAAACTTGGCACCTTCAGCACCCGTACTAGATTCCTCTTTACCAAGTTTCATGACATCTTGGAACGATGATTCAACATCAGCAGCTTCATAATTTGTCACATTGTGGAATATGAAGTTATAATTTTGAGATTTCGTGGCATCCCATAACAATGGCGCGTATATATGGTCTGCAGATGCAATGATTGCAATTTGTTTAATAGTAGCCAGTTGACTCAAAATTTGTTGGAAAATACTTTTCTTTATACTAGGGCCATCGATGTTGTGGATAACCAATATGATCTTGACGTGATCTGGCTGCGTTCTATAGTATTCTGCCATCTTTTGGATGTGTAACATGCTATGGTTCCCCCAATATTTTGAATCCACTTTTAACATTTCTTCTGGGAAAATTATATCAGTGATATCCTTAAGGACATCCCTATAGTTACAAGTTGGGTTATAACCATTAACAATAACGCAAGGAACACCCTTATCGTAATATTTTTTGTAATTTTTATCTAGTTGTTTATTATCATATATTTCCGATTGCCTACATCTAACAGAGACATAATTAATGGCTAAATCCTCCATAAACGAACGTTTTGATCCAATCCCATAGAACAACAAAGTAAACCCACGAGATAATTCAAACCAATATTGTGGATAGAGTTGTTTTTGTAAAGCCTCCAATTTATCCTTTGAAGACCGCTGGAATTTCTTATTAAATAGATTGGTAATCGTGGCAAATTCTTCTCTAACAATTGATGGAGCCATTGCCATGGTATTCTTGGATCTTTTCAATGTCTTTCTTTGATCAAAGTAACCTTCGAACGTATCTAAAAAGTTACTTACCACTTTTTCATTTTGTAATTGTTTTACATGTTGTGGAGTATAGGTTTTTGGGAGACGTGTCGGTTCAAAGTTCTTGTTCAATTTCAAATTCTTAAAGGAAACATTTTGCTTATAATCTTTTAAATTGGATAATATAACTTTTTTCAATGGAGATGTAAACGCTTGTTCAGCTAATATAGATGTCGGTTCTTTGGTAGGTGTATCGGGTATCGTAAGATCAGTCTCAGTTGATAATCTTCCACTATCAGGACTAACACTTCTTCTATTATTATTTCTTCTCCTTTTTGGAACAGGACTTATTTCCAATCTCGAACGTTCTTCTTCCTTTACAGTTGTGATAATTTTTTTTGGTCTTCCTCTTTTCTTCTTTATAGGTTTGACATCTTCTTCTTCTTCTTCTTCAGAGAGTTCTTTAGGTGGTGCTCTCTTTGATCTCCTAGATCTTGTAGGGAGTATGTTATCCGCACTTATCTTTAAATTAACCTCTAATTTAATATTTTTAATTGGTGTACTTTTGTCTACTTCTTGATTTTGTTCTTCTGAAGAATCGTCATAATAGGACTTAGGTTTCCTACCTCGTTTTTTACCTTTGTATGCCCTTGTGGAGTCCTCTGAGATAGATTCAGGCACTATAACTTTCTCAATGATATTCTTACGTGGGGATTGCCTTCTTTTTCTCGATACGACATTTATTGTGACTGGTGTCCTCCCATAATGCACGTTAGCTTGACTTCTGCCTTTCTTCGAGGGTGACGACAGGATATCAGTGTGTCCAATAATATCTTCATCTACGGTCATGTTGAATTTTTTCCACTACAATTATAAAATTTTATAACAACCTTCAATTCTTGATTCTAGGCAAACTGTAAGAACTTTCTCGAAGCAAGTCGTACACCTCATTTAAGTCCAATTCTTTCTTGTTTTTAATGAATTCATTGATCTATTCCAAATCAAAACAAATCAAATTTCGGTGAAAATTTCAAAAAAAAAAAAGTTGAAAAGTTTGGACACACAACAGTTACTTAACAATTGAGTCAGAAGAAGTTAACAAAGTGAAGTTGTATTTATATTTAGATATTACAGAATGCTATTTATGTTGTACTTGTGGAAAGTCGTCGAAGATTATTATGGTGAGTTTATACTGCTCTTGTCAGTTTCCCGCTTCTCTTTAATTCCAGCGCTTTCTTGTAAGGAGGATTTGTTGGACTCTGTACAGGATCCAATGATAATTTATCCTTTAAATTAGATAGTATTTCATCATCATAATGATATGTGGCATCTGAATCGAAACTTTGAAGTCCTCCACAGGACATAAACTCGGCAATATCTCTTTGACCATCCTTCCATTGAGGTAGTTTTTCTTCGTTATCATCTGATAATGATAATTGACTCATTGTACAACCACTGAAAAACTCTTCGATGGATTTGTTTATATCTAATTTTGGTTCCCAATTTGATGGTGGATTATAACCTAAACATACAATGAAGGCCTCTAAGGATGTACCCCTTGAAGATCTTGGTTTAGCACATACGACTCTATCAAACAAATATCCCAATTGTGAATATAACATATCAATATCTCTACCTCTAAAAATCTTGGCTACAAAAGTACCATTAGGTTTCAATATACATGTAGTTAATTGTAATGCACTCATAATCAGTTGTTGTTGCACATATTCATCTAAATCATGCAGACCTGTAACATCGGGAGCACCATCACTACAAACAAAATCAGCTTTCTCATTACCAAAAATCTCTAGAATTCTAGCCAAAGTCTTTGGATGTGTAATATCAGCTTGTAATGTAATAACGTTATCGATTGGAGACATCGGCTGCAAATCCACTGCAATTAATTTTTTATCTTTATTATCAATTTCTTTGGATTCAGTAAACATCTTTCTTGATAGAACTTGTGACCATGATCCAGGTGCAGCACATAAGTCTACCACCTTCGTTAAATTATGCTCACTGTCTAAGAAATGGAATTCCTCATTCAATTGTAATAATTTGTATGCGGACCTAGCTCTGTAACCTTCTTCTTTGGCCTTTCTGTAATATAAATCTCTCTTATCTTTACTACTCTTACCCATGGTGACAGCGATATCTTGTTTAAGTTTATATATGTATTCTTCTATGTACAGATCAATATATATAAGTACTTGACTCGTTTGTTATGTGAATGAATGAATGTGTTGGTCCTTTTTCATTGTAAGAGAAAGTGAGGAAAAATCCATTTCTTAATGAAAGCATCATCGGCCATCGAAAATTTCGACAAAAATTTTTCAGTTTTTGGTGAGACACGCTGATATAAAGAAGAAGAGAACATAATTGAACATCTTGAGTATGAAAATAAATGTAATACTTAGCCGTACATTCCCCAGTCCTCTTCAAGCTCAACTTTCGAAGTATCTAGTCCCTTCAATTTATCCTGTTGTTCCATTACATTATCTCTACAGACAGGGCAAGTTCTATTTGTGCCTAACCATACTGCGATACATTGTAAATCAAATTTATGTCCACAATGAGGTAATTTCACCAGTAATGGGTATTCATCATCATGGAAATTTTCAAAACAGATGGAACAAAGTTCATCCTTTTTAATTGTACCTATAGATACTCTTGGTAATGAATCGATAAATTCCTGAGTACACCCATCTTCAGGTTTTTGAGACCATTGTTCTTGTAAAGTATCTGGTATTAATGAGGATAACAGAGCAATCAGTTGTGGGTCTTGTGGGTTCAATTCTCCATAGAGACGACGGAATTCTGTTCGTGTATCTCTTCTCGATGAAGTACTATCTAGTTGTGGATGATTCTCGGTATTATGTTCTTCTGATTCAGTATAAAAATTTTGTTAGTTTTCATTATGGTTGAGGAGGAGGGGAGGAAGTATTTGCCAAAAGGTAAAGAAAGAAAGCACGATAGTGCAATGAACTTTCTTTTCTTTTTTACCTCTGCAGGTTCATATCCTTGAACATACCTTGATAAGTAGACATTGATCTATTCTCTTTCTATATAAAAAATATATGTGCAACTGTTATAAGAAAACTAGTAGACACTGTAATTCTAAATTGATTTCTCTCGTCTTGTTATTGATTTCTGTCTGTATATCTTATATACTTGTATTTAAGATTAGTCGAATATATGTGAGTGTGTGGTGGTTAAATAAATTATTATTCGAGGCCGCCACCGCGAGATGGCAAAGCCGTGGTAAATGTCTCTAATTCTTCCAATTCATGGAATGATGATAACAATGGTAATTGATGTTTCCAAATCAATAACGATACAGGTGCTGCAGGTAATTCATGAGTAAACATTTTTGTTGTTGTCGTGGTGATAATCTCATTATTTAAGTGAATTTTTCTATTCTGATGTCTTTTAGTTTGTTTGTAAATGAACCAAATGAAACTCATTATCAGGATCATACATAAAAATGGCCAAAGTTGAATATATAAGATTATATCTGGTTCAATAATTTCTTTATCTAAATTGAATCTAGAGTCCGGGAAAGTAAATTGTAATGTCTGATTAGTAGGTTCTCCATGATTATATAATGTGGCAAAGATAGAATTTTTTTGTGTCGTTTGTTTTCTATCATATGTCTTAGCAATCTTTAAATGTAACGATAGCAAAAATGATAAGAAACCAAACATATTGTAGTGATATATATATGTGTGTGTGTATATGGCTCTTGAGTAAAATTATTGTTCTTATTAAAGGAATACAATATTAATTATAGTTTTAAAGATGTTACACGTTTTTTCTTTTTCTTATTAATTTTTTTATTAGTTTGTCTTTTCTTACCTGTGTCGTTGTCGTTGTCATTGACGTTAGAAGAATTAACAACGATTTCAGATTCTGAGATAATTAATTTTTTTAAACTGCGAGCTAATTTCAAAGATTGTTCTTTAGTGGTACCAAATGATCCCGTTGTGAATCCCGAATTCCAAGGTACAACAAATATTTTAAATCGATCCACCATTAATATACCTCTCATTAATTTACTATTCGGTACAGTATAAGGAATCTGACTTGTTGTGAGTATATGTATAAACTTATCAGCTAAAGATTGATTAGAAAATTTTATTCCACCAGCATTAGCTCTATGATTAATGATAATGCAATTCGAATCTTTATCAATCCATTTCTCTGATCCAATCAATGATGTCACAGCGTCTTTAATCTTCCATTCGGGGATAGATGAATCGATATTATATAGAAAGAAGGATAAACATTTTGAATTTTCCAAAGTTTGAGTTAATGGCAAATGAGCCAGGACAGGTTTAATATCTATATCTAGATTATTAGTAGTCGATTGTTTCTTATTGGAATTTAAACTTTTTTCCAATTTTGTTATTGAAGTTTCTAATTCTTGATTTAATAAATTTTCTAAGGCATTTGAATCTGAAGTAAATTTTGCACCACCAAGTTTCCCATTTTGTAAAGCTAAATATCTTTTCATCATAACATTTGTAGCTTCGGGAGTCATTAAACTTGATTCATCTTGTCCATTTAAATATGAAATTAATTTATCTCTCATTGATAAAGAGATATGCCATTTCATATCTAGCATGCAACATTGACAACAATTTCTTTGTTTTGCACAATTAAAACAAATTTTTGTCTTTACTAAATTTCTTGAATTTAAGCTTTTAAAATGATATAATGTTGTTGGTAAAGTACATATTTTACACTGTAAACCATTTGAAATTTTATTTATAGTAAGTTGTGGTATAGATTCATCATCACCACCTAAACAAGTATTACAAATTATCGGTTCAACTTGTGTACTCATCTCTCTCTCTCTCTCTCTCTCAATAGGTCTCTTCTGTGTTATTTCACTTTCAACAACAAGTTAAACCTCATCGAATCTCCCAAAGAGCAAAAAAAAATTGTTGTTGTTGTTTTTCAATTCGTAGTTTTTTCCTTTAAAAATGAAAGAGAGATTGAAAAAATATTGCATAATGCGTAGCAGCATAGAGATGAAAAAAAATAAAGTATGTAAGTAATACAGTTGTTGTTTTGTTTTTTTAAAGATTTACTTTATAAAAGGATAAGGAATATATAATTAAAAATATGTAGTAGAAAAGAATTAATGAAGTTGTTGACAAATTTCACTTACGAGACTTTTTTCTTAAATGAGTTCTATAATGTTGAATACAATTATCATGTCTACTAAATTTTTGTCCGCAACCATCATGTGGACAAGTATGATTTTTTTCACCTGTATGGATTCTATTATGTCTTGATAAATGGCCTGCCGTTGTAAAAGCCATTGTACAAGTCTTACAAACATGACGACGACTGCGACGTTTTGTTGTTGTTGGTAAAGTATGCAATAGTGTTGGTGATGGGGGTGTGTATGTATTTGTGGTTAATTGATCTTGTTGAACTTTTAGCATCATTGGAATAATAATTTCTTGATTTATTGATCGTGGTGAATTATCAGCGGACAAAGGAGGAGAAGGTGGAATTATTTGACTATTCAATCTTTCAGTAACTATAAACAAATTTTTATTACTGAATGTGAATTTATCTAATTTATCTTTACAAGCGATATCGATATCGTTTGCATTAAAATTTAATTGCGGTAGCAAAGTATGAAATTTAATATTATTTTGTAAATCTGACATATTTTTGTTTGTTTGTATTGAAAAGCGAAAGAATGTATATGAATCAGTTTAATGTTATATTTTATCTTTAATGAATGGGCAGTAGAAGAGAAATCGACAGCATTATTCAGACCAAAAAAATTGTTAAATTGGTATAAGATATATTTATATATTTATATATTTATATACTTTTTTCAACAGAATATAGGATAGTTAGGTACTATGAGGGGTGGAGAGAAGCAGAAGAAGATGTATCGTCGTTCATTAAATTTTTCTAAATTAAAAGAGGATGGAACCTACTAATTTTACTATTTAGTGAACCGTATAGTATGTAGTAGTAGTGGTGGTAAATGGTAAATTGACGACACTTCCTAAAGAGAATATCGAATGTGTGATATAAACGGTGTGAGATGATACGGGCGATCCCACGCATACAAAGAAACCTGTATATATTACAGGAACCAGTGATATTAATGAACGCAAGGGATCGTATGTTAATGTCAGGTTCCTTCAAGATCAGGAAAGAGTGCGAATTCCATTAAACGAAATCTGATATACGCACTGTGAAATGAAGTAAGCGTTTCCACTGGGGGGAGGGTTGTTTGCCTGCTGCCCCAACCCGTAAAAGAACGGTTTGATTTGATAACAGATAGAATCGCCAAGCAAACGAATTCGGGTTGTTCGTCGTTCTCGCTTCGTTTTCCTGGTTTTGGCCCTGAAAAGGTACGATCAATGTGGGTGTGTGGCAGAGAAAACGCGGTAGGGCTGGGTGTTACTCTTATTTATAGCAAGAAGCAGGCAGCGTGAGCGTAGTGGTGGTGTTCTTCTCGTTTAAGTAAGGAAGTGTGGTTTCTTCTTATGCATTTACCTGTTTAGTACGTATGTACGTGTGAAGCGTAGCATTATTAAATTGTGGTTCGTTTAGATTAATACTATATATATATACATTATTCAATAGCACTCTGTGTGGTCGATTTCTTATATGCAGGTTAACGTACTTCTTCTCTTTTTGTTGTTGTCGTTGTTGTTGTTGCTGGTCGTTTAGACAAATCGCATGGGGACAGTCGTGGGCCCGCAGGGAGGGGGTCTCTCTCTTTTTCAACAAATTTAATGAACCGTTTATATGTGTGTGCGGTGTGTGGGTGTGCCGCGTACATTTAGTGTGTGGGTGTGTGCCAGGATGTAGTACGCGGAATAGTGGCTGAGCCCTGACATCTCTCTTCTAACTGTTTATACGAGCCCATTTTCGCTGTTTATTTCTAAATTAGCAAATTTGTTGTGTTTGTTACTATTTTGGTACAAAGTGGTGGCCATTGCGACAGTGCGGTCACGTGCGGTCACGTGACACTGGCTTTTAATCATATTGATCATATTGACAGGGAGGGAAGTAGCCTGTGTCTGAGTGCTGTCACTGAAATATTCTATATAGCCGTAATGAAACATGATTGGTCTACATGTGTATACGTGTGTGTATTTATTTACCCGCGTTAATTAACTATTCTGTTTGTACGTGTACTGCACGGAAGAAAAATAAATTACGTAGAAAGAGTATAGCCACCCCGGAGAAATTTGTTTGGCTGTGGTGTGGGAGAGAGTGTGTCGTTGTCATTTACTACATAAGAAAATTGGATTAACATCCCACTTTATTAAATAACACATTCTTACACCGAACTTACGCATTACTTAATTTGGCTACAATGACTCTTTTACTATAATACATATAAATATCTATAATATATATATTATAGCCTCGGCGTTTTCTTCTGGAAAGGGAGTCCCTTCTAATTAAGTTCTATCCCTGCATATATACACTATATATATATACGTATTGTTTGTTGATCGTAACTACGTTACTCTTTTAATTATTTGAATCATCTCGATATTTTATCCATCCCGTTAATACCGTAAACTTTAAGGGTTTGTTTGTATTGCCATTAGTATTATGTGATGCGCATTGCATATACCTTTTTATTTTTATTTTTTTGACATAGTTCTTTATGTTACGTAGTCTTGTTTCATATTTAATTACATTCTGTCCCTTTTCTCTCCGGGTATTTTAACTTATTACATAGAACTTTTTAGAAAAAAAAATATCCTTATGATTTTAATTCAAATATTTATTAATCTGTCCCTATTAGGTAATACTTAAATATATTTTAGTCCACCCTCCCCCTTCAAACAGCAAAATTTTTCTTGGAAGACTATTGGTTCTTTTGCTGTCTTTCGAGAGAAAGAGATGCTTATGGACTTCTTCTTACAATTTAATAATTGTTAATGTTTCTTGAAAAAAGAAAAACTTATATAAACAGATTGTTTTATTAACTGTTTACTTTATTTTCATTCTTATTCTCACTAACTTTTTTCTCTATCTTTTATTAAACTCTTTATATATGTATATATACCAGATCAACAAATATATATTTACAAATGTCTGAATATTTAGATTTAATTAAAAGAGGTGGGAATGAAGCTTTAAAAATTAATGGACCTGCAAAGGCAGATTTCCATATTACTAGTAGAGGTTCCGATTGGTTATTTACAGTTTTCTGTATCTACACTTTTGCTTGTATTATCGCTATATTACTAATGTTTAAAAAACCAGCTAATGAAAGATTTGTTTATTATACCATTATTATTCCATACGCATGTATGGCTGTAAATTATTTTACAATGGCTTCAAATTTAGGTTGGGCTCCAGTTGTCGCCCTTTATAATCGTAATAGAGTCTCAACTCAAGAGACTAATTTAGGTACAAGACAAATCTTCTACTCAAGATTAATCGGTTGGTTTTTAGCTATGCCATGGCCTGTTATTCAACTATCTTTAATGGGTAAGACTCCAATTTGGCACATTATTTTCAATTGTTTCTTTACTGAATTATTCGTTATCGGTTATTTAGTCGCTTGTGTTGTCCATTCTACTTACAAATGGGGTTATTACACTTTCGGTACTGCTTCAATCATTGTGACTTTAGTCTCTTTAATGACTACTACTAAGAATCTAACTAAAAGATTAGGTGAGGACGTTACTAAGATTTTCACTTACATGTTTGGTTTGAATGCTTTCATTTGGTTAATTTACCCAATTTGTTTCGGTTTATCTGAAGCTGGTAATGTTATTGTACCAGATTCTGAACATATCTTTTACGGTATTATTGATTTAATTTATCTAGGTGTCTTACCTGCTGTTTGGTTAGTCTTCGTTCAATATGTCGGTTTAGAAAAGATGGGTTTAGATACCTTGGGTGCAGAAGCTGAATTGGATCCTTTACCTTCTGTAGGTTCTGCTGCTAGCGTCACTTCAAAGAAATCTGAATCTGATTCTGGTAATGAAGAAAAGAAGAAGTCTAAATCACCATTAGATAAGTTAAAGTTAACTAAGAAAGAAGAAAATTAATAATGTTTTTTTATTTTTTAAACTAATGTCTTATCTACCCTTTTTTTCTGCTTTTTTTAATGAACCATTGTTTTCTTCTTTCTCTTGTTTGATTCATTCAAATATTAAGAAGAAGAAGAAACTTTGGGAAATAATAATAACGTTTTTAATTTTTAATTTTTTTTTCCTTTTGACAAGAAAAAAAAAAGACCCTTCTATTATTTTTTAATGTTTAATATTCCTAATTAATTATTACCCTTTTTTTTATCCTTCTACATAAATTTCTAGTTTAATTCTTTTAATTTTATTTATAATTCTTTTCACTACAAACTTTCATGATTACTGTCGTAACTCGCTCACTATTTTTTTTTTTTCATATTTTGTCACATTTTTTGCATTTTGGTATCAATCGAGAAACGTCCCAATTCTATCAATTAAGTAAACAAAAAAACAAAAGTGATAATTTATTATTTATTTTTTTACAAAATGTTTTAAAATATTATATACATGATATTCAGCAAAATTGAGTCGTCAGGTTGTAGTTAGGAAAGGTAACTTACTATTTGTATTGATTTGAAATATATAAAATATAGTCATTATGCGCGACGATAGATGGTTGCATATTTGATCGAAAATGAATAAATAAGATCTGTCAAATGTTTATTATGACTGACTATACGTCATTACTATGTAATATCATAGATGAAAGAGAACCAATCAAGCAATACCTAATTATAATTTACATATCGTAACTATCGTAATTCTAATTAATTGATTGATTATCGTTTATTATTTACTTTAATAATCCGGATTAAACAATACACCAAATAGGATATTTGTAATTATTGAACAAACTAATAAAACTATAGTTAATTTAAAAGTTCCTAGAATCATTTGATGTGAAACTTTATTTGAATACCAACATATAAATGTTGCAATACCCATTAAAATTGCCATCCCATTGATTATATCTTTGAAGGAACTAAATATACCGAAAAGGATAGCATATTTAAAGTCTACCTTATCCATCATTTCTTATACTCTTTCTTGTAATTGATGCTATTTATAAAATCGATCGATGAATAAATAACGTTCGAGGAAGAACTTAGTTATATGTTTGAGTATCTTTGTAATTGAATGCAAGAAATGTTTGCAAATATTGACTACTATTCAGTTTTATTCAAGTCAAGAAATATATATATATATACATGAAATAAACAATTATTCCGAAATTCAAATTTTGGCCTATTGTTTAAAAAACGTTCTATGTAAGTATCCCCTGTTGAAGAAATGTTTAGATGAAAGATAATAAGTCAAGTTTTCAGTCTTCAGATATATTGTTATTTGGGGACGCATCCTTCCTTCTTTAATAATGAAACTATGTTTAAACTAGTTAGAGATGCGAAATTCATCTTAGCTCAGGGTATAACCTTTTTTTTGGTTTCGATTGCCTAATTATATTAAGGACTTTTGAACCTCAGGTTTCAAATAGCTTTGCTATGAGGGGGGGGAAAGCATTCTAATTTTAATCGTTGTATTTCTTATGGAACTTTAAGGATTTTAGTGCCTCCACAAGGTTATTAAATGGGAACCATATCCGGATTGTAATGCTTTGTTAGTTCGTTTAAATATGATTACATTTTTGCTATCTTATAATAACCGTATAAACAACTTAGTGAAAAAATGGGCTTAGTCACCGAATCATTGCCTGCAATTGGTACCCATCTCTCTATGTATACTCATCTCGTAATTACTGAGAACAGGTAAAAACATCTGTCATAGAACTTGACGTTATTTGCAACAATAAAATGTAGAATATCTTTGTCGTTTTTGTTCCATCAACGAAGTTTTTCTAATTTTTGTATTTTTTGTTTTCTTACAAAATTGGCCATCTTTTTTTAGGGAAGAAGAGGCTTACTATACACCCTACTCTTTCACAGTTTTAAAACACTTTCCTTAAAGGATTCAATCAATTAGAAATTATTAAATACTTAAACTATCTATTATAACATGACACTCTTCAAATCTCTAAAGGAAAAATTTGAGAAAAAGGACTTTACCACAGATGTTATTCTAAGTGACGCGTTGAACGTAGATAAGAGAACTATCTTTAGAAACAGAGTTAATTACGGTGTAAATCTAGGCTCTTTATTTGTTCTAGAGTCCTGGATCTATGACGACCTATTCAACGAAGTTGGAGGTGGTAATACCGAATTCGATGCCGTATCTAAATGTGCTACAAAGTTTGGTACTAATGGTGCTGCAGACAGATTAAGACAACACTATCAAAGTTATTTACAAAAGATTGATTGGAATTTTCTACGTAATAATGCAAATATTACTTCTATGAGAGTACCAATTGGTTACTGGCATGTCAATAATGGGTCATTTTTAAATGGATTGCCTTTCCAACCAGTGGCAGGAGTCTACGCTAATGCCAAACCTTGGGATTATCTTAAACAATTGATTAGTACCGCCTCCAAGTATAATATTAGTATTCTTATAGATGTTCATGGCTTACCAGGTGGTGCAAATAGTGAAGCTCACAGTGGTATAATTCAAAATCCGGCTGTATTCTTTAAGACTTCCAAATATGTTAGTAAGATGTGTGATGAGATTCTTCCATTTATTGCTAGAGATATATGTGTCCCATACGAAAATATTGCAGGTTTACAAATTGTAAATGAGACTTACTTTGATAACAGTGCAAATGATATTAAATCCTATTATTCTCGTGCTGTTAGTAGCATCTCTAAGATTGATAATAATTTACCAGTTATTATTTCAGATGGTTGGTGGCCTCAACAATGGTCAGATTGGGTCTCAGCTAACAATCTAGTGAATAATGTTGTAATCGACTCACACGTATATCGATGTTTCTCAAATGAGGATAAAAGCAAAGATGCAGGGACTATCATAAATCAATTACCACAGACAGTATCACTTGATAAAGGGAAAGCTGATTTTGTTGTAGGTGAGTTCTCATGCGTTTTAGATGAAGAGACTTGGAAACGTACAAATGGTAATCGTAGTGTATTTATTTCAAATTTTGGTACTATGCAAACAAACATTTTCCCCAAGATGGCAAGTTTTGGTTGGTATTTTTGGACTTTACAATTCAAATGGGGTGATGGTGGTGAATGGGGATTTATACCACAAGTCTCAAAGAAAAATTTACAATTGAGATCAAAAACAGTCAAATCTATTGATCAAAATACAGTTAGTAGAATTATTGCAGAACATATCCAATATTGGAATGGAAAAGGTGATAAGTTTGAACATTGGAGGTTTGAAGATGCTATAAGGCAGGCTGTTAATGATATTCAAGGGTTCAATGGTTTAGATAATTCAAGAATTGGTAGATGGAAATCTTGGACTGCAAGAAGAAGGAGAGAATATGTGGCTGCTAAAGGTGATAGCAGTTTTATGTGGGAATGGGACCAAGGATATCAACGTGGCTTAGATGAATTCAATAAATAGAAAATACAATATGTTTGAAGTTATAACTCCTGGCTAGTTAAACAAAATAACGTGTTACGCCTGGTATGTCTGAGCTCTTTTCTTTCAACCTTTTTTTAATAGGATTATCCTCAGTTTTTCTATTACATATTTTTATATAACCATGTATGTATGTCCAATAAATATTTAATGAAGTTAGTAATGTTTATGTTCCGGATGCCGGAGAACTATAATATGCAAAAATGATAGTAATAATGCAGAGATATATAATCCATATAAGCTACGTGAGCTGAAGCAGACATTTTGATATTAGATTCGGAATGTGTGTTCATAATTAAATAATATTGTGATGAGGATTGAGTACCTTGAAGGTGGTTGTAGTTAAAAAGCAACTTTATTAATTACTTTCATCTAGATTTTGTAAATCATTCTAGATATTAGCAATCCTGATAATTTCCATCACTACAAGTATCTTCATTTTTTTTACAAATCGAATATTGAATACCCAACCATTTATTGTTGTATAGGAAACATATATAATTGTCAGAAACTAAGGTTAACTTATAGCGACATTTAGTCCAAAAATATTGTAAAGAAATAATTGACAATATTGGATTTGATGGCATATATAAAGCCATCATCGTAAAATAACGAAATAAATTTAGTTATTTTATTTGTAGATTATATAATTTAAAATAAAGGATCAATTATCATAATAAAAAATGTCCGAACTAAACATCACTAAGAGATCAGAATTAAATCAATCAAAAGAGAATGAAATATCTGCCTCAGATTCTCTACAATAAGCTGTTTTATCCTTGAAATACCTAACACCAAAATGTCTATTTACACTACAGTACAGCAACGCCAGTAGTATCACCAACATTCTTTACAATTGGCTAATTGATGCACCAGATGATATTTTTCAAAAGTAGAAGTGGCGACATACTTCATTCAATTTAATTCTAGTTCACCACTCAAATTTTAAAACTTACTTAGGTTATAGAGAGACTTTCTCATAATTTTTTGTAACGAGTTTAACCATTTTGCTTGATCGAAAAATGACAACTAAGGTGTAAACTAACCTTCTCTAGCATCTTATGCGTTAATGATAGCATCTTGCAATAGAACTATCACGTGAATAAGATCAGTGAACCGCGTTAGGCATTGCTGACAGTTTATTCCATGACAGTGACATCTTTAGCTATAAAGACAGCCTAACGACCATCACACTCAGAAAGAGTCGTAGAACGAAGTTCTCTCGACACTTCGTATAGATCAACCAATATGAGAGCCCTCGCCTGACGTTGGTTGATGAGTTGTTCGGGATACGTCAGCAGGCCGATCCTGAACAACGAGGGACATACCCAAATGGACGTCGCACGCATGTCAGCTGAGATAGAGAGCACTTCTATAAAATGGCCTCTCCTATCTCCAAAGGTTAATGTTCATCTTTCAGTTGAAAGAAACCAGTCAAGAAAAGCAAGAAAATCGGAATCGATCATTCTAGTTCAAGTATACAATAAGCCGTTGAATATTATAGCATTACCATCAGTGAACTACAAGCCTTCCTATACATGCAATATACTCAATAAACCCCTTGTAGTCCCTTAACTTGTACAAGAGCAAACATAAACATAAACATAAACAAGTGTTAGTAGATATCCTTATACGATTTAGGGTAATCTGCCACACAACTAATAAATATTTACGCGGACATAAACCCTACCTCGTTACTTTTTTTTCACAAATAAGTGGTTGTTTGGCCGAGCGGTCTAAGGCGCCTGATTCAAGATATCTTAGGATTCTTAACTAGCATTCAGCTAGGAATACTCAGGTATCGTAAGATGCAAGAGTTCGAATCTCTTAGCAACCATTCTTTTTTAATTTTTTTAAACCCAATCAGGGGTATAATTAAAATCGTGATTATACTCAACTGCCCATCATCTATAGAGAACAAAAGCAATTCCTGTAAGCTAATACAATCTTCATTTCTTTTTTAAATGTATCAACAATGATATCCCTCATATCAAATGTTTATTTTGTGGTTCTACCATTATTGCTATTAAGATATGTAACGGCCTTTTCGGAGATCAATCCAACGACACATGATATCGAGTTCGATGTAACTAGCAATATCCTTAATTCAAACAAAAGAATAATATCAATTAATGGTAATAATAAAACATATGGTCCAGTTATTAATATGCGAGCTGGGGATACCCTTCACCTCACTGTTAAGAACCATATCTGCTCACCAGAAGACCTCAAAGCTTCCGAGGATGATCAACTTTTAAAAGAATACTGTACAACTACTATTCATTTCCATGGTCTTATTGGAATAGGAAATGAAAATGACGGTGTTCCTTACGTGACACAGGATCCTATTCAACCTAATGAGGTATATATTTATAACATAACTATCCCCAAAGATACTTGCGGAACATTTTGGTATCACTCTCATACTTCAGTACAATATGGCGATGGACTGAGAGGTGTTCTTATCATAAACTGTGACAGATACGATAAACTAGCAAACAATATAATCTCGTCATTATCAACTCTAGACTTAGAGAACATTAAACCTAACTCTTATCTTTCCATAAACGATCCTTTTGGGGAAGATTATAACTTAAACGATATAAGTACTGAAGAAAAAATTGTAGCACTTTCTGACACATATGATTATTGGGGGCTAGATATTTTAAAGAATGATGTTGTGGCGTTTGATGGCACTCCAGACCCTAGGCTAACTGGCTCCACGATCAATGGTAAGCCTGAACATGATACAGTCGACAATATTTCGGGGCAGACTAGGTACCTAAAGTTAAGAATTATCAATTCTGGTATGTCTGGTACTCAAATAATAAATGTTGAAAACCTAAATATGGTAGTAATTGAAACAGATGGGGTATTAGTGAAGCCATACATTCTCAGCACTCTGAGTTTAGCCGTGGGGCAAAGGTATACCGTGATTGTAAAAATTCCTGAAAACCAAGAGTATGTACGCTTGATAAATGGCTGCAATAAGATGATGGGATATTTTAGTAAATCATTATGGTATTTACGTCCAACTATTAATACGGAAGAGTTTTCTTCGCAACGTCCTGACAGCTCTGCAATTTCTATTAAATCTCTCCCACGATTAAACAAACATGAGCTATTTCGAGAATTAATACCAATAGACCAAGGTGATTTAAATTCGGTCCTGACTTCAAGTCTACTTGATGATGTCGTGGTAAGTCTAAACTTTGATTATGAGTTTCACTCGGATCAAACAACCAAAAATAAATATGGAACAGGTATGTACAAAATGGGAGGTAAGACGTTACAAGAATTCATTAAGGAGCCAATTAAATTAGAATCTTCCAACAAAACTGTAGAAATTATAATCAACTCAATTGATCATATGCGACACCCATGGCATCTTCATGGGCATAGGTTTCAATTAATTTCAATTGGAAATGGAAGGGAAGGTCGTCTTGACAAGGATAATCAACAAGGAATTGCCTGGGATAAATACCGATCGGACCTTAAATATTGGAAGGAGACAGGTGATACACCCACTGTACGAGATAGTATAAACATCCCTGGAAGTTCTTTTGCTGTAATCAGATTCAAATTAAATACAGAAGGTTTATGGCTGGTACATTGCCACGTTGAGTGGCACATGGTAAAGGGTCTTGGATTTGCATTTAGGGAAATCGCACAACATGACAGCGTGAAAATTGAGAATGGGGATCCTACGAAAGAATCAGAGCCCGAAAGATTAACGACAAGTACAAATGTGGTAGAAACAGTGGCTACAAAGACAAATAAATTGAAAGTACTTTTAATTTACTTTATAATCATGTTATTAATAAATGGTGTATTCTACCTATGTGTGGTTTAACATTACAAGTTGTGGTATACAGCACTATTACTTGGATTACATGAATTTTTAAATGCAGTATAAATTTACCACGGAGTTCCATGCACTTCATTTTAAGAAGTCGTAATAATAAATAAGATCTGTATCGTTGATCCGATCTTTTGTTTTGTTTTCATAAGTTGATCTTTCGTAAAAGGTATACATATAAACACATAACATTACGTATATAAAATAGGTACAAATACATTACAACACCTGAAAACAAGCTCCCATCCTACATGACAGGTATAGATAAACATCCAGATTAAAATCTTTCTTACAAAAAATATATATATTTTCAAAGGGACCCAAATTGACAACGCTTAGATCAAATACGTAGTATTATGTCATCATGAATATTCAATGTCAACAATTACTAGACGAAGTTTTTTTTAGGGTCCTGCTCATATTGTCATACTTGAAATGGCGATCCCTTTGAAAATTTAGGTAAAATAACTAAACTAAATAATGACATAATGAATATGAAGTAATAATAAAATCACTGCATTTTCTATTAAAATACCTACGGGCAATGTTACGGTATCACCTCTTCCTCTATTAGTTTCAAGTTTGCACAATTTACATTTTAGGAAATATAAACATTATAAAAAAGATCTTCCTGAGGGGACGGGGTGGGGGATTGTTATCCACATCAACTAATACTTGAGCTTCTGTGTAATATTGATATTTAGAAGGTAATTTGTTGTCACAAACCTGACAGGTAATTTGTATTAAATATTTTTAACTCAGAAAATGGTAAGCGGACAACCTTTTCTGTCATTCAAAAAAAAAAAAAAATTTAAAAGAGGGACTTAAATGTTACCCAAAAAGGAAACGCTAAGTGCCACAAGCGTAGGAAACAAGATGTGACAAGATGGACCCTCTGCATCCCCGAAGGAGGAAAAATGTACCAGGAACCCCTTCTTCGTGTGGTACTCTTCAAGATTTTATAGGGACGAAGAAATACTTTTTAAATTAATCATTATTCCATGACGGCTTTAATAAACATTTCCACACGATTTGCTAGATAGAGTCGTCGTTCCAAAAAGAAGTACGACCCAAAAAACAGAAAATAGACATCTTTAGAGGAACTTTAGAGTGTAAGAAAGACAGTGATTTATATCAAGAAATTTTTAATGTTTTCATAATTTAACTAAGCAATTTATTAAAGGGAACAAATGTGTATAACTAAATATATCCTGTTTTTAACAATTTTGAAAATATTGATTTTCTGAAAGGAACATATTTAAACCAGATTGCTAACTTTACCTGACCCATTCTTTAAATAACAAAAAACAAAATAGTTGAGAAGGAAATTATTCAGGTTATCTAATTATTTTTTGCTATATATATTTAATAAACCTTTAGAGTTGTTAATTTAACAACTATCCTCTTACGAATTTTCAACAATAACGATTAACGAAGACAATCATTCACTTTCACAAAGTAGAATAACAAGTGAACCTTTCCAAGATCAATATAAAAAATGGTTATCGATAGTATATTGACCAAGCCGCCATTGATCCCTAAAACAAATTATGTGGGTCAATCCCTATATAAAACTAGGTCCCCAAAACATGAACGTTCAATCGATCTATCTTTCAGGTTTCCATTTATTACTGGACCGCCAAATGCTGGCCGATTTCGAGAAGAAACAAATGGTCTAAATTTCCCATGTGGAAGACATGTTTCATTCAAAGAAGAAGATATAGTAAATATTCATCGATCACCTAATATTCTTCACAATAATATATCACCTGGGTCATATTCTTATTGGACCACTGAACAGAGTGCTACGGAGACTAGCAAATTTTTCAGTAATATAACACCGGTCACTACTCGTTCTACAGTCGAAATTGAAAGGGTAAAGGCAATTGATATTTCAAATAGTCTCGAAGAAAACAAAAAAAAAGTTACAAAACCTAAGAAATCAAAAGAAGAGTACATTAATAATCTTGATGAGCTTATTTCAAGCGTCGTAAACGGTCTCTTGGAATTACAAAATGAAGACAAAGTCAATGGATTCGAGGAAAATTCGGGAATTACACCATCCAAACCACCGTTTATTTGGGACAAAAAGATTACTATTCAAAGTGCCCTCCATGGGGCTTGTATCTTTGTTACAAAAAGTTCGAATATTCCATTAATAGAACAGATAAGAATGCAGTGTCTCCATTATTTCAAGAATTATCGAGCTCCATTAGACAGACTACATGATAACAAAGAAATCGACTTTTCTATTTGGAGTGCATTAAACGCCGGATTTAAGGAAACAACTGATAATATTCAAGAGCAGAGAACATCCTCTAACACTTCTTCAAACGCAACACAAGATAATGAAGCGATTCCTTTTAAAAATGATGACCAAAGTCAACCTAACTCGCCTCTACAGTCAACATCTCTCGTAACGAAAATGCTTACGCAATTTGACATACCTCATTTGACAATCAAAGGATCCTACGAAGTACCTCTAAATGGTGTTCACTCAGAAACAACTCCTTTTATAAATTTTAAAGATGGTAAATTCAGACCTAAGGAAGAACTATCTCAAATATACAAGACATATGGAAGAAAATACTTTTCTACGAGGCAAGTTTATGCACTGGTAGATTACATTAAATACACCTTGAAACCATTTAACCAAATCGAGAATAATGAAAAATTTGAAGAGTCGACAAAAGAAGAGAATAAAATGACCATATTTGTCAAATTTTTACTTTGGTATAAAGAAATGAGATCTAGACCTTCTTCAGAGCATTATGATACAAGAGGTATATCTAGCCCTCCAGATAGAAACCTGTTTCTCTGTGCCACAAAAAATGGGAAACTCGAGATATTTTCATCAACAAAAAATTCTAAAATGCTTTTTACCAGAGGTGATATTGTGATTGTTCAAGGAGACAAAGGGAAAGATATGGCAGTTATAGTTGAACCTATCCTAAGAAATAACTTAGCTCTTCTATTCCAATTCTTAAAGAAAAAGATACAAATCGATGCGTCTTCCTCAACAGATCAAATACATGATAATTCGATTTTCATAGAAGATTTTATGAATACCATCAACAACACTCATGACGATGAACTGATCGATACATCTAGATATGGTCTGATCGATATGACCAGAAACAGCTATTTTACTAAAAAAATCATCAGATTTTCCACTAGGACAGAGGTAACAAACGAGCTTCATCTAAAGTATCAGAATGAACTAAAGATTTTACATGTAATAAGGACAAAAATCGATTCGTATAATAACTCTCTACAAAACCAATCTAGTGAGGAACTACAGGTTAAAATCTTAAATGCAGAATTTCAATTTGATATGTCGAAGGTGTATGTCTATTACATTGGAGACCACAACGCAGATTTTACTGGGATAGTATCTGATTTATTCAGGTTCTACAAAACTAGAGTTTGGTTTAATCCAGTACCAAATAATCTTAATGTTGATGAGAGCTACTTTAAAGGGGCTTGTAATGAACTAAGTATGCTACAAAATATGATCGAAGTAAATAACTTACCCTATATCCATTACAATAACAACACTTCATCATTTGCTGAAAATGACATTTCTAAGATTAGTGATTTTAATGAAGATGAGCTTTTTACCAATCCAATTCGCCAGAAATGGGAAAACGCAAACAGTCTACCGGATATGGCCCTAGATAATTATCAGATTGGTATGTACCAAGAACTAGTATCGCAACTGTTCGATTAGAAACGAGACTTCCTATCTCTTTTAATTTAGTTCCGTTTGTTTACTTGAAATAACTCTCACTCTGTTTTTTCCCATTCTTACAACACAATTTGTAATCATTTTATGTTTATATAAGTACATTTTTTCTAACATAATCAAACACAGTTTAATTACATACATTATACTTATTTAATTCCCAATATCAAACAAAAAACATAAACAGTCCAGAAGGATATAACCATGGTAGTATTCATTCTAGTTTCTTCCAACCACACCGAATAGGACTTACTCTGACCGTCCCTTTATGTTCACTCTGTCTTGTTATCATAATACAAATGATTATTTATAACTGGAAGTATTTTTCAGTTAATTTAATTGATTCGCTTAACGATTCTCGGGGTGCATACGACATACCCTTCCTCTTCAATTCATCAGAACTAATTCACTCGACAAATTGTTCAGTAATTTTTGCTCAGAAACCTGACTGAAAACTACCCATCCTTCTCAAAAGAAGCAGTGTTTGCTATTCTTGATATAATACGATAGGACGTACATATATGAGACAACTTCAATTAATTGATTGCAAAAGGAGTCAGGTTGTTTATACATTGAACTAAAAATTAACTTATATACCATAATTTATTTCATTTGATCTGATCTGATCTGTCAGTTTGATCTATTAAAGAATATTAAAACATCAGTGAGACAGTATCTGTGCCCTTTATTTTGACCTTCCAAATATTTATTCCATGGCGATCAGGAAGCAGGTAGCACCACTAATTGCTTACGCAAGAACATATTACTTCCAATACACAGTAATACTTCTATGTAGCATATTCTTCATATATTCAGAATTCAAGTTAGTACCCAGATGGGAGACTATCAAATTTCAACTGAATGATCCAAGTATAGGAAAAGAGTTTAAGGATGATGAATTGGTCAGTGACATTGAATGTGTTCTAATGGCCGTATTAATTGGAATGATAATCATTTCATGGTACTGCCTTATGAAATCTCACAAACAGTCTATCAAGAAACTAGCTGGTCCGTGGTTAAATAATAAACCAGAGTGGTTATCAAAGGAATACCACCTTTTCCATATTAGTGTACTATGCTTAGCATTAATATTAAGTATAAATGGTACATTGACGAATTCTTTGAAACTTATAATTGGTAACACACGTCCTGATTTTCTGGAAAGATGCCAGCCAGATTCCAACCAAATCCAGAATGGAGACCCCAATGCATACTACACTGCACAGATATGTACACAGAAAGATACAAGATTACTTTATGATGGTCTGAAGAGTACGCCAAGTGGGCACTCTAGTTTTATTATGTGTGGTTTGGGGTTCATTTACTTTTGGCAATGTAAATTTATTTCAGGGAACCCGTTACGAAATATATGGTGTTTGTTCCTTATTACAATAGTCATGATATCTAGAATCGTAGACCATAAACACCATTGGTATGATGTCATATCTGGTGGTTTGTTGGGTGTAGGTATAGTAATTACATGTTGGAGGTGGATGTTTATACAAAAACGTGCATCTGCGTCTGTTCTACCCCCACCAATTTCTCTATGAATACTCGCAGAATTTGTAGTTAAGGGCCAGGAAACTTTTATACAACTTCCATTCAGATATGCATCAAGAGACATCGGAATAGTAAATATTTTTATTATATACTGAATAGAGATAATTTTAGAATTTTTTATGTATCAATAAAAGTTCTTTAGAAATAACAATATGTACAAAAATATTATACGCTTATTTCTTACCTGGTTTTTTCCAGAAGTATTGTTTGTGACTCTTCCTACTTGATCTTATACCAGCCCTTCCACCTTTCAGACATGTTACAAGAGCTCTTCTATCTTCATCATAATCATTTTCTATATCATAATAAAATTCTTCCTCTAGTAGTTTACCTGCCGCATCTTTACCTTCACGCTTAATGACACCAATTGATTTCTCAGTTTCCAATAAGAGACGCAGTTCCTCACTATTTAATTTAGATATGCTATGGCTTGTATTTTGTAATTGCGAAAGAGGCGTTTGTTGTTGGGCAGCGAATGCTAAATGATTAGCAAGTATATGCTGAATTTCAGCACAGTTTATTCCCTTTTCTTCGAGATCCTTTATTGTCAGATTCGAGGAAGCTGCATTTTCCTTTGACGATTTAGCTTTTTTAGACCTTCCCTTTTGTTTTTTCAAAGAAGCATGTTGGGTATTGGTTGATAATTCAGATGGTAATGGTGATTGCAACCTTGGATTATTTAATTTTTGTCTCTTATTAGGTGTTTCAAATGATTCCTCCTTTGGAGTAGTACTAAAGTTAAACACGGGTTCAATATCACCAAACATTTCCTTTCTTATGTTAGCTGAAGAGTTATTTTTAGCTTCAATATTTTGATCTGGACCTTGGATTGGTGTTTCATAGTTATTGTGCAACCCAAATGAAGGATCAACAATTTTTTTTGGAGTAGCTGGATCCTGTACAGGTGGTTGCAATAAAGGTGTTACATTGGTATTCTGAAAGAATGTATGACTTTCTACGACAGAATTTCTTGATAAATTGTAATCATTTTTATGAGGTAATTTCTTTCCAGTTACATTCGATAAAGAAATTTGTTTATTATAAAGGGACATCTTGGTTGGGGTATCTGGTGGATTATGGAATGAATCTGTTGTGATAGGTAACATAGAAGCTTCATCCTCACTTTCAGTGGCACTTCCTTCGTTACTTTCTAAAGCATTTTCCTTTATATGTAATGCCACTTCAGCTTGTCTAAAATTAATTTTAATACCTTCTAAATATGGCATGACTACGGTTTCTCCCTTCACTAGAACAAAAGATGTTAAAACTTGTGCCTTTTCAGGTGGGCCATCCAATGACATCTTATAAATATGTTCTTCTTTATTAATATAGGAAAGATTGCAACGAATACCATTTGAAGATAATAAGACAATGATACCATTAGTACCATTACATTTAATTTTTAATTGGTTTTCTTTGTTTAAATAAGTGATAAAAGCATGTTGTCTAGAGATATTTTGACGATTAGGTAAAACAATATCACAAACAGATTTCTTTCTCCCAATCGTTAGACGAGTTATACTATTCTTTTCCAAATCTACATCAATTGAAGTTACTCGTGAACCTTTTGCATTAACAGGTGAAGTAGGAATAGTATCACGATTCTTCACAGGAGATGACATTCCCATACCAATACTTGAAGAAGGATCTGGAGTAGGCATTGGTTTGGAGTTCATTATAGTTGAGTTTAGTTGGGCATCTTTCCCTGATTTGTCATAACTTTTGCTAGTCATCGGACTTGACAACCTGAATCTCACAGGAGATGAAGGTGGGCAATCTACTGACATATTCTTCTTGGTTTTCTTCTTCTTTCTTAATAATACTAAGGATCTGATACTTTAATATCAAGTAAATATATTACTGACTGTAGTTTATTAGTAATATAACTATTTGGTGATATACTTTCTACCTTCTAGATAAGGATTAAATAATGTTGGTTACACTCTCGAATATATATTTTTGAATGTATAATAAAAATAAAAAAGAATTGTACTGAAGAGGGAGAGAGAGAGAGAGAAAATACATAAACATTCTTTCCAGGAGTACTAGAATTATGAAGGGTGAAAGGGGGATGGGGGTGTACGCGAAACCTCGATGAGTGTGTTATTCTCTTCAAATCAAAACAAAAGCGACGCGAATATTTTTGCACCACAAAGAAAACAAACAAACCAGAAAATGACGAAATGGGTGAGACATTTCGCGTCAACAACCAAAAAAACAAAATTAAACAAGACGAAAATCGATGAGACTGTTTCTTTTGTTCAAAACATCAGGACATCCTGTGACGCCACCCGTGCACCCAAACAGATGTTATTTTAACGGTTTTTTTGTTTTGAAAAGTTTTGGAAATTAAAAAAATCCCACAATAATTACCGAAAATGAATGGAAAACATATCTTTTTTTTCAGAGACGGAAACATTGCACCTCAGTAAGAAACCATCTGAGACAGCACAAATTTTGAAAATTTCACTCTTTGTGAACCACAGTAATAGAGAAACTGAACAGAAGATTGTAAACTGTTGATACACCTCTAATTTCCAAAGTTTAGCTTACTGGAAGGTGGCAGATGTGGTTTACTGCGAGACCCTATCCATAGTGTCGTATTAACATCTTTTAGAGGTAAAAAAATAACATATAAGTCAATATAATATATAAATTAACATATTCATTTCATTGTTTAGTTATAGAATAGAAGTATACAATCAAATAAATAGCAAACATGGGTAGTATGTAAATAAGATTTAAGATGGATAATGAAATAAGAAAATTGGGCGGAATAAGGCAGAATGATGAAGAACAAGACAAACGTCGAAGATATATTGATTAATTGGAATAATGAATAGTGTATAGTCATAATTTTATGGATTACATAAGGACTAAGATATTGTCGATGATACCAGTGTATTAATGAACCAGTACGTTAATTTGATAATTTTTGAATTTGAACTTTATTGGGTTCCCAGATGTATGACATCAACAAAGAGGGATACACGAAGAATACTATCATAAGCTGATTAACATCAGAACGTTCGAGGGACGATATTTTGGGAATTATCTTTTTTTATTGAGATGAAATAAACACATATTTACCAATATAAAGACGAATAGTCCAATACAAATTATAAGTTCTCTCATGAAACAATAGAAGAGTGACTTAAAATACTGAAAACTATATTTTTCTGTCCTAGAAATATTTCCCCTTTTTAATATCATATTTTTTTTTAGCACCATTTACTAACGAATTTATTTTAACGTAATTGATTTATTGAAATCTTATATGTATCGATCTTTGAATCGATGGTATTAAAATCCAATATTCTAACGTTATATATTATAAACAGAGGGTACTCCATCTTTCGGTAAGCGTCACAACAAATCTCACACTCTATGTAACAGATGTGGTCGTCGTTCTTTCCACGTTCAAAAGAAGACTTGTTCTTCTTGTGGTTACCCAGCTGCTAAGACTAGATCTTACAACTGGGGTGCTAAGGCTAAGAGAAGAAGAACTGTCGGTACCGGTAGAATGCAATATCTAAAGCATGTCTCTAGAAGATTCAAGAACGGTTTCCAAACTGGTACCGCTCAAAAGGCTTCCGCTTAAATAAATCTTCCAAAATTAGCATTCAATTTTATCTTCACCACATCTTAATGGTACATATATATACATATATTTTCAAATTTGTATTGTATTATTAAACAAAACAATAATAAATAAATAAAAAGGATTTTTAATTATATTACCATATTCGTTATAATATTATCATATTAAATGTTAAATATTTTTTACTTTCTATAAACCCATAGCTTTATATAAAGAATCTACATTTTCCATAGATACAGAGCTACCGACTTCAGCTTCAAGGATATGACGTGCCATCGATAAAGAAGTATCGTTATATTTAATTTGCATGATTTTGGAAGTCCGTTCTTGAAGTCCAGCCTCAATTTCATCCTTCACATAATCAGGTATATCGTCAAAAGCATCCTCATAATAATTAATATCGTCATCAAGTGCCATTCGATATAATGAATCCACAAGGATAGCTTGATCATTAAGTTCTATAGTACTTCGTTTTGGATTTACAACTGTATCATTACTAGTGGCAACTATTCTCCATAATGCCATAAATAACTCATTTTCAAATTCTTTAACTCTTTCAGTGTCTATATTACGACGATTTTGGGTCCAAACTCTAAAGATAGTTGAAACCAAATGCTCAATAATTTCTTGCCTATGTATGACATTTGGAGAATCTTGCCCAATGCTTCTTTCCAACAAAATCTCTTGTTCTCTAGAAAGTAATTTCGTTAAACTTGATAACATTTCACTATTCGCTATTTGTAAATCATTTGGGTATAGTGCCAATAAGGAGTCAAACAGATTTAATATCTCATTTTTCAATAAAAAATTCCAATATTCAAATTGAAAATCAATATCATCATCATGATTAGTTAATTGTAAATCATCCTTTGATATTACTGAAGGTGTCCCCTGAATAATGTTCGGATCTATTAATTTTGGAATTATTTGTCCAATGGTATCGTTTCCAATATTCCTTATTAATCCAAAACTGTCATGATATCGACTAAAATTTAGTGCGTATTTAATATCTGTTGAATCATCAATATCTGTGTTTTTAATTTCTTTTTCTAAAATCGAATATACTCTGAAAATACATTCATTCCACCACGAAGATTCTAAAAGTGACCCAGTGCTTGAATCCTTGTTTCCAATATTAGCATTATCAATTGGTAATAGGCTTTCCTGAATATTAGCTATTGTTTTTAATGTCTCTATTATATTAATAGTCACTCTAAAATTGATTTTATACGAGATTGGTAATGCCAACTTATAGATAGATTTAAGTAGAGTCATTAAAGTTGGATCAAAAAATGATTTAAAATCTTCCTTTGATATCTGATGTGATTGTAATATTCTAAGTGACATTTCCAACAAGTCAAAAGAGTTGAATATAACCAAGTTATTAATTAACTCAAATTGAAATATTTGTGGTTGTAATTGTTCATTTTCGTAATCCTGTGGTAATTTGGATTCCATTAATGTATGTTCTTCCACTCGTATTAAGTCACAAAGGAACATAAATGTATTTTTCAACACATACTGTCTCACAGCACTTGGTCTAAATGTAATAATTTGGTACATGATTTCCAATAAGAATGGTACAGCAATGTTAGACTCGGTCTCATTAAAACATATAGTCTTAATTAAAAAAGCTATCTTCTCCTGAAGAATCCCAATGCATTTATCTAACGATAAACTTTTCTTAGTATCAGAGAGCAGAATAAATAATGATTTACCAATAGATTCATTATCCCAAATTCTATAATCTTCCTTCAATTCAGAACTTTGAATATTTTTCAATGTTAATTTATTCAAAATTTCTATTGTGGTCATATCGGTACCAACCGATCTATGAGATATAATTGCATCAAATAATAAACTTACTTCATCTGCAGTTATTTTATTAAGATTCAAAAGGACTGCAGGACTATTATTGCCATTTTTTTTAGGTGGTGGTAAAGTTTCACCAATCTTTCTTCTCTTAACTATAGGTGAACTAGTAACACTACTTCCAGGTTGCCCTCTATGTCGGTTATTTAAACTTATACTAGCATTTCTTATACGTGAGGAATTTATTGATACTGGTGTGACTGGAGACGAGGATGACGTTGATAATGATACGGCAGTTGATGATGATACGGTTGCCATAGTAGCCGCTGTAGCGGCAGCTGTCTTTGCACCCATTGTGAGAAATCTTTTCTCGTCTTGTAACCTTTGAATGGTTTGTTTCAAATTACCTTCCTCAGTGATATGGCCTTCGCTCAATTTCGTCATTTGTTCTTGTAATAATTTTCTCTCTTGTTCTCTTTCTTGATTGAGACGTGAGATCTTATCTCTAAGCACGCTTGCTTCTCCCTTTGCCTCATTCAATTGGTGTTCTAGAACATTCCCGTCATTTAGATCTGTTCGGCTTTCATTACTATTGTTGGTATCTGTAGTTAACGTACTAGTATTTGTCTGTGTCGTGGGAGCAGTAGTTACCTGGGTTGACTTTGGTGGTTTATTTGCCAGTTCTAAAAGCTCATCGAAATCCTCCCCAAAGGAAAGTGAATCCTCATCAGACATCTATTATGTAATATTACTGCTAAATAATAACTCCGACTGATATACTTCACTTCACTATCCTCCCCCTTTTCCTATTATATAATATGCCATCTATCAAATAATATTAGTAAACACCTTTTAACAAATATCTTAACCTTGTTATTGTTAATTAATTAATTACTATTATTATAATTAATAATTCCTTATTCATCGCGCGACGCTCAGAGAATATCGCGAAATTGTTGATAGTGTGCGATGACCATTTGATGAGTAAGATATTATTAAGTTCTGATTTATTTCGTTAATTTGCGATATTTTGGTGTGGCTAAATTGATTAGAGTTTGCTTTTGATTCTGTGTGTGTGTGTGTGTGTGCTGTCGTGACAGTTTCGAGAACTCCGACAGGAAAGCAAAGGTATATAAAGGGTGTGTGTTCTGGATGAGACATGTCAAAGGTTGCATTTTTTGTTTTTTGTCTTTCTCGATTTTGGAATTTACATTATGATCGTTAGTAATAATAGATCAAGAACTAATTATTCCATTCAAATACACTAAACAAATTTATAATGACCAAGATTTTACGTACACTTGCACACCATTTCATCGCCACAGAGGCTAAAGAAGGTGTGGGTGCCACCGTTAGAAGATCCATCGGTACCCACAAACAACGTAATTTTAGTCCCTTTTTATTATTGGACCATTTCACAGTATCACCACCGGCTGGGTTCCCAGACCATCCTCATCATGGACAGGAGACCATTACATACATGTCACAAGGTATGATAGCTCATGAGGATTTCACTGGTGCTAAAGGGATACTACGTCCTGGTGACATGCAGTTTATGACAGCTGGGAAAGGTGCTATGCATGCAGAGATACCAGTTCTAATGGCAGATAATTCACCATGTGTTGGTCTGCAGTTATGGGTGGATTTGCCAGCTAAATTAAAGAACGTTGATCCAAGATATAGAGACCTAAGAAATGATGATATTCCTATTGCTAGGCCAAATGATCATCTAAGCGTAAAAGTTATCAGCGGTAACTCATATGGTGTCGAATCAGTGAAAGAACTAGCATACACTCCTGTGGAATATTACGTATTTAACTCAGATAAGAAAGATACGCATTTTGAACAACAAGTACCTTCTAACTTCAATGTATTTCTATACGTTAGCAAAGGTGCTGTTTCAATCAATGGACAGCATTATCCCCAATATTCTACATTATTCTTTAATATCGACGGTAATACTATCGAGGGAACCATTGATACTGATGAAAAGACTGAATTTTTCCTGATTGGCGGTTTGATCCTAGAACAACCAATTGTCCAGCACGGTCCCTTCGTTGAAACTGACAGTGAAAAATTACTTAAGGTTTTTGAAAACTACCAGACAGGTACTAATGGGTTTGAAAGGGCTGTTGGTTGGAGATCTTCCATAAGAAATGGAATTACTGAAGCCGAAGTTGCCGATCACCATTAAACTCGTTACAGACGCTTAATATATAAATGTATACCAGTATTTAATTATATATATAACACAATATTCTTAAGTTTATATCTAAAATATTCCATTCTCTGTTATCTTGGGTTGAGCCCTTCAACCATTGTATCGTATCTTAGTCTGTCATCTCTCTGTCTCTTTTGGAAGCCAAAAAAGTGAAAAATTATTAAGTGACAGCGCTGAAGGTTTATTTCGTAATTTAAGTAAACAAATTAAAGGCCAACAAACAAAGGGTGACGAATAGTTTTAAAACCAGGAAAACCATAACTACCCCTGCTGCAGTTGTAGAAGAAGAAAGGTTTTGGTAAAAGCTTACATATAGGGAAAGCACATTTTCGTGTTCATTTTGTTTAACCTCAAAAAATCTCACATCTCTATAAATAATGTCAACAAAGAAGAAGGGTTCCAAAAGAGATAAGAACCACCACGGTTCCAAAATTGTCGATATTAATGAACCAGATAATGATCCATTTTATGCCTCTCCACTTTACGATTTCTTAGCTCCATTTAGACCGGCAGGTAGTCAATGGCTTACACATTACGTGATTATTATATTTGCGTTGATTATTCGTCTGGCAATTGGGTTAGGACCGTATTCTGGTATGAATACACCTCCGATGTTTGGTGATTTTGAAGCACAAAGACATTGGATGGAGATTACGCAGCATTTACCAATATCAGAATGGTATTGGTTTGATTTACAATATTGGGGTCTTGATTATCCACCTTTGACTGCCTTTCATTCTTATGTATTGGGTAAGATTGGTACATTCGTTTACCCAGCATGGTTCAAGTTGAATGAATCTCGTGGATATGAAGGAGATGGGATCAAGACATTTATGAGACTAACCGTAGTTCTAAGCGATATCATTTTCTACATTCCAGCTGTTGTATATTTTACAAAATGGGTTGGAAGACATAGAAACCAATCACCCGTAAGTCAATATATCGCTGCCGCGGCAATTTTATTCCAACCGTCTTTAATGCTAATTGATCATGGTCATTTTCAATACAACTCTGTCATGTTAGGTTTAACAGTTTACACCATTAATAATTTATTAGATGGGTTTTACTCAATGGCCGCAGTATGTTTTGTCTGGTCTATATGTTTTAAGCAAATGTCTCTGTATTATGCGCCAGTATTTTTCGCATATTTGTTAAGCAAGTCTTTATTCTTCCCAAAATGGTTCAATGTTTCAAGGTTTATTGGTATTGCTATCGCTACAGTATTGGCATTTGTCTCCGCATTTGGACCCTTATACCTATTTGGAGGAAGAATTCCAAATCTTCAACAATGTATTCATCGTATTTTCCCCTTTGCAAGAGGTATCTTTGAAGATAAAGTAGCAAATTTCTGGTGCGTTGGAAATTTGTTTATAAAATTCAAAACATTATACACACAAGAACAACTTCAATTATACTCTTTAGTTTTGACTGTGGCTGGTTTCATGCCAGCTTTTTTGATGAGTCTATTGTATCCAAAGAAACATTTATTACCTTATGCTCTCACAGTCTGTGCCATGTCGTTCTTTTTGTTCAGTTTCCAAGTTCATGAAAAGACTATATTAGTACCTTTACTACCAGTTACACTACTATACACATCCAATGATAGAAACGTCCTATCATTTGTTTGTTGGATAAATAATGTCGCTCTGTTTACCCTGTGGCCATTGTTGAAGAAGGACCACTTATCTTTGCAATACAGTACATGTTTTATAATGTGTAACTGGCTTTTGGGTAACTTCAGTTTTTTTACGCCAAAGTTTTTGCCACGTTTCTTGACCCCAGGTCCACCAGTTAGTGACACTAATAAGGATTATCGTCGCAGAAGTCTCTTGCCAAACAATATCCTATGGAAAATAATTATTATTTGTTCCTATATAGCGATGTTTTCTATCCATATTGGTGATCGATTTATCGAGCCACCTAAACAGTATCCAGACTTATGGGTCATTCTAAACTGTGTCGTCGGGTTTGGTTGTTTTGTCTTGTTCTGGTTATGGGCTTACTATAAATTATTTACTTTAAGAAACAAGACAATACAAGCCTTATGAATTCAAATCACAAAGTTTAATATGTTACTAATTAAACAATGCTTTGTGTTTTTTTTTCCGGTTATAATCAATATATAATTAGTTTTATGTAACTTATTCTTCGATAATTATCTGTTTATCTACATTAAATGCCTAACGCTTTTCTTATTATTAACGATATTCCGGAAAGGGACCTTATTTATGGAAGCGAAAAAAGAAAATTTTTTAGCGATGAGCTTTAAAATAAAACAATAAATGTTAATAAAATATACCTTATACAACACACCTCAACTCTCCGATATATCACTTTATTTCTCCCAATAAACCGTCCATTATTATACGTTTACACTGAATTAAAAATATGCGTCAAAAAAGAGCTAAATCCTATAGAAAACAGTTGCTTGTTTATCACCACACATTCAAGTTTAGAGAACCATATCAAATCATAGTCGATGATCAAATTGTAACAACTAGTAATGACTCTAGTTTTAACCTTACCAAAGGTTTACAGAGAACTCTTCAAGCTGAAGTTAAAGTTATGATTACTCAATGTTGTATGCAAGCATTGTATGAAATAGGTAACCAGGATGCGATATCTATGGCTAAGCAATTTGAAAGACGTCGTTGTAATCATAATCCAAAAGATCCAAAAACTCCCATGGAATGTATTGAAAGTATTGTTGATATTAACGGCGAGAACAAACATAGGTATATTGTTGCTTCTCAGGACATCCAAATTAGAAGGAAATTAAGACACATCCCTGGTGTACCATTGGTACACATATCGAGATCTGTCATGGTGATGGAGCCATTGAGTGACGCAAGTGCGAGAGTGAGTAGGAGAAAGGAAGTATCGAAACTGTATGAAGGATTAAACAATCCAAAACCATCGAAAGAGAAGCCTGCAGAAAAAGAAAGTACTGCAACAGAATCAAAAAAGCCAAAACAGAGGGGCCCAAGAGGTCCAAAAGGTCCAAACCCATTAAGCATGAAAAAGAGAAAAAGGGAAACGAAAGCTGATATTGATAGTTCCAAGAATGGAATGAAGTCCTCTTTGAATGATAAGGAGGAAGGGCAATCTGGGACAAAAAGAAGAAGGAGAAAGCATAGCTCTCAAACTAAAACAAGTGCAACCGATAACTCTGAAACAAAGGAGAGTGTGTCTGGCACTAATGCAGAACCGGCTGCAGAAACAACAGACAACATTTAGTATAACTTGCACAGAATAACTTTTAACCGCATCTAATATGTACATTAATAAATTTTTTTATTTAAACCTGTATAACGCAATACATAAATTGTACTCCGTGTCGAATTTGTCATCTCTCAACCAAATACAGCAGTCTCGCTTTTTCTTGGAGTATTTCATGAGGTAACGTACTGAAAATCTTCTTCTGGCAACTGTATGTTCCTTTCAATAGACTCTTCTATCCAATGACTATTCACGATGTATGGTATGGTTGGTACATGAGAAGACGCACGTACACGTTTTGAAAAACTGTGCCGAATGTTCCTAATATCATTCGCTATATCAATAGAATACTTTATACCGATAACAACTAAATTACAGGTATCGAGATCAGTTGTAATTTCACCACCAAAAAGTTTGATCTTAATCTGCAAATTATATACATTCGGGTTATAAATTGTATCCTGCACAATAAACACGACTCTTCTGTAAAAAAGAAATTGAGGAATAGAATAATATGTATTATAACTGTCATGAACTTTAACTGAATCCACATTATCTTCAATACATTTTAGTATTGCACTGTCATCCACAAGTGATGTGTAGCTATCCTTAAATTTGTCCACTCTCCAATGTGCTAAATTGCTCAACTCCTTAGATACATCAAAGCAATGGTCTGGTTCTAATTTTATTACACGATTATTTTGGATACAGTCAATTATCCATTTTGCACTTATGATATCGTACCCTCTTCTGGTCAAAGTTTTACATTCGGTAGTGTATCGGTTTCCTATAATACGCAAATGTTTGTAATCCCATTCCTTCAATAAGATGTTGTACACGATTTTTCCACCATTTTCAACAATTGTATCAATTATGTCTTCCTTTGTATTTCTTTTACTATTGCATTCGTCAATATAATCGGTCGTAACGTAAAACGAAAGATTTCTAAAAATTTCTGTTTTTTTGTTAACGTTAGCTGTATTGTTCTGAAAAGAACTCAGTATCCCATAATTTTTGTTTAGTTTTCTTCTCTTTGGGGATACTAACTCGTGATTAGCACTGTTATACTGGTTATTTCTTGACATCCTATCATCCTGAAATGATCTATATGTGTAGCAATTTCTCCAATCTTTGTCATATCGAACTTGACGACAGTAACCACCAAATAGAGTGCATCCAACCTTATATTTATGTGATTTGGCACTAGTATTATCCAGTGACCTTGCCTTTACCTCTAAAACAATCGAATTTCTGGGATCTATCCATTCTACGGGAATCTTTGTTCCAAACAATAGTTCAGAAGGCGGTGGTACAGTTTCAGAACGTTTCCATTTACCTCTGGTTTTTCTGCTAATTTCTTTAAATTCTTCTTGTGATAGCCCGTTTGCAATGGTACAGAATGACATCACGCATTTTAACTCCTTAGGTTCGCTCTCATCTGGTAGGTCCGTTTCAATCTCATCTGCTGAGGTAATCTCGACTATATCATTTGAATTTAATTTATTATCATTTTCATACACAATTAGACCGCAAATTAAGGAGTCTTTCTTACCTGAATCTCTTCCCATTACTATCAAATCCATATTTTCACCAAATTGTTCTAAGTATTCGGGTTTTACTTTTATCCAACTATCATTTCTACTACCTATAGAGTATTTACTATTATAGGCCTTTAAGATAATACCTTCTGAGCCTAAATAGATTGCTTTCTCCAATGAAGATTTTATTAGCTCCTCACCGTCACATTTGACAGTGTTGATAACCTCAACACGATGAGGAACTGGTGTTAATATTTTTGTTAGATAGTCCTTCCTTTGATGGAGCGGTGACTCTGTCAATGGTACACCATTGACATATAGTAAATCGAATATCACACACATTGGGGAAAACCCTTCATTTAAAATATCGTTTTGTGTTAAGACATCTTTCGCACTACTTTTTACAATGCCGAACGGCAGTACGATTCCCCTCCCTATATCAAATGTAACCATTTCGCCATCTAGAATACAATTCTTAACTTTTCTGTCAAGTTTCAAATACTTCGCTACAGTGTCACTATTCAAATCGCTTCCATATAAATATGTAAAATCTGTTCCACGCCTACTTAGAAATTTTATCTCTTTTCCATAATTCATATAATGTATTTGTATCCTTTCTCCATCCATTTTTTCCTCTATCAAGAAGTTATTCGACAATTTTTTACTGACAGTTGCATAGGTTGAATTCACCTTCTTGGCTAATTGTGGTGAGAATGCATAACCTATTCTTATTGCTAAATCATCTTGCTCTAATCTAACATTAGGATCCCATAACCTCTTTGTTAGTACTCGTAAATCTGAGACCACGCTTAAATAATCCCTTGCATCTGGGTGCCAACAATTTAGAAATTTGTGTTCCTGACCACCGATGACCCTGTTCTTCAATAGGATATCGAAGAAATACTTCATTTCGATAAAAGACATGTTATGCAGACAGTACTGAAATATTTCGGAGTTTGCCAGAGATTTGTAACCCCTATCCTTTGTATTTCTTTCTTGCGATAATTGGTCCAACTTGGAATTTAATTCGTCTATTGATATCCGGGTTGGTCTCAGCGATTTCTTGATTGGTGATCCTTGGGAATACTCACTTCTACGTTTACCTATTTCATCAACACATATATTAGAGAGTTTATCACCCCGAGAGGCGTACTCCTTCCAATGAAGAAGTTTCTTCTCAGTGATCGAATTTCTTGGTAATTTAAGCCATAAACATAATGCTTTACCTAATGTAATTTCCTTGATATTAAAAATTGTTCTATCTCGATAAGGAAGAATCAATCTTAGTGCAGGATAGATATCATTACCAACAGTCTTTCTCCAAAGATTTATAAATCGTTGTATTACTTCGTAGTAAAGGGTATAAACAGGTTTGTTTAACTCTTTCGTATTGCTTTTTGCAATTTCATCGATCTTTACAAATAACTCTTTACAAAGCCATAGAAAATCCGGTGAAGGAGATATGTTCATTGGCTCTTCGCCAGCTTCATTATAATTCAAATCCATATATTAACCATTTACAGCAGATTAGTGGGGGTTATTGTGGCAGTTTTCTCTTTGTTTTGCCCGAAATCGTGAAGTATCTATGATTTAATATGATTACTCTTTATATTAATTTCATAGATTCATGAGCAATTTCGCGTTGATGAGTAAGGTTTTAAGGGTTCGGGGTTTAATTTATTCAAGTAAAAGTTTATATGAAATATTGTTAAAAAATGAACAGTAAAAAAACAATAATGTATAATTTTTTTATGCATAATATATATATTTATATATCTGTGATGGAAGAAATGCTTCAACTTTTTTTTTTCTTTTTTATTAATATTTACTCGTGGTCCTCCTGTTTTATGCCGGGACAATGTTCGTATAACTCTTGTTCATTCTTATACCTTACTCCACAGTAACAACAAAAATATATCTCAGATCTAAGGAAAATGTTCAATTTCATAATTTTCTCTTCTGTGGTCATTTCATCGAACAATTCCAATTCAGGATCTTCTTGTAAACCAGGTTCTTTTACAATTTTATTTTCAATTTCAACTTCTCCATCAATATCATTGTCTTTCTTCTCTCCTGAAGTCTTAACTTTCTTACAAGCTTTATTCAAAACCTTAACATAACCTCTCCATAAAACGTTAAAGTCTCGTGGGTCATCTCCAGGTTTATATATCTTTGCATCTCCTGTCTTTTCGAATGCAATCTTTTGTAGTTTATGCCATTGATTTATTAATTTATCTTCACCTTCAATGATGCTATTTCTTCTCCTATATTTATCCTCATTAATATTTTTTTCAATGTTATATTCCGTGATATCATCTGAGTAATTATTTCTTTTGCTTATGAATTCCACCGATACGCTATTTCTTTTCGACCCCGTACTATTCTGATCTTTGTCAACTATGCTAATATCATCTGTTGACGAGCTCGGTTGGATCTCTTTGTCTTGTGAAGATTTTTCTTCAGTCATAATAACTCTACTGATATCGGCAAAATCTGGTTCTAAGGGATCGACTTCCTTTTCTATTGTATTATCGAGTTTAACTCTCTTATTAGATATATTGTGATCTTTTTTACTTGGAGATATTTTATATGAATCATCCTTGTCGATAGTCCCAATATGACGTTTCTTTGTTTCTTCAGCTATCATTGTATGGTATTTTTATTTTGTTTCGTTTTCTTAGATATTTAACTGTCTAGCTCACTAAAATCTTTTAAAATGTATGTATGTTTGTGTATATGGTTGTTATATTTGCTTATTCATTAAAATAATAGATAATGCAGTAAAGACAAAATAAATTTATTTAAAAAAAAAACACTAATGATCTGTTATAATAGTTCAATCCCCTTATTTGATTTGTTTTCCTTTTTCTATTCTTATTTTTTCTTGCAAATTTCCAACTTTTTTCAATTTTTTATTTTTTTGGCTGTGTGTCTCTCTTGCTCTCTGCACCTAACAAATATACCAATTTACTAAACTGTAATAGAATCTCTTCGCTTCGTGACTTTCTTCGCCATCGCTTCCCCTCACTGAAAGAGTTTAGCAATAATTTATTGTAAAAGTCACAACTAAGTTGTAATAAAAACGTTATAATATTTTATTGACTTTCAAGGCAGTAATAGTCAATGACAATAAGAAAATTTTGCATATATATGTATATATTGATCGCTAATGAATTATAGAGTTTTTACTTGGTAAAAATTTTAATAATCGTAAATCCTTTTTTCTTCTTTAACTATTGAAGACGCAAGTACATACCTTCATATATATATGTATATGATAATTGATACGATTGTTCTAAATAAAAAATGAAACAACAAAGTAAATTATTTCTATAATGAATTGTCATTTTTGGTTTTTGTAATTTTATATTATCATTTACTGATTTTCCATTGAAAATCCGTTTACAAGTTTTGGAACTTTAGGGATACCATCATCTTTTAATTGTTTTTCAACTTCTCTTTCTAAACCTCTCTTCCACAAATCATGATTTTCACCAATAACGTATGTTAATGTCTTATTCATAAAACCTTTTGGACCTAAATAATTTAAAAGTTCAATTGCATCATCAATTAAAATGGCTTTACCTGCAGCAATACCATTACCTAAACCAGCATGTTTAACATTAACAATATGAATATGGAAATGATAATAAGATGGTTGATAATGAATAAAGACTCTTAATTCATCAGGATGAACAGCATAATTATAACAACCTGGAATTACAGATTTAATCTTATTATAAATATTTATTAACCATTCTTGATCATTTGGTCTTAAGTCTCTTAAAGATTTAATATCATCTCTATAAACAATAGCAACTAAATATAAAGCATCGATATTAATACCATCCCACTTCATATCTGGCAAAACAATAAAACTATCACGTTTATTATCTTCTTGATAGTCTTTAAATACAACACGATCTGCTTCTGCACCTTCATATAAAATATTATCTACCCATTTCAGTCTCTTATTATTTGACATTTCTTTAACATAAGGTTCAACAACTCTTGTATAAATTTCTGGAGTTTCTCTAATTAAATGAAAATTTTGTTGTTCGTATTTTCTAATATGAACTTCTGTAGCTGGCCAAATTAAATTAATTTTTGCAGTTGGGTTATATTTGATATTTTGTTTCATTACAGAAAGACCCCAGTGATAAATATCATTAGAGGTAATTTCTTTTAATTCTTCAATACCATTAATACAAGAATATTCATTTTCACATTGATAAAATACTGGTGTACTTGTACCATCCTGTGATGGTCTTCTTATGTTTTCATCAAAGGTGAAATGTGTCTTTTCTGCTGTAATGATTGCTTCTTTATCATCGATGGTACCTAATAAAGAGATTACTTTAGTTTGGGGATTGGAATCAAGTACTCTTGTAAATTGGAATTTCCTAATTAAAGATAGTAATTCAGCGTTATTCGCTTTTTCTGTCGTAGTAGTTTCAGAGGACATATTAGTAAACGATATCGAAATATTAAAGAATTGATACTTGTTGAGGATGATTAAGACTAAAATAAATAAACTATATTGGTTTGATTATTCTTCTTTCTCTCTTATCTTTTTTTGTTAACTCCAAATATAAAATATATAAGATTCGATAATAAGGGTGTCTATGGATATATGATATTATAGATGTTTTCACAACTTAATAGAAAGGAACTAATTAAAAAATGCACTAAAAAAATCAATAAAAGATGTGTATCTATCTTTTATATATATATATATGTATATATTATCCAGAAACAAAAGGGGTCAAAAGAGGGAAAAAATATTGATAAAAGGGTATTTTATTCTCTTAATTGAAATTTTTGGTATTACTTCAAGTTCTGCTGCGGTTTCTTTATTTCAACTGATTTTTTTTTTTTACGTATCTGCGAGAAGAGCATTTGCGCATCTACACAGTTGAAAATAGATTAAAAGGGATATATATCTATAAAGAAGTTATCAATGAAAGTCATACATGTACATTCATTAACAAAATATTTCGAAAACATACATATTTAGGAATTATACAGAGATATATATCAATTAATATATATATATATTTCCACATTATTTATTTAATAATAATAATGTTGACAGAAAAATTATTTTTATAACTGATTTACTCTTCCATTTATATAGATATTTGAAGATATCATTATATATATATATATAGAGAGAGGATAGTATTAACAATCCTTCTCTTATTTACTTTTATTTTCTCAATTCTATTTTAAAAATACCCACCAAATTAAAAATACAAAGAAGAATGCAACAATTGCAATTGGTGCATATTGGCTAATTAGTAAATCAAAATTAATCTTTTGTGCAGATTTTCTATATCTTTTTGAAGATTCTTTTAATGATGCACTCATATCACTCATTTTATCTAATGAATCACCTCTATATAATAAATCTTCAATATTTTTTGACATAATTTGCTTAACACCGACTAGTTCTTGGTTTAATTGATCTAAATTATCTTGAACTTTTTTATCACTATAAGCTTTTTTTGTCTTCTGTAAAAAATTATCAAAACTGACAAATGCATAAGGTCTTATATTTGGTTTACCATATTCATGTGAATAAGAATGTTGAAATTCTTCTGAGACGTCACCAAGGTAAGAAAATGCTAAATTACGTGGATAACCAATTTCACATATTACAACAAAAATAACAACATCTCTTTTAATATAATTAATTTCATATTTACCACTTTCTAATGTAGCTTCTGTTGCAGAATTTGGTGTTAACCTTGAAATAACAATTTTAACTTTTTTCTTTTGTTCATTTAATGACATATCACTTTCATCATCAACTGATGCACAAAGTGGTAAACCATCGTCTCTATAAATAAGTGTAGATTTAATCATGTGTGTATGTATGTATTGTATTTGATCTGATGTAAATATGTAATAACAATAGTAACAATCCTCTATAGAATATAATTAAAATTGGAGAAGTATTTCAAAACTATTTAGACTTATAAGGCACAATAATATTGGTTCAGAGGTTTAAAAAGATTCAAATCACTGTCTCTCTCTTTCTCTCTCTCTATTGGAATAACTATTAACGAAGAAAAGAAAACATTATGTATTTGTCGTATCAAACAAATTTTGCTCTCAACAAGCAGGCGGGAAAGAACAACAACAATTGAAATGAAATGAAACGGTCGAAACGACGTAGCCATTTCCACCACAAACAATAACAATAATTAACACGAAATTTTGAGAGAAGAAAAAAATAAAGACTTAACGGTCACGTGCGTGTGTCATAATATACGACGCACAATTATATTTAAAGAACTCCGTTACATCAGTTTAATTAACCTCCTATTGTTACTGTTGTAATATTGATTAATAATATATCTGACCATATATATCACCAATGGTACTCCAGGCATATTTGAATCAACAACTTATGTCAAATAGATACATTTGTTTGTATATTGATCAATTGAAATATTCTTTGAATGAACGTACGGCGCAAGCAAAGAAAATCTGTACGTAAATAGTATTTTTCGGAATGATAAGCCCGAGCTTTGATATTTGTATATACTCTTTTCTACAAATGGCTTAATAGAAGAAAAAGGGAAGGAGACAGAGATTCAGCTAAATATAGGATTTATGATTGGGTGAGGTAACTAAGAGAACGTGTAATTCTCAATGATTTAATAGATAACCTAAAGATAGAGGGAACATTCAAAGGGAAATACAAAATATTTTCCAGAAACCACCACATATATATATATATACTTTTGATCTCAAAATTTAGATCTTCCATCGATAAATATTTCCTATCTTCAGCGATAGTAATAATAAGAATAAGGTTAAAAAAAGAAGAAGAAAAGATGAATAATATTCAAACACAAATACCAGATATGACTTCATCGCTATTGAAGCTACCATTGGAGATTGTTCAACAAATAATTACACAATTAGAAATTAATTCAACAAATTTTTTATTAGATTTTGTTAATGTTTTATTAGCAATGGATGTTAGTAATGATTATAATAGTCAATGTTATGAAAAAATTATTGAAATATTTAAATCACAAATTGTAGTAATGGATTTAACAGACTCAAAACAAATAATTTCAACACCTTTATTAACTTTATTAAGAAGGAATTTTTTATTAGATATTGATAAACTTAATGAAACTATTCCGGATAATTCAAATGATAAAATTGAAGATAATGATAATATAATTTCGAAAAAAAAATTTGATTATAAAAAATTAGTATTAATTATTGATGATACTTTACAATTAGTTGATGAAACTTTAATTGAATTTGAAAATATTTTCCAAAGATTAACTACAGGTAAAATATCTATTGACATTATTTATTGTCCTTGTACTTCTTCTTCTTCTTCTCCTTCAAGAGGGAATAATTATTTAAATTCTTCTATCTTAAGATTACTTAATCAATTTGAAAGTGTTTTCAAAATTTTTAATACTTTAATTATTGAATTTCAACAATCAACAATTCAAACAAATCGAAATTTTTTTGATATTTTAAATTATGAATTTTTCATTGAATCAAATACTATAACTAAAAAGACTTTAACTCCAAGATGTAAAAAAATATCATTTCCATCAATTAAACAATTAAAAATGGATTATTTAACAATTGATTCGTTTATTTATAAAATTTTAGAAAGAAAAAATAATGCTATTATGCAATCAACTACTATTATTCCAAGAAATGTCATAATTAATGGTAATAATACTAATGTTGGTACATTAATAATAAATGAAACAAGTAATTTTATTGAAAAATTATTTATTGGTATTTTAAAAGATATTGAATTTTATTTACCAAATCTTCAATCATTAGAATTTTATAATTATAATAATGAAGAAACTTGTAATTTTATTGATTTATCAACTTTAGTATTAAAAAAATTTAATGAACATTTATGTCCTTTAAAATTTTTATTTGATTTACATTCTTTTAAAAATTGGAATATGCCAAATTTAACTTATTTTACTGGTCATAGATTTAAATATGATGAATCAAAAATGTCTGGTTCAACTGAAAGAATGAAAAGATCATTAAGTGATAATATTAAATTATTACATAAAATTGCAATGAATGAAACAAGTGATGCAACACCTTATTTTAGAGTTAGTTTAATACCAAAAGGTGTAAAACGTTCAAAAATTATTAATTGGTTGCCATCAAATTCACCAAATTCTTTTAGATCGAATGGTACAAATATTGATAATCAAAATAATATTGATTTAAATGATATTGATGATAATGATGATTATTATGATTCTAACGGACATTATTCTGCGCCAAGTGACCTTTCAGAAAGAAATCAAGAACAAAATTTTTTTAATAAACCAATTCTTTGTTTAAAAAATGATTCAATTGAAACTTTAGAGTTAAGATTATTAACAATAAATAAAAATACTAAATCGATTTATATTCAAGGATTATTTATGACAAATTTAAAAGAATTAATAATTCAAAATTTTACAACAATAACAAAAAGAGCCAAAATTTCAGATAAAAGAAATTCTATTGTTTTATTAAGTCCAACAAGTAGTAATCAAAATAGAATAACACCGGTATCTTCAAATAATACTAGTATTGATATAAATGTTGATACATCAGATATTGATGATATTCACCCAATTGGATTTTCATCATGGAATAGTTTGCCATCATGTGAATTTATTCATTTTAGTACCAATCAAAGTAATTGGAATGATAAAATCTTATTAACTGAAAATTTAGATAAAAAACAAATTAGTTTCCTCTTTAAAATTAAAAATTTAAAACGAGTACTACCAAAAATAAATTTAGCTGAAAGTTTTGATAATTTTATTGATGAAAGACAAAAATATATAATTGTGTAAGTATTGCTACGAATGTCAACAGCAAAAGCAAAAAAGAATAAAGATGCATCATATTTTTTTATTATCTGTATAAGTAACCATTAGTGAAAGGTTACATAATATTTTTTTTCGCATTTTACTTTCAAAAACTATGGAGATTCTCAAAATATATAAATTATATCAAATGATTAAATACAAAGGTGTCTTTTTTTTATTACACATATAAACCAATTTTCTGTACATTTTAACAATGTCATTTTTTTTTATTTCTCTGTTTCTTGAAGTTTTATTCTTCAATTGAATATTTATGTGGAGCTAAAATCATTTCCAAACAGTCTACTATATCACTGTGTCATCACAATTGGTAAGTGAATCTTAATTCACTGTTCATTAGAATCTCGTTCGTTGAAACACCAATTAAGCTGAAATAGTATTAAACTAAGAATCTTAGTATCATAGACCATAATTGACAGTAAACTAACAAATATATTCGAGTGGCAATAAATGTAGCCTATCCAAATTTAATACCTTGGGCCATTAATAAAAAAACGCCTACTACCATAACATTAACGAAAAAAACATATAATGTAATATCTTATGAATAAATGATTCACGTGAGTAATAATAAATATTTATATTTTTTTCTTTATGCTTGAAATTTAAAATTGTATACTGTTACCGAAGTAAACTATTACTATTTATTTTTATTTATAAGGGCGCCTGAAAAAATAATAGATATTAGATGTTTTTTTGGTACGCAAGACTGCTCCGCGCATAATGAAATCATCTTCATTCAGTAATTCTAATTAACGAAGAAGATTATATATGATTACTATTACTAATTGTTCATTAGTACGAACTACTATTTTATGTTTCGTTGCGATTAAAAATACACACATAGATACATATTTAATATAATAAACTATTGTGGTTATAACAGTAATTTATTTGAGAGCTATGTGTTAGTAAGAAAAACACAGGTGGAACTATGGCGCTTCTTTTTCTTTTCGTAGCACCTTGCATTCAAAAAAGCTATAGCGATTGTAATTGAAATTTCAGTTGCAAGACTTTGCCTCCACCAATATACTATGAAACTGATATAATGCAAGTTATACGGTTATTAAAATACACATTTATTCTATGAGATTAAATTAAATAATAGATGTATCTATATAGTTGAAGAAAAAAAGTTTATGTGTGTTTATAATGACAATGCATTCTATTACTTATGTTGTTAATCAACTTAAGTGAATAATAAAATTAGAGTGGAAAGTTTTGTATTGAAGTTGAGGTAGGAATATTGTTTTGTGAAATAGAATATTATTTGGTACGTTCAGTAGTTTGCATTTTAATTTCTTCTGTTGCAAGTTTTTTGTTATGATTAATTAATGAAGTTTTATTTTTTTGACTAGATCGATTAGAAAATGTATCGTTATTATTTTCAGCTGAAATATCGTAACTTCTCTTGTTAGGCGGTCTGATGGATATATCTCGAATAGGATGGTTCGGTATATCATCCCGTATATTTGAGACATTTGGTACTCTCTCTTCAAGTTTATAATCTACTCTCCGGTTTTTATCAGGGGATGATGAAAATGATCCTATCAATTGGATCATTTTCCTATAATACATCTCCAATACATTATATCCACTGTTTTTCTGCATAACCGATAATTGAAGATCTTTCGGTAAAATGTTAAGATTTGTTATACTGAACTCATTCTGTTGATATTCAAATTCGCATAATGATATATTATTATCACGAGGAATCACTCTGTAATTAACCTTTCTAAGGAATTCTTCTTCTAGTATATTCAGCTCACTGCATTGGACACCTCCAACTTTTGCATAATGGGCATTTGTACAGAAAGAATCACAAAGGCCTTTACTGGCAACAGAGGTTGCTGTTAACAAATATCGGTGTGCAGTTAATGAGTTTAAAGTGAATGAAGGGTATATACTCGAAAGAAGGTCAATATAGTACACGGAAGATAATAGGACAGCAGACTCTAATGCTGAATACTTGGTCAGCCGTATTAAGTAATTATATATCGAAATATTTGGAGGAGTACTTGAATGGAATCTAGTTAATTTCGCTTCTGTAGGACCATTTTTATCCTCTTCTGTTTTTGCATTGTTATCGTTTATTTGTATCAAAAAGACCAACATACGTGAAATCAAAACAATCAAATCTGATCTTGAACATTTTAAAAAATTTATTGGGAGAACAACTGTAGGGATATCTAATGGATCATTGTTGTCCCCTGTATGCGTTGGTGCCTCTGAAGTAGGTACACTCATGATACTTGAATAAATAACTCAAACAGATCCGAAGAACTGACTAATGGGGAGAATGCAATATAGTTGTTTGGTTATAATAAAAAGTTTCCTTTAGTATACAAATTTCTATTTAAACCCTGTCATTTATTAGAATGTGGAACCCGTATGCCATTATCCAAATTGCTGATTCCTATTTGTCCAATATGAGAACTCGAACTATTGGAAAATAATTGGGAGGGGGAGGAATAATAGTTACAACAAATTAAAGTAGAAGAGAGTATTCTTATTATCAGATGAAGGAAATGATGATTTGCCTTCCCTTTCTTTAATAGTTGTTGATATGACTATTACTCTATAGATGTTCTTTCTACCCAGAGTGGATTTCTCATCTCTTGAAAAAAGAATAATCAAAAATATATATGTATATATATCGCAGTAGTAAGAAGAGTGGTTGAAAGTCTTCAATAGGTTTTTTTCAGATTTTTTTTTTTGCAGGAATCCGCGTCTGAGCACATGGGCATTTATACCCCTTTCTAAAAATGTGACATTTTTAACATTAAAAAACGTTCTCTAATACCATGCCATACCTCTTATAATCATGTACTATAGAAATTAACCATTAAATAGAGTGTCTCAAACGATATTGAGAGTCTTCCAATGTGACTGGCTTCGTCATTGATCTAACTTCATTGCGATCTGTTTATACATAAGAGATAGTATCGATTAAAAAATAGCCCACAGGGGCAGAAATATTGTGTAGGGTCTATTTGTTGTAGCGATATATAATGGTAATCGTATATACTTCATTGTTTTTAAAAGAATCGAGTCTACTCACTGTAGTGCTTCATTTATGGATTATTATCTTTGCATGTAATGGAGAGATTTGCTATTCGGGGTTAATATGTACTTTAGGTTGTACTATTAATATATTATAAAAAAAATGAGGTTAATAACCTATTCACGTGCGGAAACCAATTTAAAACCCTCCCCCAAAAGTGCCGTAATCTTTTCATTTTTGAATGATATATTATTTAAGACAAATTCTACGTCATCCCATTGTTCCTGTGTAGTACATTTTTTTAATCTGCTACATAATTTATCGCATAATTGTTTCTGGTGTCTTTCCTTTTCAACGAATGATAATAAGAACTTAATAATCTTTTTAAACCCATCTTGTTTCAACATCTTATCAGAAGATAAGTTACTAAAAATATCAATAAATCCGTTGTAGATTGCATTGTCTTTGGTAGCTAATTCGGTGAAAAATAGGCGACACATGTCACTTATACCTTGGTCAGGGTTCTCCAAACATTTTGCCATTTCAGCCAGTTGACCTTTTACCTTTACTTGGCCTGCCAAAATCAAAAAGGTAACAGTCATTAGGCATGTTCTCTGGACCATTAAATTTTCGTCATGTAAACGGCGATATAAGTAATCTGTATTCTCATCCACCAGATTATTGAAACAGACGGCTACATCACCTAGGCCAAGTACGGCGTTAGAACGAACAATAGGATCAGGACTTTTTTCCATTACTGTAATCAGTAATGGAAGACTTTTCTCACAATACTTGGAAGAAATGCACATAAGTTTCTCCATACAAAGAGTTGCTGTTCTCTGAAGCATTACGTCATTGAACCTGGTCGAATTAGATACTATCTCTTCGATGATGGGGCAAAACTTTTTAAATAAGGAATTTTCTCCATATAAAAGTTCAGTCTCTTTAATAAATTGGATAGCATCAGTAAAATCGTCTTCATTGGTGTCTCCAATCATTTCTAATTCTTTGTCCTTACTAATAGAGTCCGTCGTCGTGTTAGATGCATCATTTTGCTGGTTGTCTTTCTCCTTACCCTTCTGTATTTCTGCTTGGATTTTTCTCTTTTTGAATTCAGCTTCACATTTCTCTAGATAGACTAATGTCTTAATGGCGATCTGTCCCACGATAAATAGTAGTTGACTCAAGGAGACAACTCTTGAATCGGTATCCACCATCATTGAATCTTCCCCTGACTCAGGTTTCCCAAAAGTCATCATAGTCTTCTCACGTATTAGCTCGGATCCAACGATGTCAGGTTTCGAAGATATGGTAAATAAGGCATTTATTGCTTGTTCACACATAGGGTAAAATGCCAAATCTTTCGTGTTGTTAACGACCTTTTTATACAGCTTCTTGACTGCAACTTCCTCCTGGGCTTTAGAAATCATAGATTGGATTGTTGTCTCCTTTTTTGGAACCATTCTTTCCAATGCAATACAAGAATATTTGCATAGAATGAGGTCTTTACTACCGATATCCCCCAGGCCAATATTCAGCAAGGAATCTAGGCCTTTCGTTATTATCTCATAGTTTTCAAGTGCTAGCATACTCAACACTATAATAGACCCATGTAGTTGATCCTTCGTAAATCTATTAGCTACGTCATCTTTTAGGGTGGAGTTGTAAATTGCCCATAAAACTCTGATAATGTTTTCATCTATCAGATTATCTTGGTACATCATTCCTAATAATTTCTCTAAAGAGGCAAGATCAGCAACAGATGCATCTACTGTCAGATCTATTAAATTCTTCGCTATATACCCCGAACGCTCTTTGGCAGTGACTCCATCTGGCGCAGTCAAAAATAACTGTTTGTAACAATAAATAAGATGTGTCGAAATACTTGTACCTTCATCGTTTGTGCCTTTAACCCAGACAAGATGAAGCATCTTCTTTATTCCATGCTCACTAGGTTCTAAGTCGTATGCATCGCAAAGAACTAAGAAGTCCATCGCTTCTAGGACCTCATTTCTATTCCTTGAAAATAGCAGATCAGATATTAAATCAATACTACTGTGTAAACTTTCAATAAATTCAATCGCATCCTTATAGTATGAAACCATTAGGCGCGCCTTTAAGATGGCGTTGCCATTGATACCATTAACATCAGTTGCTTCTTCTTCGATTCTTGAGACATCATCTGTACCGTGAATTGTTTCACTATCTCCTACGATACTGTCAGTAGGAGCAACCTCACCTAATAATTTCCCCAATGTTTCTTCAGCCACTGATAAATACATTTTCCAGTCTGATAAACGTAATTGTGAGCCATGTATCAAATTGAATGGATGCTTCAGAAGTAGTTTTGACAGGAGCTTTGTTGCATTCCTCCGCACTAAAGACGACCTGTCTTGTAGTGATCTGACTGCTAGCATAGTAATGCTTGCTCTTTTCTCGTTTAACTTTACATTTAGATCTATAATCCTCAGACATCCTTGAATAGCTTTTGTGCGCACATAAGGATTGGAATCTTGGAATCTTTCTTCTAATAATTCAATGAGAACTCCTATTTGTTGCTTATAGTGCACAAATGATTCCCCATCCTTAGCAAGATTTATTACTATATTGCCACATGCCTCAACAATGGAACATCTTAATGTAATGGAACTGTTGTTTAATAATTTTATTAAGGATGACATTTGTCTCAGCATTACTACCGGAAGAAGAGAAGATAGTTTGATTAGAAACCCTGAAATAGATTTTGGACCTGTTGAATCTTTTGCATTGAAAACACGATTACTTATATCCTTTAAAATATCTTCTGTCAATTGCGGATAATTAAATTCGCTTGAAACCACCGTGAGCAAATCTGCGGTAAAGTTCGATAGATGCGAAAAATATGTTAGATTAGTTAATATAGCATTCTGGGCACTAGAACTTTGGCCATGATTCCTTACTGATAATGCAATGATACTAGTTATTGAGTGGTTTAATGCAGGAACCTTTATTACGGCTTCCACCTCTACGAGAGAGAATAACGGTCTTGTAAACAGACCAATGAACAAATCATTTTCTACTGTTGTTTGAAAAATACGATTGAAGTTGATATTTAGTATGGCAACTATAGTCTCACATAGTTGCAAAATTTGATTACAGGAAGATTTAAACTTTTCAACCACTTGGGTTTCCACATTCCCACCGGGAACCTTCCGACCTCTATTTAAATTTGCTGACCGTGAAGCAGTTTTATGGATATCCTCCTTCAAAAAAAACAGTAGTGTATGTATGAGATAACCATATTCTTCCAGATGTCTCTTCCATTCCGGTATTAGTTCCATTGTATCGTTAAAATTTGATGTCCCAGTGAGAATATTCTGTATGTCATTGGATAGGATTTTACACGAAGAACTGATTAGATAGCTCAACTGTATTTGTAGCTTGTCCGTCAAGTGTGGGAATCCTTGACAGAGATCAATCAATGACTCCAATGTCTCCTCCTCTGTGTCAATCTGCTCTGGTGATACTGCCAGTTTGTCTATAACAACATTAAGTTCCCTCGATGCATTCTCTACAGGGCTGAAGCTAGTTTTATCAGATGTCTGAAACTTACTCAAATATTCAGAGAGTACAAAGTCAGTCATCTTCTATGACTCAGTTATTTATAGTTCTTAACCGATTGTACTTGTGACAAGAAACTCCTGAAAGAACTTAAAGTAACAACACACACAAAAATTTAACATTGATGAATCAAAAATTAACATACGGATCATTACAAGTTCTTAATAATGTAAACATAAACAAAACCTGACACCGCGGAAAGCCCGGCTTGTAGAAAATATCAGGGAAAGATATATTCGTGAATAGTGATTGTAATAAAAACAAAGTGTAAAAATAAATGATTTCGCCCAGGATCGAACTGGGGACGTTCTGCGTGTTAAGCAGATGCCATAACCAACTAGACCACGAAACCTATTAATTTGAATTTTCAGAGATTATTAGATGCTTAACAATTAAATGAAGTTTTGTCTTTTTTTTTTCTTTCTCCATAATTACTGTTTTATAGGTTCGAAAAATCTTTGTCTTTCTAGTAAATATTATTAATATTATTTTAATTACAATGTAAAAGTAAATACCAACCCTCAGAGGCTTATCAGAGAAATTATGGAATGGGAAGAAAATAATTACGTTCATCTACATTCACTTGGTTCTTCAAGTAAACACATGTGGACAGATATATATTGGGTTATCAAGTTCTAAATGCGAATGTTTGGGATAATTATAAATATATGATTGTGTAATTATTTTTGGTTCTTCTATTGAGTACTAGAAAATAATTTACATATAATACACAGTAATTTGTAATATAAAGGAATAACTAGAAGAGCAAAAAATATCTTTTATTTATATTAATAATTGGAATTTGCCACCGTAACTTTTACGGTGGCATAAACTTATATTATTAGTAATCAAGAATGTCATGGAATATTCTTGTTGGAAAAGTTGCTCTGGAACAACTGTTGCAGCTTATATTCTTCCGCAACATTAAATAGGTATGTTCTACCTGAAATAGCAGAAGAATATTCAAAGTCCTATTTAACAATAATAAAACGTTTTTAATATTTTTTAATTGTTGGAAATGGCAAGTGTATAACGCAGGAAGTATTTGTCTCGTACAATGCGATTTTGCATTGAATACAATTTGTATATAAAGCGAAGACTTTCGTAGATTATATAAATTTTATATCTTTACATAAATTATTATCTCTCTTGAAGAAGGGGGAGGAGCTCTTCAGTGAGCTACGGACATATAGTCCTGGCACTCAGTTATCATAAACCAATTACTACATTATTCTCATATATTTAAGTATTCCGATATTAATAATTATTAGTAAAATTCAAACAAAATTAGTTCAATATTTCCCAAATTCAACCATTCAAACGACAAACCTATGCGTCTGAATCAGAATTGATGTAGATGATTCTCATTTTTTCTTTTTTGCATATTTACTCTATTTGAGATAAACAAATTCTTTTCATCTAATAAAAATTTCAAAATTTGCCCAAAACATAAATTTCAAGGGGAAACAAAATTTGCTGAATGACAAAACACAATAGAGTTCAATAGAGTTTGTATTGTTTCAGTCTGTATAATTAAATAAATAATAAACAATGGTCAATCAATTAATTAGAATTAAAATATTTAAAGAAATTGATAGAATTCCTCGTTTCTCTCTTGTTGAGCCTTGATTATATTTTTATTTTAATCCATTTTTATTATACAGATATTGTACAGATAATTCTTAATATATTTCGGAAAGAATTATTTAATATACAGATTACATATTTCAAACCTCTGTCTTTATACATTACGAATTTAGTGGCGTAGTTGTTAACCTTCACATTTATGAACTTCTTATTCTAGTATCGTCGCATAAGCCTATTCAATTATAATAATTGTGCACAATAGTCTTTGTGTTATTTAATTAATGTTAATTTTTTATGCTCATGTTAATATTTCATACTATATACCCTTAGAATATTCAGCTCAGTAGAAATAGTTACGATATGTTAATTATAATTATGTATTGATAGGTTGGTTTTTTCTATTCTGGTATTATACAGTAATGCGGCGAATATTGTTGCAATTACTATTCGAGAATTTCCTAATTCATTATTTGATAATCATTTAGAAGATAGTCTATATAGTTCTATTACCTGATAATTTTGCTATTACGATTTTTGTAGTTGTGTACTCCGAGGATTACTGAACTCATGGCTTTTGGTGCTAGGTATTTATGAAAACCATCAGAATAAAATAATTGTTTTGAAAGTGGTTAAATACTAAGAATTTTATAACAATTTTATAACAAATACTTTGTATTCGACTATGTATTGCTGTTTCAATCTTACCTAGTCATTTAAAACAATATAGTATTAAAACTCTTGAATTATCAGAGCTTATAGGTAGTATTACATAAACTAATTATTTAAATGGCATCGATCAATATGGAATAGTTTCCTACAAGACAATAATACGAAATTAATAACAAGCAGACAAAGTTGGACATACACCCTAAACAATACTTATCTAAGTATTACCAGATATATACATAATAAAAAGTCCTCATTTACTCAGTTCATAAAATAGGAATCGAAAATGCGTTTTTATTTAGTACATACCAGTATACTTTAGTATATAACTTATTATATATATATTTGTAAGTGTGTATTAATTTTTACTCCTAGTGCTAGGAGGATAATATTTTAGATGCAGGGGGTGGTGATTCACTCCTATTTAAAGGAGTTATCGAACCATAATTTATGCGTTTATCTACCGGATTATCTTTATCTACGGTTTTTTTATTTTGGAAATAACTTTCATGAATTGTTGGTTTTGTATCTGAAGCAAAAAAGCAATAAGAATTTAGCAAAGTTTGATAATTGAGAGCTCGCGGCTCTATAGATTCTGTAATCCCAGAGAGGGCTGATGTTGTTATTGTATTAGCAATTTGTGAACTCATATTACTGCATCTTCTATTTTCAAGTTCATTAGATGCAGATAGGAAAGAAGATGAGTTCGATGAAGATCTTGAACTTGTCGGCGATGGTTCATCCACAGTTTCGGATCGTAATGTTGATATTTGTGGTAACGCCAATTGTGTATCATTATCATGATGTCCATTTATATTATTTTTATGATTAATTAGAGTTTCATTTGAATTATTGTTCATAAACATAATCTCTGGACTAGTTGTTCGTTCATTTACATTATATACTGAATTTGTAGAATAAATATTCTGAGGTGTATCTGTTATAATACTTCGTCTATCATCTGAAAAATTATTATTCGAATCAGTAATATGTAAGGGATCTATATGCTCATCATTATCATCACTATTATTATTTTTATTATTAATAATATTTTTAAAATTGTTCGGTACATCTGTACCATCACTACTCTCTGATTTTGCTTGACTGAAACTTTTTGTAAAAGAATCAGCAAAATTATAATTTGGATTATATTGAAATTGTTCATCTGGAGTAGTTTCATTTTGGAAAAAATATGTATAATCATCTAATTGAGGTAAATCACTTAAAGATGAAGATAAAGATGAAGAAAGTGAAGGTGTAGCTGTATAAGTGAAAGGTTGGAATGATGATAATTGTGCAACATCATCTGTACATTCATAAGGATTTGTTGATGGATAACTGATATTATTACCGGTAATAATTGTAGCATCTTCAGCATTATCATTATTGTTCTCATAATCATTGCCATTACCATCTATTTCTTTTTCATTTGATGGAGCTAAGACTCTATTTAAACTTGTTGGGTTAATTGGAGTTGTATCATTATGATATAAATGTTTTAAAGGAGATGTATTATAATAGTCAGTGTCTTCTGAGAATCTTCTTGATATAGTTGAATTAACAAATCTTTTCTTATATGCTTGACCATTATTGTTATTAGTTTTAAAATTATTCATTAAATGAATCTTATGAGATAAAGTTGTTGAAACTAAAAAATCAGAATAAAATGATTTCTTAGTTTGTTTTGTGGAGGAATATGAATTATTATTAATTTTTTTAGAATTTTTTAAATTATCTTTATGATTAATTTGTTCTTTTGTCATATAAATTGGATTAAATCTTTCATTTGGTACTAAATTTTGTGTCTTTGCTAATATTGATAGTTCATAATTTTTATAATTATTATTATCATAATATGTTTCATTATTAACATCATATCTACAACAAAATTCGATTTTTAAAGGACAATTAGTTGGTAAATTTGAATCAGTTGTCGAAAATAATAAATGATCTAATTTTAAAAAATATTTAAAACTTGATAAATTAATTTTAAATTTAAATTCATCAATTTGTTTTGTAATTGACTTATTAAATGTTGCTGTAACATAATGGATATCTGACCAATTTGTAAAAGTAAATTTAATTTCAATAAATTTTTCAAATGTTAGATTATTAACATAAATTGAACCAATAATTTCATCAGTCTTCTTATTATTACTATCTCTTATTTGTTCAATTGAATGTAATTTAATATTTTGATTACCTGTTAAAAGAATATTAATATCATTATTATTATCATAATTATTTGAATTTAAATTTGAATGAATTAGATTCCAATCAATTACTTCAAATGAATCTAAAGCAAGTTTATCATTTGAAGTAATAGAGGATAATAAATTATGATTTTGGTTATCATTATCATCAACAATATTAGTATTAGTATTATTATTTATAATATCAATATTTTGATTTAAATTATAAGTAAAATCGTCATCATCAACACTTGAATCAGAATCATAATCTAATTGAAAATTTGTTAAATTACTGACCTTTGAATTTGAATTATAATATAATGATGAGGAAGATGGTAAAGATGGTAAAGAAAAAGATGGTAAGAAATGTGAATTAATTTTATCATCAAATTCAAATTTATTATTATTCTTATTATTATTTTCATTTAAAAAATAATTTTGATAAGATTCATCTAATGGAATTAAATTATTTGAATTTTTGATTGATAAAGAAGAAGAAATAAATGAAGGTTTATCAGTTGAACAAAATTTTTTAACTGTTGTTAATTCTGGTGCAAATCTGACACTTTTATTTGAAGATGAAGAAGAAGATGAAGAAGAAGAAATTGATGAAGTTAAAGAATTATTTCTGGAAGATAATTTTAAAGAAGATTTTAATTTCTTAAAATGTGTAGGTTTTATTATAGTTAAAGAATTTGTATCATCATTAATATTATTATTAATAATGTTATTAAAATTCATATCTTCATTTAATAAAAAATTATTTTCTAGTTTATTTTTATTTGTATTTAATTTATAATTTTCATTATAAAATCCAAAGGACATTATAACTTTTTCTGGTTCTTTTTTTTAGTTCTCAATTTAAGGGATCAAAATTAAATAACGAACGATATGGAAATAAAATAAAAAAAAAATGCTATTCTTCCTTTATTTTTTGAGAAATTGATTATTATTCTAAATATTTCGTTTTATAAATCTTTGTTTCCTTTTATATATATTGATAAGGGTTACTAAACAAAATACAAAATGAAGGGACAGTAATTAAAAAAAAGTAAATTGAGATCAAATTTATATTAAAAAGATATTTCAGATAGTTAATCAATAAATCAATTAAGTTACTTGACGAAAATAAAATAAATTTTATAAATCAAAATCTAAATAACAATTGAAACTATAATAACGTCGAAGATATTATAGCCATTTGATCTTTATATATATATAATCCTTTCAATTGATTAAAGAAAAATTAAGATACGTTTATGTGTTGTTGAAAAATAAAGAAAAAAAATGTAAATTTATTACCAAATTTATTGAGTATATGGTAGTAAACTATATAAAATATTTATATGAACGCTAAAAAGGTCAAGAAAGTAAAGTAGGATTAAATCAACGTAATAAATTATGAAAAATTCTTTATTTTTGTCCATTTAATTTTTAATAGTGATAAGTTAGCAGTAGTAAATACAAAGAAAAATGTACAACAAAAATATATAAAGAATGGCTAATAAATTAACAAAAACCAAAGAAATTCAGAAGAGAAATTAAAAAATTAAATAAATAAAAAAAAGTTAAAATCCATTTTCGACAGGCAAATAAAAAGTATAAAGTAACAAATATTTTTGTCCCTTTTTTTTTCCAGTTATTTTTTTTTTATTTTTGTCTACAGTGAATTCTTAATGATTTATGTTAATTTATTTCATTTCATTCAATATTACTAAATTTAAACTATTGCTTTTTTTTATGTAACTCTTTCTCTCTTTCTCAACCTTTTTTATCTGGTGTCTTTGATATTAAACGTATCCAATGTAGGAAACCCCTACCATCCATCAATGAAGAAAATACAACAAATAAATAAATTGAATGGAAGGGTATTTTTTTTATCCAAACTCCTACAGGATCAATAAACAACAATCCGACACTTTCTCTCCTCGTCTAATCTTTTTCTTAGTACTACTGTAGTTTGTGTATATATTTCAAGATGACAAAGTTAAATAAAGGGAGAGAATTGGATCAAGACTGCAAAACTGAAATTAGTTTTGTTTGTGGAGCCGATGAGCCCAAAAAATTGATGATGTTTCTTTTTGTAATTCATAGATACTATCTATCCATATTATTTCAACCCCTGCCTACTAACCAGGTAGGAATTGTTTAGTTCAAGTATTTCACTATACACAACAACGACAACAATTGATACTACCAGCCATTTCATCCCTTCTTGTCTCCTACCTTTTTTTTAAAGAGATGAAAGTTAACAAAGAAGATAGAAAACCAACTTTAATTGTGAGGTGTGTCTCCAATACATACCGGACCCCATACTTACTAATACAGTAAAATTACGTAGTTTATAAAGGACATCTCTCCTCTTGCCGCCATCGTCTTCCTCCCCCCCCCTCATATAGAGACACCCTTCTTAAATGTTGAAAGAAAGGAATGCGTGGGGGCTGCAAAGGTATTTTATTTCAATACCAATGAATTAAGCTTGTACTTACTAAATTCATCAGGTGGTAAAGCAACACAGCAACGATATCACTTAGTAGGAGTACCAATCCGGGGTTGTGAGGCAATTTCATGTACTTACAGAAAATTTATGCATGCAACAAAGAATATAGGTAACAAATGAGAATACTTTTTTTTTCATTTTCTCTAAAATACTACCAGAATTTATTCCCAACGGATCACCTAATCAAAATAATAGCCGCAGAAACTATCAAAAAAAATGAAGGGAAAGGGGAAAGGGGGGGGTTCGTTGTTAAGAAGATATCTTAGAAGTTATATTTTCATTGTCTGCACTTTTTCTTTGTAAAACAGGAGAAAATAAGGTTTTCCCATTTTCTTTATTTTTTTCATTTGTTGACTATCTTGAGCGTTCTCCGAATGTTGCTTAATGAGCCGGGCAAACGATAAGACCAAAAGGTAGAGGAAAATAAAAATATCTATAACCACTTCGTACAGAATTTTCTTTTAAAAAATGGAATCTGGCTGTTTGATAGCAACGAAAATCTCTATTAGAAGAAAATTCCGGCTTAATTGTTTTGTTGGCCTCTTTTCTACGTTAGCTTTCTTGTACGTATTATTACTCTTTGAGGAATTTCTTACTTTGTCGGAGTATAATCAACTTCTTAAATGTCTTCGATATTGCTTCTCTATCTCTCTTTTTCTTTAGTAGTTTGTTTTTATTTCCTACGTGGTTTGAACGTCTACTTCCTATTCGTTTATTTTTTCCTAAAGAATTCGAAGAATACTAATTTCCAGTTTATTTTTTATCTCTCTTTATTTTATTGTTATTACTTTTGGGATATATTTCTCTTAGCGTTTCTGCGGTATTCCTTTCATTTGACACTGTTTAAAATTTAAGTTCGATGTAGTTGTCGGAGTTTGTCTATTATACCCATTTTCTGCATAATTTTAAATGAAAAAAAGAAATGTAAACACTACGATTAAAATTGAGACAAATTTTCGCGAAAAACAAACAAACAAACATAATAAATGTAAACAAACAAACAATCTATTTACGTAGTAAAACAAGTTTCATAGTGATAATAATATGTTCTCGAAGTCTGTAGGAGATCCATCTATCTTCATCCCCTCTTCTAATCATTATCATCATCATCATCATCGTAATTAATACTCAACTTGTTCCTTCTTTTTTTTCTTTTACAATTTCTCGATCTATTTTCATATAATGAGAGAGTGTATACAGTGTTACTTAATTTAAATAGTTTAAAGAGCCATTAAATGTCATTGAATGAGCAAAATAAAATTCCTCTGATTTTTATTTTCTCTTTAAGAAATGAACAATAATCACTAAATGAAAAGAAATTGATACAAACATTTCGTTCTTACGTGATAATAGTAATGCAATATCGTAGGATAGAGGTACCAAAGTAAAGATACTCTGCAAGGATAAAAATACTAGAAAAGGATACAAGCTAGTAATATATGATTATATAAATATCTTGATAAATATATATTTGTTGGATGTTGAGTTGAAACATGGTAACACAACAAATAATCGTCATGAACCTATTTGATGTGTAATCCAATATATATTATCTTGTTGAATTTTAATTTTAGCTGAAAAAAAAATCATGAATGATCCCCCAATGAAAATAAGGGTACATACAAGAACGAGAAAAAGCTGACGAATCTCTAATCCTTTCGCTGCTATCCTTCTTAAAATACATGTGAAAAAATCTAACTATATGTTGTACTAGTATTTATCCCCTTTTTATCGGTTAACTATTGGGGTAATATTAAGCTGGGCGGTTCGGACTTTTAATCGCCTTTTTTGGCAACACACTACGTATCCAATGACAAAATTCGTCAATATTAATATATTTCTTAGATGTATTTATTATTAGTTATACTTATCGATAAATTGGAAATCCATCAAGCAATTACGATTCTTTCCAATTCATAGTTCTCTTATCTCTCTCTTTTTGATGAATATTGTAATTATTAGTGTCAAGTTATCAAATAGATGAATACTATTTCAAAAAGAGATCGAATGGATTTCGAGAAAAGGTTACAACTTTCTTTCCCTTCTCCAATATTCAATTCTGTCACGTAGACCTTCCCAACAGAAAGGAAAGTATTGAACAGATTTCTTTTTGTTTGACGTCAATATGTCATTCTATTTAAAGTTCAACCTTTTTTGTTGGGCAGTTCTAATTACCTTTAGAACACTTAGATAAAATGAAATCTAAAAAGTTGAATTTCTTTTATAAAGAGTGCTTAAAAAAATTGAATGTTCAACAGGTACAACATTTATTACCTGCTTCTTTATCTTTAAACTTAAAATAGATTCTCCTTTATTATTTTACCCCAACGTAAAAAAAAGTTAATTTAATAATCTAAACCATATTTAGTGTTTTGTTTACCTTACTATTGAATTGTTCATGTCAAGATTATAGACATTTTAATTTACATTTCATTATTATATGCACATTTACGCGTGAACCTGAATATATATATATCTGTCGCATTTCCTTATTAGGTATATTAATATGCGTATCTGCCCTGTGATAAATTATTTTTGCCACCGACGCGTTTATACATAAGAGCAGGAGAAAAAAAAACTTTTAATTTACCCAAACGGGTATTATCAACTGTTAGATGCACGACAACACGAAAAAAAAATTAAGAAAAATTTCACTGGCAACAAGAGATCGATTTTTAAACTCCATCCATATTTACAACAAATATTAATTAATTTGCATTTTTATTTATTATTTCTAATTCATTTTCAACTAAAGGTTAAAATATACAAAGTTTATTAATCTGGATCTGTTTTTTGTTTGTTTGTATTATATATTAACCATTTTAGAATAGAATAACTAATCAAATACATTCCTATTCATAAAAACATAAATATACATATCCTTTGATAATAATGTCATTTGATAGACCAGAAATTTATAGTGCACCAGTGCTACAAGGTGTAGCTCCAAATGATGATGATAACACCGAGATTATCAAATCGTTTAGAAATTTCATCCTGGAGTTTAGAATTGATTCTCAATTTATCTACAGAGAACAATTAAGAAATGCTTTATTAGTGAAAAATTACTCATTAAGTGTAAATATGGAACATTTAATTGGTTATAATGAAGATTTATTTAAAAGATTATCTGATGAACCATCGGAAATTATTCCATTGTTCGAAAATGCAATCACTCAAGTGGCTAAGAGAATTACAATCTTAAATAAATCACAAGAAAATTCAACTGGTAATCAACCCTCAGGTGAAGATATTGCTGCATTAATACCATCGTTTCAATTGATTTTAAACTCAAAGGCCAATCAAATCCCAATGAGAGAATTGGATTCTGAACATGTCTCGAAAATTGTTCGTTTGTCTGGTATTGTTATCTCTGCTTCTGTATTGACTTCACGTGCTACCTATTTGCGTATTATGTGTAAAAATTGTAGACATACTACTTCAATTACTGTGAATAGTTTCAATTCCATTAGTGGTACACAAGTTTCATTGCCTCATTCATGCCTCTCTCAACAACAAACCGAATCTGGACAAGTAAGTTCAATGGATGCTTCAGCACCACCTAAAAATTGTGGTCCTGACCCATATATGATTATTCATGAAGCCTCTACATTTATTGATCAACAATTTTTAAAATTACAAGAAATTCCAGAGATGGTTCCAGTTGGGGAAATGCCACGTCATTTAAGATTATCGTGTGATAGATATTTGACTAATAAAGTTGTTCCAGGTGCTAGAGTCACGGTGGTTGGTATATATTCTATTTATACAGCTAAAGGGAATGGTATCGGAAGTGGTAATGAAGGTGGTGTATCTATTAGAAATCCATACATTAAAGTATTAGGTCTACAGACAGATATTGATACAAACGGATTTTCTAACTCTATATCAATGTTTTCTGAAGAAGAAGAAGAAGAATTTTTACAATTAAGTAGAAACCCTGAGATTTATGAGTTAATTGCTAAATCTATTGCACCATCCATTTTTGGTAATGAAGATATTAAGAAAGCTATTGTTTGTTTATTAATGGGTGGTTCAAAGAAATTATTACCTGATGGGATGAGATTAAGAGGTGATATTAATGTCTTATTATTAGGTGACCCAGGTACAGCTAAATCTCAATTATTAAAGTTCGTTGAGAAAGTATCCCCAATCTCTGTATATACATCAGGTAAAGGTTCATCTGCTGCAGGTTTAACTGCGAGTGTTCAAAGAGATCCAACCACAAGAGAATTCTATTTGGAAGGTGGTGCTATGGTTCTTGCAGATGGTGGTGTTGTTTGTATTGATGAATTCGATAAGATGAGAGATGAAGATCGTGTTGCGATTCATGAAGCCATGGAACAACAAACCATTTCTATTGCTAAAGCTGGTATCACAACAGTATTGAATTCGAGAACTAGTGTTCTGGCAGCTGCAAATCCTATATATGGTCGTTATGATGATATGAAGTCACCTGGTGAAAATATCGATTTTCAAACCACAATTTTGTCTCGTTTCGATATGATTTTCATCGTTAAGGATGAACATGATGAAGAACGTGATATTTCTATTGCTAATCATGTCATTAATATCCATACTGGACGTGTCTCTCAAGAACAAGAAGAAATGGAAAATAATGGGGAAGAAATTAGTATAGATAAATTAAAACGTTATATTACATATTGTAGAAGAAAGTGTGCACCAAGATTATCTGTACAAGCGGCCGAACGTTTATCATCTCAATTTGTTACCATTAGAAAAGAACTATTAATCAACGAATTGAATTCTACTGAAAGATCATCTATTCCAATTACTGTTCGTCAATTAGAAGCTATTATCCGTATAACTGAATCTCTAGCCAAATTAGAATTGAGTCCCGTGGCTCATGAAAGACATGTTGAAGAAGCCATTAGATTATTCCAAGCCTCTACAATGGATGCTGCATCACAGGATCCAATTGGTGGTATGGATCCAACAGGTAATTCAAGATCTATTCTAGCAGAAATTCGTGAAATTGAACAAGAATTGAAGAGAAGATTACCTATTGGTTGGTCTACATCTTATCAAACTTTAAGAAGAGAATTTGTTGACTCTAATAGATTTTCACAACCTGCTTTGGATAAAGCTCTATATGCACTTGAAAAACATGAAACCATCCAGTTAAGGCATCAAGGTCAAAATGTATATAGAAGTAGTATATGATACTGATGTCAATGGCGTAGAGTCAAGAGTGAAAATATTTTTATATTCCGATCAATGATATACTCACAGATATGCATAGGAAATAAAAAAAAAATAGTTTGTAATATTAATATATATATATAAGTAGGTGTATATATCTGAAAACAATAATAAAAGAAAAAAAAACAAAAAAAAAACATAGCTTTATTACTCCAGGACTCGAATACAATACTTTTGCCCCAAAAAGTCTAATAAGAAGAATCAAAAGCATCACTGCAAGGTGAACATCATAACTATCGCAGTAACTTGATCAATTGATGCATCTTAGTTTATCCTATTATTGTATATTGTAATTGTAGTTCTTCCAAAATTTTTCTTTTTGTCTTGGCCTCATCAGCCGTGTAGCCGAGCCCACTTCGGGAAATATAAAAATAGAGCAGAGTCGAGAGTGAAAACCCGCAGTGGAAAAGTGAAAAAATATACAAACCAATTTATTGAGATTCATCGAGGCTTGGCTGAATATACATATATCGCGATGGGAGGCAAAGTAGTCACATTAAACTAAAAACTGGGTTAAACTTGTTTGTAGAGAGGAATCAATAACTTGATCTATTAATAAATTCGAGAATAATGATTAATTTGCAAAATGATTAGTGTGGGCCCTGTTAACTTTTTCTGAGATCTAATATTAATATTTTTCTATTTATTTCATCGTTGTCTCAAGATGTAACTTAGTATATATATACGAGACCTATTCGGACTAATTTAGTATTGTTTAAATTTAACCTCTATTAATAATTAGATCTTAAAAATAAAATAAATAAACAAACAAACAAACAAATAGTCATCTGTTTTTTAGCATTTACCACTACTAGTACAGTTATTTAACTACAAAGAAAGTCATACAAATAAACCAAAAAAATAAAAATGAGACATTACGGACCACAACAGCCAATGTATTACCAACAACCTGTGCAACCTATCTACGTTCAACAAGCTCCACCTCCACCTCCAAGAAACGATTGTTGTTGTGGTTGTTGTAATTGTTGTTGCGCATGTTTCGATGTAATTTCCAAGGTTCTTTGTTGCTTATGTCTATTTGAAGTATGTTGTTCGTGATGCAATATCATATACAGACAAAGATAACTTCAAACTAGAATAAAATCCGTCATTACGCTCAAAGTTTTATATATCCATCCTCCTTCGTCTATCTTTCTTATTTGCATAAGAATTTAGGAAAAGTTTCTCTCTCTCCTCATTTTCTGCATACGTTATAACACGTTATATAACTATTCATTTATATATCAAAAAACTATTTAATATAAAAAAACAAATGCATTCAAATTAAATAATTCTCCTTAAACGTTACCTTTCTTTCGATCTGTAGATGCTGATGGATGGATGACCTTCTCGATTTATCTTTCTGCTTCGGGTCAGTGAACCTCACACGCATTATTTGCTTAGAGAACGGGAGAGGAAGGCAAAAAAAAATCAAATAAACAGACAATTATAGAGGATGAGATAAATTTTTAATATGTTTGAAAAATTATCCACTTACAAAAGGTTTAAATATAATTAGGAAAATAATCGAGAACAAACATCAACGTGATTAGCTAATTGCAAAAAGCCAAGCTAGCAAGAAATTGAATATGTCGTATGTATATAACTCATTTCCAGCTGTTTTAAAATATTATAGCTTAAGTTTACTATTTTTTTTTCCAACTTTGCTTTTTACTAACAACTAGAACAACTATAACCATGTCCAAGTTAAGTTTAACAAACAGATATGGTTAAAATTAAAACAATTCATTATTTTAAAACAGAGAACAAATTATAGACCGTCCAAAATCAGAACTTACTAAAGATGAATTAGACCAATTAGAAGAATTTGAATTCAAACATGGCCCAATGTCACTTATTAATGACTCTATGTTAACAAAGACTCCAGTAATAATATCATTAAGAAACAATCATAAAATAATAGCACGTGTGAAGGCCTTTGATAGACATTGTAATATGGTACTTGAAAATGTTAAGGAACTATGGACAGAAAAGAAGGGTAAAAGTGTCATTAACCGAGAAAGATTCGTAAGTAAACTATTCTTAAGAGGTGATTCTGTTATTGTTGTTTTAAAACCACCTCTTGAATAGGGATTCAATTTGTTATGAAAGAAAAATGAATAGAGATAATCTACGGTAGACATAGGAAGCACCATTGTAGACCACTGATAAATTATAAATTGGGTCGTTGTAACATATTAAACCATTTAATAACAAAATGATAAACCCTAATGGTATTGGAGTAATTACAACTTTGCTCATTACAATCCGTGACAGTCTTCATTTACTGAAGCGCAATATGGTTCAGTTTATTCATGATGAATAATTGGGTTGTGAGTGTAATTATACATCAAAATATTTAAAAAATATGCTAAGTATTACCTCTAACTTATATACATATAAATATATATATGTATGTTTATACTTGTGTATATGCAATTAATGATTTCTACCATAATTATTGGCATTAATTATAACTAATTTACAATAAAAGTAAAAAGAATTTTACTCTGAACGACATGACCCTTATTTAAAGTTCTTTAATGGGTCAGACTTCCCTGTTCTACGCTTACCGACCTTTCCTTTCTTATTATTACGTCCTCCTTTCTTTGGATTACGGAATGGAACAAAACCAATATTTTTCTTCCCATTTTTACGTGCACCTTCTGGTAATAAATAGTCTGGAACTCTCTTCAAATGTTGTTGAATTCTTGCAGGATGTAACTCTTTGTCATGTCTCAAACTCTCCAATTCTTTTGGATTTTCTTCAAAATGTCTCTTCAATTTTTCACTTGTTAATAATTCTTGTTTCAACTCTTTAATTCTAGCTTCACGAACAGCAACTTGTGTTACAGCACGGAAACCATCTTCCATTCTGTAACGGAAACCTTCTATTTGTTTTGGATCAAAAGCATATGGTAAAATCTCCAAATCTAACTTTTGTTGTTGTCTTACAATACGTGTAAATATTTTTTCATCTCTCTTGGCTGTTGGACACATTGATGGTTTGTGCTTACCAAAATCCTTCAATGGTACAACAAACGAAATAGCAGTACCTGATCTACCAGCACGAGCAGTTCTACCAATTCTATGAACATATGATTTTGCGGTAGTAGGTAAATCAAAGTTTAGTACACATGCAACATTCTTGAAATCAACACCACGAGAAACACCATATTCCTTATCGTTCTTAGCAGCATTCTTCTTTGTTTTGGATTCGTTTGCGTCTGTCTTCGTTTCTTCTGCTTCTTCTTCCTTTGGCTTAGTAGTTTCAACAAGTTCCTGGTCTTCTTCTTTGATATATTCTGTATCATCTGTAGCAATCAATAGATTGTAAATATTTTTGTTAAATTGTTCTACAATATGTTGTCTGGAGTTCGAAGGTAACTCACTGTTTAAAATACAAGATTTTATACCAAATTGTTCTAATACAAGTTTCAAACGGTATCCTCTATCAATGTTGTTTACAAAGATAATGGATTTACCTTTTATTAAACCCAATTTAAAGATAACGTAACATAAAAGGAACTTATCGAATTCATTGGTCTTGACATAATATTGTACTAATTTAGTTTGCTCTTTGTTAATTTCATCATCATGGAACTTCAAAATAGCAGGTGCACGACAATATTTTTCCTTCAATTCTTGAATATCATCATTTAATGTTGCACTCATCAAAAAGGTTTGTAGATTTTTCTTCAAAGGTAAGTATTCTGCAATTTTTTTCAAGTCATCTTGATAACCAAAAGTAAGGACCAAATCCACTTCATCAATTACTAAAAATTTCAAATTTTCTAATGAAACAGCTTCAATCTTAGTTTCCAAAAGATCCTTTAACCTACCTGGAGTTGCAACAATAATTTCCGGATGTTGAACAAGCAATGTACTTAATACAGAATTTGACATATCTGAGGAGATATTCAAATAGTTAATATCTCTCGAACAATATAGGACCATTTTCTCTAATACTGAAGAGACTTGTTGAGCCAAATCACGAGTAGGAACCATGATAATACCTAGTGTTTCATTCTCCTTCGAGTCGGAACCTTTTGAAGTCTTATAATCTAAAATAGTCTGTATAACAGGGATTAAATATGCCAAAGTTTTACCAGAACCGGTAGATGCTTTAGCAATAATATCTCTCTTCTTCTCAAGAGCAAGTGGAATTGCATGTGACTGGATCAAAGTTGGATTTTTGAAGCCAGAGTTCTTAACAGCTTGTAGTAATCTTGGATCTAAATGGAATGAATCAAACGACGTAGATTCGTCAATGTATGCCTCAGGAGCAAAACCGCCCTTGCTATTACTCATTTATATAATTTACAGTTTCTTCTTTAATTTGTTATCAAAGAACTAAAGACTTCTTGACAAAGTTTTTATAAATTGATACCTTTTCTATTTATCTCATCTAATGGAGCTCTAAAAGAGATGAGATGAGATGAGCTTTGGAAATTTTTTTGGTTTTATTTTTTTTCCGCTACGGGGGTAGACCGCAACGACGTATAAAACGATACAAATTTTGACCAATATTAATTATATTACTGTAAACTATATACCTTAGCAGAGAACTTATTTTAAATTATTTAATACTATCGATTGTCCAAATATTTACATTATATTATAGTCTATTTAAATACATATTACTAAATATTTGATCTTATCTTGACCCCTTAACTTTAATGGAGAGGGTTTACAATCATCAACAGAGAGTAGCAACTAAGTCTGCACCTATATTTAATATACTCTCAACTCTACCTTTCAACGGATTGGAATTACATTCCCCAATCTTCATCTCAGAAAAGTTAATCTCTGCATTATTTTTACCCATCGTAATTTTGCCCTTAATAATTTCCTTATCGTCCATCGCAAGTTCGAAGGATTCACCGAAATGCTCCCGAAAGAGTTCCACAACTTGCTTTACTTTCCAAGCTTCATTTTTTTCTGATTCCAATTCTTCTAAATATTCACTGTTCTCATGATCATGGGAACATGTCTTACTGCTCATTTTTACACTTGCTGGAGCAGAATCAACACTCATTAGAATCGCAATAATGGAATCTGCAACTGTATCACTTATCAAATCTTGTGTCCATTCTACTGTAGCAACGCCATCTCTAATAAATATTTTAATACCCCCCATTACCTGTAACGTAAGACTTTGTATACTGTTCTCTGAGGCTTCCTTTGGAGCTTCTTTAGACTCTTTCTTTACTTGTATCGTCACATTTTCAGTATCCTCCAGGACAGCTACATCGCCAAACATTTGGCATATATGCCAATAAATTAACTCTGGTTTACAATTTACAGATATCATCTGTCTCTCTTTTAAAATTGTACTCGACAGTTCTGTATGATGTTCTCTCAAATCTGTCAATGAAACAAGGTTTAAGTCAAAGTTCTTTTCGTCAGATACAAGTATCCCAGACACCACAATATCATCTTGTTTATTTTGAGTCGTCGTCGCGTCTACTTTGCCTTCAGTACTCTCTGGTTTGATGTTTTCAGATAAAGGTTCTTCTGGAATCAGATTGTCGACACCTTCTCTTTGTATCTCGTCAACTATATTTCCAAGTGCCTTAGCAACCTTTACACCCTTGTATTCTAGGACAACGTCTACACTATTTCTTGGATTGTAAACGTGAACTTCTTCTGGTGTACCCTTTAATGAAGCAAAATTAGATAATAAGGCAGATTTTAAACGACCCATTGGATTTGATTCACCATGAACAAGAATGATGTTTGTAGCATTGATTTTTTCAATGAATTCAAGATTCTCTTGGAAGTCAACATGCGCAGCAAAAGATATCTCATCAACTTGACAACGTCTGGGTATTGTAATATCTGGGTTATTAACGGATGGGATAGTATCAGGTTCCAACATAATATATTTTGCCATAGTACCTTCAACAGAATAACCAGTAATTAAAACAAGGTTCTTCTCTTCTGGACACCATTTCTCTAATAAATCTCGCGATATACCGCTCTGTAACATACCAGGCGATGCTAGCATAACACTTGGTCCAAAATCTTGAAATTCATCTAAGTTTTTCAGATATGAGATATGTTTAAATATAAATGGATTGGTCTGTGAATCTCTAAACTTCTTTCTAATGTCATCGTTCATCATGTTAACGTAAGTTTGAAATACATTCATACATTTTCTGGCCAAATCTGAAGCATAGTAAATAGGGACTTGATTGCCGGCAAGTTCTTCCGCATGTTGAGTCCAATATTCCTCTAAGATTAACATCAATTCTTGAGCTCTTCCAAGCGCAAATACTGGCATTAGTACCCTACCACCTTTGGCAACCGTAGAATGTATTATTTGAGTCAATTTCTTTTCTCTATTGAGTCTAGGTTCATGAGTTGCTGTACCAAACGTAGATTCAACAATTAGCACATCTGAAGGTAATGGAGGTACCTCTGCCGAATTTAAATGTCTATCTAATTCTCTCGAATAATCACCCGTAAATAATACTTTTAAACCTGCAATTTCAATTTGAAACATTGCTGCTCCTAAAACATGACCTGCATGGAAAGCAGTAAACTTTATACCGTTGACATCCACTGTTGAATGAAAATCAATCGTTTCGATTTTATCAAAGGACTCTACTAGATCTTCATCTGTATACAGATTATCGTCTTTATCAAGTATACTATTTTCCCCAATACTTGTGACACGTACAAAATCCCTTAGTAGCCACCTATATATTGCTTTTGTGGGATGGGTCATAAACACTCTACCTTTAAAATTTGTCCTTTGCATAACATAAGGTAATGATGCAGCATGATCCAAATGGAAATGGGATATTAGCAAAATATCAACAGTTGATAGGTCATAATCATCATAAAAGGGAAGAGAAGCCATTCCTTGATAGGCTGGATGAACACCTGCATCTAACATAATGGTCTTCCCTTTGTAACTGAGAATATGGCACGAACGACCAACCTCATTACCGGCACCCAGTGCAATGAACTTAAAGGATGTGTTTGATAACTGGGAAGACATGCTTAATAGTATTATATATACGTTAGAGTTATTTTGTCCACTATTTATTATTACAATTGCCGTCTTACAAACTCCTTTTATAAGAATTTTTCAAGTTGTATTAGTTTAAGTAAAGGAAAACTAAATACTCATTTTTTATGAAGCTTAATCGAATGAAGCGAGTCCAAGAAAATTTAACTAACAGTATAAAATATACCTAGTTTCTGACGGGATGCTATATTAAGAAATTTCAGAAGACCTTATTCTTTTAAATTGTTTTGGCTGTCTTTCCAAATTAGTAACTAGTGAATAATTTTAACTTATTTAATGTCTATAATATATATAAAATTGCAGCTATGTTTACATATTCGAGATAGCATCTCGAAAAAAAAAAAGATCCAATAAATACATAAAAATAAAAACACGTCATGTTAAGAAACCGTAGTCATCATTAATTGTCCAAAACTCTTCAGCTTGGTTAGATGGTGCAATATTTCTCATTGTTCCTACTGAACGCGGTGGTATATTTTGTACTGAAGAATCAGGGTATGCAGTTGACCCAATGGGTCTGATTTGTCGGTTAAGATCTAGATTATTTAGCTTCCTTGGAGTTTCGTATCCTCCTATGCCGTTAGAAAATCCAAATTTACTGGTTTCAACAGAATTTTGGACAAGATTTGTGCTGCTTTGGCTACCACCAGTTCCACTAGAGTTAGGTTGTTGTTCTTTTCGTCCAGACGGAAATACATTCACCAAATCACCTACAGCATTACTTGTCCAATTCGAAATATGATTAATCATTTCATGTGTACCATTATCAAAGAGAATGCTTCCGGAATTAGGTTTATTTGAAGATTGAATGTAAGTAGCAGCCATATTATTGAGACTACCGTCATGAGTTATGATTGGAATCTCAGCATTTGGTATTAAATTTCCATTATTGTCGGTATTACCAGCAACAGAATTAAATGCATTCTGTCCAGGTGCAACGTAATTAAAGACTGGGGCTGTCGGAGAAGAAGTTCTTGTCACATATTTAGAACCAGGAGCTGATGTATTTTCTGCAGCAACAATTTCACTTAGTACTGGGGAGATAATATTACTACCCGGAAGGATTGATATTGCAGAAGAAGATGCAGAATGGGCTGGTAAAAGACCTCTATTAAACTGCCCCAATTCCGGTTTTAAAATAGTCCCCACTGAACCAGTTGTATCTACATTTCCAAAGCTCTTTGAATAATTCAGAGATGATAGGTATGCTTGTAAATTCTGTTGGGCTAGTTGTTGTTGAAGGAAGGCCTGTTGTTGGAAATTTTTCCAATCAAATTCATTTGGATACGCTGGTTTTTGAACAATATATTTACTATCATCATCGTCTGCACGTGGTTCGCCAGGTCTTCCTACATCCTTCGATCTTATTTTTAGCACGGCATTTGGTTCTAATTGTGCCTCCACAGTAGTATTGTTATTAATACTAGTACTCCCAGCAGCATTAATTAATAAATGAGCCAAACTTTTTGGAACCGCCACTTGTTCTAGTAGCCCTTGTCTTTGTCTTAGTTTCTTCTGTTCTTCTAAATCAACTTGTGAATTTTCAACAAACCCGACATGTTCGTCTGCTTGATATTTCCCAAATGTACGAGCTACTGCAGGTGGCATACCACTATTATTAGATATATTATGTTGAGCGTCATGTAATTCAAGTGATACATTCAAAGTTTTAGAAGAATTGCCAATGGTTACAATGTCTTCGTTTAAAACAACAGGACCATCCTTTGTCGAACGATCAGTCAAATATATTAATTCAGATGAATCTGGACCACATCTTTCTATCAAATTACCTACTGTTGCATTCATCAATTGATCAAAAGTATCTCTGAATACTCTAGCAAATTTCGACCTTTCTGTCATAACATAAAGGCAAACAGAACAGGCTCTTAAATCATCCATCGTGGAAAACAAATTAGGACCTACTAATGGTCTTGTATGTTTGGATAAATCACCCAATTTTTTTCTTCTTTCATCATGAAAGTTCCTCTCCAACCACATGCAATAAATTAATGAAACACCAGCACCAAACACTGTATGAACGGCAGGAGTGGAATGACCATTCACAGTTTTTTGATGGAAAATTTTGTACAATTGGCAGATCTGACCAGCAGCAGCTTGACATTCCCTAAATAAATGTTCTTCCGGAGTTAAAAACTCTAGATATGGTTGAATCAATAACCTTACGGCACGATAATAGTACAATTTCAAAGTTTCATTCTCAAAATTACGAATATCTGTTGTGGAACACTTAGATCGCCATATTTCTAGTTCGTTAAAGAAATATTTGACAGTAGGTAATTGGTTTTTTTTAGTTGGTGTATTCTGTTTATTTGTTGGAATAATGTTTAATTTTTCAACGAAATTTGACTCAATTCTTCTTAAAGTTACAGATTGATTAATAAAATGTATTCCTGAAGTCTTTGAATTTTTATTTGTATTATATGAATCCTCATTGAAAAGCGGAACATCAATTTCAGATTCATGTATAGTGAATGGTTTCCCAACGGCAACACATATCATTCTCTCTAATAGATAAACACACCAAAACAAACGTAATTTCTTATTAGCAAAAGAATCCTGTTGTGTCCATTTATTTAAATGTAATCTGCCTTTCACAATGGCCATAATATCTTTCATAATCTCATAAAGAATCATTGAATCTCTATCTGTTCTTAATAAATATAAGACTAATAGGGTTAACAATTCAACTTTTTGAACATCATTTAAATTATCACCACATTTAGTGATATGTCTTACGGCGGTAGAAAAATATCTAATAGGTGATAAACCATCATATTTACCTGTAGTCATATGCATATATGCACTAATACTAAAGATTAACCACATTCTACCTGTACAAAAATGGAAATCGTTAGCAGAACAAGAGTAAATGTTATTCTTAGTATAATCATTATGAAAACTGTAAATTTCTTGTTCATCTAATAATGGATATTTAAATTGTAACCTTGTGAAAAAAATTTCTAAAAATGATCTTGATAAATTCTCATTAAATTCAAATACCGGATCATAATTAAAATGATCTTTTAAATATTTCGCAAATATGCATTTGGAAAAATCAATTGAATCCAATGAATCTGAAGTCAATGCTGGCAAAGAACTTCCTTCTATCTTGATACCACTATTTTGTTTTTGAAACTCCGTATTAACACTATTCAATTGACCATATAATCTATTACTATCACTATGACCATCACTATTATTACTATTCGAATGATTTGGAGATGGTTGCCAAGGTAAAATATTATTATTAATTCTATTTATTGTCATTTCATCACCTCTAAAATCTTCTATATTACCTAAAAGATGAGATATTTTTTTATAATTTTTCAATTTTTTCTTAAATACAACACCACCAATTGGTAAATCAATCAATTTTTCAAGATATTTTAATTTCTTCTCGAGAAAATTAGTATATTGGTCACTATTTTTATTGCTATTATTATCTGTAGTTTTCTTTTTATCTTTCTTCTTTGAAATACTACCTTTTCTCAAACCAAATGATATGTTACCAATATTTGATGCAGATATGGATGTAGCAATACTGCTATTGTCATCATGATTACCTATTATAGATTTACTAATATCAGGTGTTGGAGAATTAGATGATGCTTCTGAAGTTCCTGTACTTGAAGTGAAATCAACTTGTAAAATAGTATTTGGAATACCATTATTCTCAATATATCTAACAGGTTGAATACATTTAACATTTGCTTTTAAACACGCTGTACAACTTGGTAATTTATGATCACAACGTTGTTTTCTTCTTCTACATAATAGACATGATTTAGATCTACCTTTCTTGTCCTTTAATAATAAATCTGTTCTATTCCCAGCTAATTCAATATCTCTTTGAAAATTCTCTATATTTTGTTCACTAACTTGTTTCTTTGGTCTACCCATTTTAGCACTTGTATTATTCTGTTCTGATTATATTTGTGTGTATATTAATAAAACTTGAGTAGTACTAGGTAGTAATAGTAACCACCACCTCGAAAACAGAAACTGAAAGTAGCTATAAACCTAGGGATAATCTGGTAAAATATCTCGATAAGCTATAATAAATAATAATACAATGTGAAAAATATAAGTCTTGAAAGATAATAACAATCAGAAAACTATGTGATCAAATGAAAAATAATATAGTATTGAAATATAAATGATTGTAACTTTATTTATTACAAGGTTCAATATTACATACTGTACCTGTCAGAGCACAATAGATGTAAGAATATGTAAGTTGGCGTACGGAATTATCACAAAGAAAGATGCAGCCATCAACTGAAAAAACAAAAACAAAAAAATCGAATTAAATAACCAATTTCTTGATTACTTCAAAGCAACCAAAAATGGACGAAAAAAGGAAAACGAAAACCGCTCAGTAAGGGAAACTCTGGTAGACAAAAATAATCAACAAAGAATTTTTTTTTTTTGGCTGCTTCTTACTCTAAATTAGTACGTAGAGAGAAAGGGAAACAATGCCATTTTTGTTTTATATTGTGCTTAGTGGACTACTGCTAGTAATTACTCAATATTTAGATTGTAGAGAAGATATACGGCACGCAATGTTTATAAACAAGTGTTCTTACCCTTACTTTGTATATATATATATACATGATCTTACCTTACTATATGGCTTTATATAATTTATTTGGATGACAAAAATATTAAAAATATTAGACGACGTAAATTAGTTTGATGTGTGCAACTAAGAAGATGGTATTATTAAATTATTTAATTTGTTTTCTATCATTGTAATAACAAGAACCCTTCGATTTTCTTGAAAATATTTGAACGTTAGACAGTTTCTCACGTCGCTGCGCGTCCTTCTGAGGTGAATGCACAACATTCTCATTTTTATTTGGAATGAGAAGGATCTTGTACATTCCTTGACAAGAGGCTGGCTAGTTTTTTGCAAATATTGTTTTCTTGATGATATTGTAAGAGGTTTGTTTTGGATTACCTCCATTAGTACCATTTGATAATAACAGTACTCGTCTATTATTCGCTTCGTATTATTGATTGGGATTGATAGTTGTCTTGTTTTGCACCTACCAATGTACTTCAAACAAATTTTTTGTAATTAAAAATACTACGTATCAAGAATGAAAAGATTACAGTTTATTTTTTAAAATTTCTTCACCATTGATACCTTTTATCATTTATGTGACACGTTTACAGGCATAATTCTATTCGTTTTACATCAACCTTCGTATCCTTATATCTAAAATTTATCATAACCATTATTTCAAAATTTTCAATAAATAATGGTTATATGAATTGGGCTCTAAAGTATGTTTTATTATATATCTATATATAATCATATATAGATATTACATAATGTGTCATAGCTTACCCTTCTACAACTGAGTCTATTGCAGTAATTGCATTGTAAAAATATAATGGCGTTAATCCAAAAAAGGTAATTTTAAGCGAAGTCAAAAATGTACATAGTTCAATAGAGATGGAATGATCTTTAATTGAAACGAAAGATATAATTATAAAAAGAAAAAAACAACGAAATCCATCCAAACTTAAGTAAGTTATCATGAATTACATCCGTATGATCCAAACTGCTCTTTGGAGGATGTCTGTTAGAACAGTGTGACAAAGGTAAATAGGACTTGTTTCACTTCGAGGGAATATTATTTTAACCGTACAATTCAAAGATTATCCATTGATTATCTCCGGTGACTTTTTTCAATCGTACATAGAATTGGGAGGTACAGTGACTTATTCACTAGCGACTCCTAAGAAAATTTAAGTTAACAATTATGTAGCATTTAAAATCCAATAATACAAATATTTTTGGTGAACATGTCGAAAAGGAGGGAAGACCATGATTTCAAATCGTTATTAATAAGGGGTCACGAAATAAGTCAAATTAACACCTGAGGTTTCCTTAACTGTTGGTTCAAAGACAACGTTAATAATTATCAACTTTCCAGTAGGTTGATTTCTATTAGGATACAATAGTAAGCTCAGAAGAGCCCAGTTCAGCTCTCCTATAATCGAAGGAGGCGATATTTTTTTAAACAATATTATGGATTGAAATGTCTTTGTTCTTTACGAAATAGGTAAGAAAAATAATATTGCATTACATATTTAAAAAGATTAATATTCTCATTGTATATCCTTTGATCCATATTATGGGATAACCTTGCAAGTATATTTATAAAATGTCCTCTATTTTACTTACTTATTCTAGATAATATAAAAGTTATACAGGGCTACAAAAAGTAAGACCAAGAGCTGAATACTTCTCAAAGATATCTAGTTTATATATTACTGTAAGTTTTGCTTAGCAGCATATCATGTAACTATACTAATACGACATTGTATATTTTGTTACAGTATGTTACTGGTTGTATAGCACTTTATAACATGTTGAGTATTCCCGAGCAACACTTTCAATAAGAATATACTGGACCTCTTCAGATTATCCTAGAATGTTCTATTAAATTCTTGATTACTGTTAGAAATTATTAGGAGGGCAATTATAATGCAAAGTGCTAGCATTGGAGAATATTGCGTCTATGTTATAATGGCAAAGGAAAAATGGGACATAACTAGCATGCCCACTCGATTAAATGAGAAGAGTATATTAACGACCAAATTACCATTTAGTATATGAAGAGAACAATATATGATCCAGATATTGACCGATGTTCTCACCTCTTGTATGTATTTAATAATCAGATTTAAGATGTGGACGATTTAAGTCTTTCTCAAGTGTAATAAAAGGTTTTTAATATCTCTAAACAGTTACTAGCCATATGGACAATGAAAATATTCAATAGTTATATTTTACTCTACTATTTTGACTTAAATTTCCAGGATTAGTAATATCTAGAATAATCTACCACTGTTCAATGTACAATACTGCAATACGAAGTTTTTTACCAAAATATTACGTAAAAACTATTAATTGAATTAACACACAAGTAAAATAAGAAGTAAACTAGAATTGACCCCCCTTTCGATTATCACTTAGTAAGCTGGGTGCAATTAGAAATAAATAAAAACATATATAAATGAAAAAATCTGAACTCACAATCTGAGTTTGGTTCTGATCGATCTATAAATTAAATAATAAAAAAAAACACTAACAAATTTTAGATCAAAGTAACTAACAAACTTGCTTAATAACTACAATCATCTTCAAAGTAATCAATCCTCAAATCAATATTATTTAATTATAACTACTCAATCAGAAGCCAACACCAATATGTCAGCGTCAGCTCAATTCCAAATCTGTGTTGTCTAAATAATACAATAAAAACAACTGACAATAATTATACATTCATATATCTATAATTTTGTTCTACCTTCGGTATTCTCTCTTAGCCAATTACGTTCCAGTAATATCCAATATTGCTAACTTGAATACTAATTATACTTTTTCAATTTCAAACTTAAGTATAAAATTTGTTCCAATAATGTGAATTTCAGCCATGCATTGTTTGACTAGAAATAAAGGAAATAAGTATTAATAATGGCTGTGTAACTACGGAAATATGTTTGTTCTCTTGTCCGTTACTGCTTGATAAGTTATTAATAATATGTGTATTATTATTCGTTATATATTTGATGCATATGATACAGCTATCTCTCTATATGTTATATATAAAAGGATATAATGATATTGAGAATCTGTTGCTCTTATATCTGGTTTATCCTGTAATTATCGATTGCCGCGTTGTTATTTGTTGATAAACGTACACGATGATATAAGACATCACAATGGTGCGGCTAAGCCTAAAAGGGTCAACCAACAGAGCCAGTAAACTGCTATTGTTCGATTATTTGTTTTTCGAAAAAAAAATATTGAAAAGGACTGCCTGCTTCAGGGAAAATAAACTTCTAACAAATAGCTTCCGATATAGTGTAACGGCTATCACATCACGCTTTCACCGTGGAGACCGGGGTTCGACTCCCCGTATCGGAGTATTTTTTTGATCTAATCTCCTAATATTTTTTCTAGAATCGATTCATCTTCCAAACGTTGCAATTCTTTGAACCTTTCCTTTTCTTCTTTGTGTACTTCGTATTTTTTTAAACTTTTTTTTAGTTTAGCCTTTTTATTTTGTTGTTTTAATTGTCTTAATGCTACGTCTCTTGGTGTCTCTTGTGATCCATTAGATATAGATAATTTTGCCAATTCATATGCCATTCTTTCTCTTGCATCCTTCCTGTTTTGATCTCTAGATCTAGTTATTTGACTTGTTACCACAATACCAGTCGGAATATGCTTTAATTGTACTTTAGAATTCGTTTTATTTATCTTTTGGCCCCCAGCACCACTACCACCATGAATGAATACTTCAGTACAATCATTTTCCATTTGTGCAGTGAACTTCGGTCTTGGGGGAAGATGATTTCTCTTAATTCTTAGGATTGCATTGGAAGTTAGCGATCTACGTATAAGCGAATACATCTTCTTATAATATTTTGTTATTATATTGAAACAATTACCGTTATGCTACGTGTAAAGTCTTTCCCCTTTAATATTTTTATCGCTTATTTTTTTATACACTTCTCCCACCCTTTTCTTTATTTTCTCGGTATTGTAGCCCTGTTTACACCACCTTTTTTTTTTGGCGTTCATAACAATTTTTTGATTGAGAGAAGATCATCTTTTTAGTCACACATTGTGATGCTTATTTAAACATTGGCACTATTTTACTGAAACAATTTAGATATGAGTACTTCGGCTCACTTATAAGGGTTTACAGCAATTGGGAAGGAATCACAAGATAAAGAAAGAGGCAAACAAATTCACAAAAGAAGCATAGATTGACAAGTCGCTATTGTTACCTTTCAAGTACAAATACATATATATCGTATCATATTATTCACAATGCGATGATCTTAAACAGGATAATATCAGGAATTTCTAGGAATTTCTTCACTGCTAGAAATGCTCGTAAATTTACCCGATATACTATTCCATTACCTCCACGTAAAATCCATACAAGGACTGAAGGATATATACGAACTTTCCACACTGGAACTGACAATACAGGTGTAGTACAAGAAAAATCGATGTTATTGAAACATCCTAAATCAATCAATAGTACAATTAACATTAAGAAACCAAATCCTCCTAGTGAGGATATCACTACAAATAATGTAGAGAATACTGAAAAACCTCCAGATTTAATAAAAACATTATCTGAACAATTAATTGCAGATACTAATTCGAATACTCATAAACCTACCATGGCGGAAAATGAAGTTGATACAATGGATATAAATACTCAGTTGTTAGACAATGGATTTTCAGATATACAATCACAAGCGATAATGAAAGTTATGATGAATATTTTAAATGATGAATTTTATTTGAATTATAATGATAAATATTTAAGAGATTTTGAAATTGATAAACAATTACATTTATTTAATTCATTACAAAGTGAAATAAAATTTATAATTGGGAATTCTAGAGATTCTCAATTCAATTTACATCATTTACAAATAACTAGATTAAAGAGAGATTTGAACTCTGATTTAGATGATTTAAACGAAGAAGTAATAGATATATTGGAGAAGGATAGAAAACTTGATTTTAATAATCAAAAAGTGGATAATACATTATTATATAGAAGAATAAACATGAGTTTAAGAGACTGTAGTAATAAGATATCTATAAATATCTTAGCTGGGATAAAATTGGAGATCGAAAACTTAAGATGGCACACAACTAGAAGTGGGTTGGTTGCGATTGCTATATTAGTATTTCTCATCTTAACAGGTGTCAATGTTTCCAATAAAAAATCTAACAAAGATAACGAAGTGACCGACCATGAGTTGAAAGAAGTAGTATTAAAGACTATAGACCCAGAAGATATCGATGAGAACACCGAAAATATATAAATATATATATATATATATTTAGAAAAACTGTTCATACTTACAACTAATATTATAATTTATTCTTATTCTTTCGAGCAGCTTTCTTCATATTTTTCAACTTTTGAAATCTACCTTGTGGTATTCCATTTACCCAAAATTTTAAACCACTATTAACTTCCTTTGTATTAATTAATTCTAGTTGCGAAACTAGAGATTCATCCTTCAATAACGCTTTCATTTTAAGTACAGTAGGTAAAAAAATATTTTTAGATTTTTGTTTAAGTTCTTGAATCATCAATTTATTAAAAGTTTCAACAATTTTTTCCTTATCATTATTATAATCGATCTCTAGCTGATGATAATTGATATGTGATTCTAATAAAACTGATCCTTGAATCTCATACCCATGAACTTTTTGTGCAAATAATAATTTTTCAAAACTTTTATTTCTACCTAATTTATTAGGTAAAGTCCATGATACCGAACCCTCATTAGATAAACCTAGAGTACTAAATGGAAATTGGAGATAGGTTTCTTCAATATTCATTGCATAAACTAAATCACACAATAATACAATTGCAGCACTCAACCCAATAGCTGGTCCATTCAAACAAGCGACCAATATCTTATCATGCCTAATAAATGATTGAGTAATATATTGGTTCTTACATAAGAAATTTTCTAGCCATTTTTGTATTACTTTAGGATCTAAATTTGGATTTATACCATTTTTATCAATGATATTAGGTGGGATAGAGTTAAAATCAGCACCACTTGAAAAAAATCTACCTGAACTTTCTAACACAGTGAAATAACAATCCGGGTTATCACTTGATAACTCTAATAAAGTAGTCACATAAATATAGTCATCATAAGTCATCGCATTTAACGTTTCCGGAGACTCAAATCGTATGATGAAAAAGGGTGGTTCTACTTCATAGCTAATCTTTTGCTGACTGGTCTTCATTTTGTCACAGATATTTAGTTTTTAACAGAACTTAAAAAGGACTGAAATAGTTCATTCGACGTTGCTCAATGGTAAAGCTCTCCATTTCTCTCAATTTATATTCCTGTCTTTATATAAAGATATTTATAAAAATTGGAGATATCCTTTACTGTATAGCCGCCGCCGCTGCCATTTTTTGTCTCCGCGAATTTTCGGAGTTAGACAAACGAATTCCGACTTAAGTGGAAGGAAATAACATATAAATAGAAAGAACTATCTGCATCTTTAAAGGTTGGCCACACAATTTAACTAGTTGTACATTTCCGAGGGATTATGTAGAAAACTGTAATATATATATATATATAACAAACTTTAGTGGAAAAATGTTCTGAAGTTAAAGTACGCTGTTTTTAAGAATTTGTCGATGGTTGTTCTACGGTGCTTCCGAAGTATCTTACCAGGTAACATATAATTTTACAAGGTATCATTGACAGTTACACATGTGACCTCCTTTCAAGTATACATGTAGCCTCCCCTTTCCAATTGCTTAGCAGTGTCCCTCTTCTCCATCACTTCAAATTAACATAACAATTTTCTTATATTTATGGTGATGCTCATCGCTTCCTGAAAAAAAAAATGACAACAACGAAAATAATAAAAATTTTCAGTAATTGAACTGTGAGGTTGAAGATTGTACTTGGTAAAACAGATGTGAAAGACAAACAAGACTTTAATATCGTGTTGTAATAAACTAATACCAGTCTATCATCGGTTTATGTTTGACATAGTTTTCTGAAAAAAACACACCCAAACAAACTACTTAAGAATATGTCTGATATTGAATCATTAAATGGTGCATTGTTCGAGGAACCAGAGGATTTCCGCCCACCAGCTCCAAAAGAACATTTTGTAACATATACTAGAGACTACATAGCTCCAGAATCAAAATCTCAAAAGAAAGATATTGAATTGAAATTAGTTGGTAATTCACCACTATGGGGTCATCTATTATGGAATGCCGGTAAATACACAGCCCAACATATAGACAAACATCCCGAACAAATCGTCGGTAAGAGTGTATTAGAATTAGGTGCCGCAAGTGCACTACCATCAATTGTAGCAGGTTTAGTTGGTGCTAAGAATGTTGTCTCTACAGATTATCCTGACGCTGATTTAATTTCCAATATTGAACATAATTGCAATGGTTTAGATAATGTTAATGTGCAAGGTTATATTTGGGGGAATAGTTATAATGAAATCTTAAAATTAAATAATAATGAAAAATTTGATTTTATTATATTAAGTGATTTAGTGTTTAATCATACTGAACATCATAAATTATTAAAGACAACAAGGGATCTTTTGAAAGAAGATGGTAGAGCTTTGGTTGTATTCTCTCCACATAGACCAAAATTATTAGGTGATGATTTAAAATTTTTTGATACAGCAAAGGATGATTACAATTTTAAGGTAACAAAGATAGAAATGGTTAATTGGAAACCAATGTTTGAAGAAGATGATGAAACTATTGAGATTAGATCTCGTGTATATGCATATTATTTACAATTATAATTGAAATAACAGTAATTTTTACTGATTTTATAAATAAACAAAAATTGATATATATATATCTGTAATTAATTATTTGTGATTATTATTATTTTTTGTAATTATTTAAAGTTATGTAAATGTTTATATTAATGATTTATATGATAGTCTTTATGAATGAACGTTATTAAAAAAACATATATGATGAATGAATGGTAAGAAAAAAGTACCCGAATTATCGTTAAAAAAGAATGTTTGAAATGTCAAGTTTGTAAATTTGCGAAGTCTTAGTTTAGAATTTACATGAACTGTACCTTTTGATCTGTGAAACCACATTGAGTTAATACTGTGTTATCATAATCATAAGCGTAACATGTAGTACCTGCGGCACATGGAATGGAGACCCATGAACCAAAGTTACACATGGCAAAGGAACCATCTGCAGAACATGCAAGTTCACCATCTGTACAGGTAGACTGACCATTATATTGACCTGCAGCATATTGAGCGTTTAGATTCTTTGCAATGGTATGAGCTGCAGAATCTGTAGATGTAGATGCTGTAGTGGTAGTAGAAGTAGCAACTTGAGTAGTGGAGGTGGCGGCAACAGTAGCCATGGTAGTAGCCATAGTAGTAGCAGTGGTAGCAACAGCAGCAGGTGTACTAGTAACGGTAGTAGCGGCGACATCTGCTACAGTAGATTCATCTTGAGAACGACTTCTAGCGGATGGGCTATCAACATTCTTACCTTCAGTAGCTGTAGTTGTAATAGCATCATCAGCATTTTCAGATGTAGTTGTTTCTTGAATAATAATACTAGATGTAGTGGTAGTTGGAATGTAACTAATAGAAGTCATAACAACGCTGGAAGTGTCAACTGGAATATCTTCAGAAGTAATGGTGGTGACAGTGTTATCTTCAGAGGTAGTAGAAGTGGTAGTGGCTGGTTGTAAAGTAGTGGTAGTTCTAGAAGCAGAAGAAGCAGAGGAAGTAGAAGCAGAAGAAGTAGAAGAAGCGTTATCATCTAAAATGGACTTAACAGCATGGATATAAGTTTCACCATCAATGTTATTGTTGAAGGCTTGAGAAGCATCCCACAGTGAAATACCACCAAAGTTACTGAAAGTAGAGATTTGTTCAACGGTACTCTTTAATACAGAGACATCAGAGATATAACCTGAACCTGCGGCGGTAGCAGAACCTGGTAAACCTAAGTATAATTTAATGTTACTGTTTGGAGAAATATTTTCAGCGTAGTTGACCCAAGTATCCCAATTGAAAGTAGCTTCAACGTTACAATAGTTGTTATAGAATTGAATGAATGCGAAATCAACATCAGCGTTAGCTAATAAATCACCTACGGAAGCATCTGGGTATGGACATTGTGGAGCAGCAGAGATATAGTATTGTTTAGAACTAGTAGCAAATAAAGTTCTTAATTTGGTGACTAAAGCAGCATAACCGACGTTATTATTATTTTCAATATCGAAATCAAACCCATCGACGATTGCGGAATCAAATGGACGATCAGTGACACCAGTACCCTCACCAAAAGTATCCCACAAAGTTTGAGCAAAAGTTTCAGCTTCAGCATCATCGGTAAAACCGTAAGCACCACTGGCACCACCTAGGGATAATAGAACCTTCTTACCCAGGGATTGACAGGTAGTAATATCAGCAGCAATTTGAGAACAATGTAGTAGGCTGGAGTCATCAGAGAAAGTTTCAGAACAAGCATTAGCAAAATTTAGTGTAATGGTTGGGAAGGCATCAGCAAAGGATAGTAAGAAAATATCAGCGTCCGAAGATTGACAGTAAGTGGCCAAACTTTCTTGGGAACCTTGAGAATTTTGACCCCAGTAGACAGCAACATTATTTTGAGCATCATTATCGAATGCGTATACTAGTGAGCGAAGTAATATAATTGTTGTAATTATAAGGAATTGTGTTTGTAGCATTGTGTTTTTTAAAAATATATACTTAGAATTAATTGAAATGTATGTTATGTGATGTAGTTAATCTGAGAAAAAAACGAATGTAATAAAATATGGAAGTGAAAGACAATTAGTTGGAGTAAATAAGCCTCAAGAATGAATGGATTGGGCTATATTATTATTATTTTAAAACAATTTGTTTTGAAATAAATGAATGTAATAATTAATAGAATAATCGAACGAATATGTTTGTTGTTGTTATTAAGTTATTAGATAAGAAATTAAAAATAAAATAAAGTAATTTAGCAGAAAGAGAAAGTTCAATTAACAACATCAACTGTTCCTTCGATATCCATGGCTCCTTTATATATATATTCAGTTTTAGCCATAATGCTAGTTCTTGTTGGATTACATAGAGTCCTTTGCAATTAAATTATTTGCTATGTCGAACAAACTGACTCTAAAATGATACTCATATGGGTAAATCACTGCACATACCATAGTGTATTGTTATAAAAACGTAAATAAAAACAAAAAGAACTTCCCAACCCCAAAATGTTTTCTGTTTACATAACAAACCTGAAATGTAAACAATTCGAAACGAAAACAATGTATTAACTAATTCATTTAATAAACCTGTTTACTGTCATCTCTTACTTTATCTAAATTATTGACACCTCGACCATATGAAAGAAAAGCTCCACATCGCTGCGCAGCCCAATTGCCCGCACTAAAAAAATATTAGAACGAAAGGCTGCGCATTTTCCTCGATATTTTCCGCTGGTTAGACAGAAATCTCCACCAAAAGAAGATTTAACCAGCAGAAAAAAAGCGAGGAAATTTGGCTGCTACGGCGACGCGCAGCCAAATGGTTGACTGGGGGAGAAGGGTAAAGGGCCAGAACTAGATGAGAGATTTTTGGTGCCAGCAAAAAATTAACAGTAAACAATTTTAATTACAAATTAGATATTAAGATGGAAAGAGTGTTGGTAACGTGCCAAGAATATTTAAAAATACTAAGTATTAATAGATTAAAGAAATTTGCTTGTCTTGTATGAATATAAATCATGCCTTCAAAAATGATGTATGATAGATTTTTGCAATATCACTCATGTCACATATATGATAAAACAGTGTCACACGAGGTTAATAACACAATCAAATACATATTATACATATTCTTGTAGGTTGGTAATCATACTTTTAAATAAAATCATGAACTTGGTTATTGCAAAAAGTTTAACAAAAATATGCATGTCGCAAATTTCCAAGATATATATATGTATCCAAAACAGAAGAAACTATCCATAAAAACTGTGGTAATCTGTTCAAAAACAATTGTCATAATTAGCATGCATAAATTGAAACTTCTTTGCAATTAATGGTATTCTGATGTGATGACATAATGAGAAATTAAAAGTAATACGCTGACTAATTTTTTTCTTGGAAGAAAACATATCATCTTGAACGAGATGGACTTAATGCATATATATTGCGGGAATATGCATTTCACTGACTAAGCAAACAAAAAAGTGAAAAATATTCAGTAAGCAAGAGAAACTGCGCAGAGAAAAAAACAGCGCATCTAGAGTGTGAAACCTTTAAAGGGATATTCTTTGTTACAAGATGAGCTCTGGCGTTTAAAAAGATCTCATTACTATCAGAAAAACCAATTTAATCTTGCAATCCTGATTAATAAGTACTATTTTCATCATTAGATAAATACGATACATCTTTTTTACATACATATATAAACATCAAATTTGTTTAGAAAATCTTTGGATCTGTTATTCTCTAGCTGTTTCCAAAATACAATCTAGAAACACAAAACAAAAATAAAATTATCAATTTAATTAACCACTAAACTACAAAACAATGTCTAAAGATATCGTATCATTTAACGACACAATTTCTCCAGATCATCCTATCTATAAACCAGAAAAGGGTAGATACTGGCTGTATATTGGCGGTGGTTGTCCATATGCTAGTAGAGCTCTAATTGCAAGGGCCGTAAAGGGTCTAAATAATATCATTGGTGTCTCTGTAACTCAATGGATGTTAGGTGATGAAGGTTGGAAGTTTTTACAAGCTGACCCTAAAGAAATGGGTGACAATGCTTATAAAGTCGACGGTGGTGTCAGAGGGTTTAAAGATGATACTTCAGGGCCAATCGGTGATCTTCCTGACGATTCTTCCAGATTATTTATTGATGGATCCTTCGACCCAAACTATGGTGTAAAATGTGTCAAAGAGCTTTATATGATAAGCAATAAAAATTATAAAGGATCATTTTCTGTACCAATTCTATGGGATTTAAAGACTAAGACTATAGTTAATAATGATAGTGGTGAAATCATTAGAATTTTGAATTCTTCGTTTAATGAATTCATTGATCCACAAGATGCTGAAAAGAATGTTGATTTAGCACCAAAGGAATTAACTAAAGAATTAGACGCTTATAATCAATGGTTGGGTCCAAATATTAATTATGGTGTCTATAAAGTTGGTTTAGCTAAGAGTCAATCCTTATTTGAAGAAGAGACTATAACATTATATAAAGCACTTGATGAGGTTGAAAATAAATTGAAATTAAGATATGAAAAATTATCAAAGGAACATAATTCAGAGAAAGAAATTTTGAAAAGATTTTACTTATTTGTAGACCATATCACTGATGCAGATATTAGATTATTTACTACTATGATTCGTTTCGATCCAGTTTACAGTTATCATTTCACTTGTAATTACAAATTGATAAGAAGTGATTATCCATTTATCTCAAAGTGGTTAAAGAATCTATATTGGAATCGTTCAGGTTTTAGGGAAACTACAAATTTTGAACATATTAAGCTATTTTATACACGTTCAAGAAAACTTCGTAACACTTTAAGTTTGACTCCATTAGGTCCAGAACATGATATCCCAAGATTATAAGTTGGAAACGTGCTTTTAAGTCGTTTTTTCTCTTCTTTTTTTTTTTTTTAAAAAAATTTGTTACGTTGTTATAAATGGTGATATATTTATATATAATATAAGATATGCAGAAATAATAAATAAATACTTTTAAATTTTAATTTTCAAAATATTTAGCTTCCCAGACGTTGATCCATTTCGATTTCTTAACATCTTCATCATTTAATCTTTTCATGACGGAAATAATTGATGTCAGGCTTTTATTCAATAATTCAATTTGTTCCTCAAAGTCGCTGGATTCAAATGTAGATTCTGTCATAAATACATCCCCTATCAGTTCATCAATATTTTGTGTTATATTTTGATGTTGTGAATATAAATCATCAAGGATTGATCCCTTTTTATTCGTAGATTTATAATTACTAGAAGATATAGTGGAAGTAAATGACGATAATAATAATTTAATCATTTTTAATTTGGTTTTCCATGTCTCTAAGAACTTCGAAAGTTTTTCCAATGTTTCTTTATCATCTTCAATAATCTTTGGAGTTTCTTCTTCTTCATCTTCATCCGAATCAAATCCATCATCTAACATAAACCCATTACCCAATGTAGGCTCTTCAAGAAACTCGTCCACTTCACTTAATACGTCATCAACTAAACCACTACTTTCTCTAATAGAATCTGCAAGTAAACCAAATTTACCCTTCTTACCAATATCTTCAAGAGTGTCGCAACTACTCCAAATCATTCCTACACATAATAATCTATCCTCATCAGTGTCATTCTGTTCAAATTTTTTGTCTAATTCATCGCATAAAACCTCCATACCATTAAGCAATTCTAACGTCGCATTATCAATTTTCTTCAACATGTATTCTGGGTATTCTTCATCTTTATAAAATAACGGCAATAAACTGAAATAGAAGAAAACATAATCAATAAATGATTTCAATTCTTTATATGTAGCATTATAATTTTCCTCTGTAAAAGTTTCCGGATTCAATATAATACCAATCTTAGTTGTATGTGATTTGATAAGTTGTGAAAGCTTCACTAGTTCAGCACAGGGTGTAGAGTCCTGAATTTTAGTCCTCGATGAGATGGCTCGTAATGCATCAGTATTATTCTTATAAAGTGTTATAAACTGGTCTCTGATAGCCTTTTGAAGTTCCTTCAATTGGGTTGTGGTTATAACTTCTGTCATTTTGAAGCTCAATAGTTTGATTCTATATTTTCTAAGGAAGTTATTCAGTAGTTGAGTACGTCTATTCCAACTGCGATGACCTTTTTAATATCAGTATTACTATTATCTCTTCGAAATGCCACTAAAATAATTTTTCAATTTTTCATTTTGAGGGTAACGCGTACTTTTTTTCTCTGTCAATAGAGATATACATATATGTACAGTTGATGAGCTATTTGATGTCTTTCTGTACTTTATTTGAAGTAAAATATAAAGGTATATTTATTTCGAAAGATGATGAAATAGCACACACAAACATATATTTATATATATATATATATAAATAATTACACCTGGCATGGCTCTAACATAATACCAATCGTATGATCAATAGAAATGCAGAGTTCTGTAGTTTAATTAATATGAATTTTCTTTATTGGTAATAATGTTTTACTTAAAGAATATGTGAAGTAAATTATATTTTTGTTTATACAGAATTCAGAACATTTTTTATTCAATGATGAACCATCATTGTAGTTTTTTCATTCCATGTAGTTTGCAGTTAAAATAGTATTGTAGTAATAATGCTTGTCTTTAAAAAATTAATAATGTTAAATAATAATAAAGAGACATTACACTTATTGAGAGGATGGACCTGGGTTCATTCTTCTCTTACCGTTAACTAGAGTGACATTGACGAATCTTCTGGTGTACAAAAGTCTCTTGTAAGCTCTACCCTTTGGCTTCTTTGGCTTTTCAGTCTTGTCGACCTTTGGAGTTTGAGATTTAACTTTACCAGCACGAGCTAGAGAACCGTGAACTTTAGCCTGTAATAATAATATTCATGTAGATATTAATAAAAATATCATGTATATTTTGTTAGTAAAAAAAATTGAAACTTCTTAAATCTTTTGGACTTATTATTCAAACAAAGAACAAAATAACATATTCTCTCATATGTGATTAAAATGTGTCTAATCTTAACTCAATGAAATGTGAATACAATCCTTGCCACATTCATGACATCAACTGTTCCATAACAATATATCTCAGTTTAATATGTTCCTACTTTTCTATAATTTCTACAATCACCTTTTTTTGTTTAATTATGAATCTCCTTATTTCGTTCCTCTGCTTTCATTTCCATCCACAAGTTCGTTTCTAACATACCATTTTTGCTTATTTATGTTAATATGGTTTCCTATAAATGCTGTAAAGTAAAAATAGTTGTTTTTAACAAACCTGTCTTCTTAACTATGCATTCTCTTGTATTAGTGATGATATTATTAGTATGTGAGAAGTCTGTATGGTGAAGTGAAAATGAAGTGAAAAGGTGAATACAATAGTAAGCCCTATAATGATTTCTCTCGGACTGGCTGCGGAAGTAAAGTTCCATTTTTTGCGGAATTTAAATTTTGTTCGGAAAATGAAAAAATATGTTCTAGATTACTAGATGTGATGCACGGATGTTGTATTTGGATGTACGGATGCATATCAGTCAAATAAACGCAAGGGGTCACTAGGAAGACTCAAGAAAGGTCAGACTAAATTCGATATAGAACTTCAAATTAATTTAAGATTCATTACAAAATGGGTTTTTATTGGTATATATCTATGTGCTAAGAGACTTAAGGTAATCAGGGCAATGCTTTGGATCTAGTGATATAATATGATATGCGTCCCTTTTCTTCATCAGATGTATCACCCTGTAAAGCCCATTGGAATACACACGAAGAATCATGCGAAATCAGTAACATGGCTTCATCACATGCAAGATATAACTTTGAACAAACTTTCCAATCCTTGGCCCGTATAATAACCTCATTTAATAAATTATTATCTCGTTCTGCTTGTTCAACCATCCTTGATATATCTTGCAAACCATGTTCCTTAGAATTATCGTTACTGTAGTCACCCAGCATACTATTTTCTGCAGAAGATGAATTATGGCTAATCATGGCTTCACTATTTTCAATATTAAACATATCATCTTTCTCTCTTGGATCTAACGCTGAGTCAGTACCCGATGCTTGTTGTTGGGCCCTCGTTAACAGGGATGAAGGTGCTGTTGTTGGAAGAATTTGCTTCTTCTGGGAGGACTGCTGGGGTTTATCAACTGTTTCATTAGGTGTAACAGCATTAAAAGTTAGTGGTCCATTCCAACATATCTCTAAATACCAATGCAATTCGTTATCAATTATTATCTTTAACTGACCGTTATTTTGATCCTCATTTTCGTCCTCATCCTTGTTCTTTTTGCTGACACTATGCAGTCGAATATCGCGGACGTTTGAATAACGTTCAATTCTTTTCATGAAATTGAGGAAAGCTTGTCCAAACGCTCCTGTACTAGGTGGTAAATCATATAAAATTAATGAACCATTTTCGATACTTGGCTCAACTATTGATACATCTTGTACTTTGAATAATAATTTTACTGGAACTTTAAAATTATGCACTATACATTTAGTATTAGCTCCATTATTTGAATATGCTGAACCATTCTGTGCCTCATCACCATACGTTGCATTATTCATTGGTGCATTGTTTACATATACGACTTCTTGAAAAGTAATATTTAATATATGCATAGGATTTACAGTTTCTTGATCTTCATCCTGCTGAGTTACAGTTTGGTTCCATTGAGAACTAGGTATTAGTGATATCTTAAACTGTGTCGCCGTACCCTGACTAATGATCTTATCATATCTCTTAAAAGCAGTTAATAATGCATCACAATTGTACTCCATAGTCACAGTATTAAATTGTCTTATAGATGCTAATGTAAAAGATAAAAACATATCTCTAGGCAAATGACACCATAATTGATCTGTATCTCCACGCAGACTCGACGTGTTGGTACTATCAGTAAGGAACGCTTTAGAAGTAGATATTATCGTTAATCCATCATCAGTAAATCTTAATACAGCTGAATCTCGGAGTGACGCCACCGTGGAAACCGCTGTCCGGAGTAGCTTATAATCATCTGGTGATTGTTGATCGTTTAATATAACTTTGAGTTTCATAACCAAAGTATATGATCCAAAGTTCTCTATATTATATTACCTAGTAATTAAATAGAACCGTTCACTCTAAGTAGTTGTTAATAGATATGATTCGTTACGCGATGCCCTTCAAGTTCAGACTTATTTACCTTTTTATATTTGTATCAAACAAAAAATCCAAAAAGACACCGAAAGAGCGCTTACTTTATGAAAGACTGACCATCGAGATTCCCATACAAGACAATATTAACTAGGGGACACAAGTAAGAAATTTAAAATACTAAACAAAATTTATTATATAAAGACACCACTTTGGGACTTATCCATATTGATGAAGTATGCTACGAATATGGCATGTATCTAGGGTGACGAGAATAACGTTTCAGAGATTTAACCAGACGTTAACTAACAAAATCAACGCAGTTCCTATTGATAAATATAGGGTATTTTCTATTGTAGCTCATATCGATCACGGTAAATCGACACTTAGTGACAGATTACTAGAGATCACGGACGTTATTTCTGATACAGATACAAATGCTCAGGTGTTAGACAAATTAGAAGTTGAGAGAGAACGTGGTATCACAATCAAGGCCCAAACATGCACTATGTTTTATAAGGATTACTTATTGCAATTAATTGATACCCCAGGTCATGTCGACTTTAAAGGTGAAGTCAGTAGAGCATTTTCTTCAGTTGATGGAGCAATTTTACTAGTGGACGCACAAAAGGGAGTTCAAGCTCAAACAGTAGCAAATTTCCAAATGGCCAATGACTACGGAGTTAAGATGCTACCTGTAATCAATAAAGTTGATTTACTGAATGCTGAGGTTCAGAAAGTTGAAGATCAAATAGTTTCATCGTTAGGTTTTAGAAGAGAGGATATCGTCAAGATAAGTGCCAAGAGTGGATTGAATATCGAAGAAAAATTGCTACCTGCTATTATAAATTCAATTCCATCCCCAACTGGTGAGATCAAAAAACCATTCAGATCATTAATTTTAGATTCTTGGTATGACTCATACCTTGGCGTAGTTATGCTTGTGAAAGTAGTCGACGGAGAAGTGAAGAAAGGTGATAAAATCTCAAGTGGTCGAATGAAGAAGAAGTTTGAAGTGAAAGAGATTGGAATAATGTATCCAAATCAAACACCTACAGGTAATTTAAAGGCTGGACAAGTGGGATATATAGTTCCAGGTACAAAAGATTTTAAAGATGCATTACTCGGAGATACTCTAGTTCATGTAGCCCAAGAGAAGAAAACTGAACTACTGCCCGGATTTGAAGAACCTAAGCCTATGGTATTTGTAGGTGCTTTCCCTGCTGATGGTATAGATTTAAAGATTATGGATGATGACATTAACAGATTGGTGCTGAATGATAGATCTGTCACTTTACAGAGGGAAACTTCGAATGCCTTGGGTCAAGGGTGGAGACTCGGATTCTTAGGGTCACTTCATGCCTCTGTTTTTAAAGAACGTTTAGAAAAGGAATACGGATCAAAACTTATTATCACACATCCAACAGTACCTTATCTTGTCCAATATGACAATGGTGTTCAAAAAATTGTTAGAAATCCAGATGAATTCCCTGACTCAACGTCTAAAAATAGAACCAGATTAAAATCTTTACAAGAACCTTATGTGGAGGCTATAATGACTTTACCAAATGAATATTTAGGTACAGTGATCCAGCTATGTAACAATGCTCGTGGAGAACAAATTGAACTCTCTTATTTAGATGTCAGAGATTCTGTATTATTGAAATATCACATTCCATTATCCCAATTGGTTGATGATTTCTTTGGCAAATTAAAATCTGCTACCAAAGGTTTTGCTACTCTTGATTATGAAGATTGTGGTTATAAGGAATCTGATATTGTTAAATTAGAATTGTTAGTTAATGGGAGAAGTTTGGATGCGTTATCACAAGTTGTTCATAAATCACAAGTTGAGAAGATAGGGCGAGAATGGGTTAAAAAATTTAAGGAATACGTTAATTCACAGCTGTATGAAGTCGTAATACAAGCACGAGTCAACAATAAGATTGTGGCTCGTGAAACGTTGAAGGCTCGTCGTAAAGATGTCTTAGCAAAATTGCATGCTTCAGATGTTTCAAGAAGAAAAAAGTTATTAGTAAAACAAAAGGAAGGTAAGAAACATTTGAAATCTATTGGTAATATTCAAATCTCTCAAGATGCATATCAAGCATTTTTGAGAAAATAATCGTAAAGCATTCATGTATATATATAAGTAAAATATTTATAAGCAAGGTAAAAAGCATAAAACAAAGCAAGCCCCGAAACAATGGGTTCCCGAATCATTCTTATTTTCGTCCTGTCAGAAACTTATCTATCAAGCATATGCTCTAGGGTTAGTATACCGCTATACTTTTGGTTTGTGATTTTATCTACGAGCGATCTCCCTACTTGTTGGGTAGATATTGTAGGCCTTATTATGTCATTCATTATTTGGAACTGATTGCGTAATATCAATTTATTCGCACAGTTTAATACTTCCAACCCATCATGTAGTAAAGTTCTAACGTCGTTGAATTGCATAGTATTCAACTCATCAAACATAAACCCAGGTCGTATAATTATAGGTCTGAATGGATTTGTCACATCTTTCGCCATATCTAACAAATACAACTCTGCTCTGCGCTTAGAGTTGATATACTCCTTAGGGATAACTAAGAAACCCTTATCAGCAGATACATAGGTTAGTGATGGTTTTGAAATCAAATCGCCATTATTTTTCTCTAGAATTGTCTTGAATGTATCAGCTAGAATCATTGCACTCTTTGTATTTATTCTTTCATACGTGAAGTTTGAATTGTGCTTTTCTTGATCTTCTGAATTTCTTGGGTGTAACAATGGGTTCGGAGCCCTTTTAAATAAACTTGATAAAGTCAAACCATTCTTCAAATCTTTCTTGTAATTTTCATTCTCTAATAAGATACCGATGGTATCAACAACATTTGGTCTATCTTTCAAATAAGCAACATAGGTATCTGGATCAAATATATCTGCAGAATTCCACGATACTTCTTTTATCCAATGTTTGTCGTTGTTCGTTAAAGGAACTGGTGGTTTACCAGACCTAGATAGCCCCGTAACTTGCATTCCCTTAAGGACAGCTTGTTGACATATTCTTTTCCCTAAGAACCCATTTCCACCAAATACAACAAGTTTTTGGATAGTCATTGCTATACAATTCGATTTATGGTGAGTCAATCGACTATAAAAAACACTGATATTCTAGACGGAGAACGTATATTTAATGTAAATGTTCCCTCTTTTTCATTTATATACTAATGGCCTTATTTTACTTTTTTAAGGTACTTAAGTTACGAAAAAAAGCCCAAAAAAATGACAAAAAATTTATAGTATTTATTATTATTTCATTTATACAGTAAAGTTCTCTATAATTAGACATAAAATACCAACATTAGAGCTAATGAGATCAGTTATGATTATTTATAAAAGTTTTTTTTTATGCCAGATGATGCTAAAAGGTAAAGAGTTCTATCAGGATTGTGGTACATATTTAATACTTAAGCTTTTATTTTTATTTTTTTACTTTCATTAATATGTTATCATTTCTGTTTCCCATCCAAATGAACATCAATTTGTTTATAATTATCCCATGCAATTCTATAGATAAAACTTGGAGCAAACCCACCAATATTCGTAATGTATATATCTATATTTTCAGGTGGAACATAATCTGTAATCTTATTGATTGTATCCAAACGATTTCTTGGATCCATTCTTGGTAAAATATGTTGTGAACCACCAAATTCGACAAATTTCTCAACATTGAAAGGATATAATGGAGATAGTTTATAAAGACCAGCTACAGCAAACACTGGAGTCTTGAATTCTCTGGCACATTCACATACGGATGATACACCTGCAGATGAAACAATGGAACCACCATTGATAAAGACGGTTTTAGTACCAATGATAACTTTACCGACTCTTGACATTAATGCAAACACTGCGGAATCCGGAATGATAATAGTTTCTATATCATGTTGTGCTAATTTCTTTGCAAAATCATGAGCATTTTGAGTATTATTTGGGAAACCTTCTGTTACTAGAACAGTAAAAGTTCTGTTAGCACGTTCACGAGCTCTAATTAAAAATTTTAAAACAGTCTTAGATTCGGGCGTTGGTGTCAATAGGATTTCATGATCATGAATTAAATCGATAGCAATTTGTTGAATCCCATCATCAATATTTTTAATTTCATCTATCAAATCCTTAATAGCCTGTATTACAACTTGACGGAAATCTGTCTTTGTCTTTGATTTTGATTCATAAAAATCTTGTGAATTTTGTTCAGGTTTTTGTAGAAGATTAAACATAGAGGCAATCAAAGGCTCTGCTTGAGTAGCATTCCCAATAGTACTATTTCTATCATTTAAATTTGCTGCTGATGCGGAAGTAGACGATCCTGCATTTATAGATTCTCGCATATCTTCTTCAATTTCATCTCTCAATACAGCTAAAATTCTCTTGATAACATTTCCACAACCAAAAGCAGTTGGGTTTGCCTTCTCTAGACGATTTCCTAACTCTCTAATTTGAGCGATTAATTCATTGACGTTACTCCAACGAACCGCTGAGATAAACCGCTTCAATAGTTGTAAAGTCTCCAATGCAATAATGTATGATCCACTAATTTGTCTTCTCTTCAATTTAGCAATGAATGAGTCAATAGAGACTTCTATCTCTGTGACAGCATGAGGATTATTGTTATGAACCAACGAGGGCATACTTTGCGAGGACATGGTAGATAGTGATGTATATTATAAACTTCTGATTGATGTCTTGTCCACTCTTCACAACATATAATTAAATATCAAACCAATTTCAATATCGTCTCCTTTATATCGATGATGGTGATGGTGATGATTATGAAAGTTTCCCAAAATTCAATTTTTTTCAATTTTTCAATTTTTTTTCTTTTGGAATTTTTATTGCCACAGCCAGAAAGTGAGGAAGGGCCATGAAAAAACAAAAAATTGGTATACACAATGAATAGGTTTATAATATGTGATTATGACTGAATATTGAAAAATAAAAAAAGTAAATGTTATCGTAGTATATATATATATATATTGTGTATAAATTTATTTATTAATTGTCACCATTGTACTCTGCTAATCTTCTGTTGATTTCCAACATCAATGCTTTCAATTTAGTTTCATTTGGATGCAAACTTAATCCTCTTTCGCAACAAATTTTTGCTTCATCAAATTGTGATAATTTTAACAAAGCATCTGATTTTCTAATATACACATCTGCTTGATTCATCCCAGTATTCATTAAGAATTCTATATCTTGTAATGCATCTAAATAACGTCCCGTAATCAAAGATAAATCGATTTTATGTCTCAACATGAATTGAATCTCTTGTAATTGAATCCCAAAGGCTTCATAAGGTGCTCTACCACGTTGTGCCATATCTACAGCTAATGCAATATTTTTTAATGCTTCAGGCATTTTCTTCTGTTTTAACATAGCTAGACCACTTTCAAAGAGACTCTTAATCATCTTAGAATGTTCATCATTTGGTTGTGGAGTAAAATTTGGATTAGATTCTGCAATTATAGCAGCTGATAATTTATTAATTTGATTGATTGAAATTTCGCGAGTCTCTGTTAAATCAGAGTCCTCACATTTAATCAATTTACTGTTCTGGTTATAAAGTATAGTGGTCATTATTGTATGTTGGTCCGTCACCTAACTTGTGTTTTATATGTTAATTGTCTCTCTTTAATGTATTGATAATTTAACGTGTGTCTGTATTTAAATATTTGTATACGTATATGTGGATGATGGGTGTACGTGTTACCTAAAAACAATAAATTTCTTCTTTCGCTTCAAGCAGCGAATTTCCATTTCCCACATATTTTACAGTGGAAATACATATAAACGAAATTCTGAACAAAGGCATATATATATACATATATTGAAAGAGAGTGACTATTTTGGAATTTAATACATTTTCATATATTTATAATATATATATATACATGTACTTATATCTATATTAAATAAATAAATATATATATATGAATGTAAAATAGAAAATGATATCTATTCAGAACGGAAATAGTAGATAAAGAAGAAATGGATGAGAGTAAGAAAACTTACAAATCAGCATCATCTTCATCTGGTAATGGTAAGGCGGTAGCTTGTTCCATTTCTTGTTGATATTGTTGCATCAATTGTTCATCGACTTGAACTTCAGGTGGAGCCAAAGCAGGAGATGCAACAAATTCCAATTGTGGGTTACCAGCTAATTTTCTAGCTAACCATAAGAAAGGCTTTTCGAAATTGTAGTTAGATTTAGCGGAGATATCATAGTATTGTAGATTCTTCTTTCTGTGGAAAGTAATTGTCTTAGCTTTAACTTTTCTTTCTTTGACATCAACTTTATTACCACATAGTACGATTGGAATATTTTCACAAACACGTACTAAATCTCTGTGCCAGTTTGGAACATTCTTATAAGTGATTCTAGAGGTAACATCGAACATAATGATACCACATTGAGCATTAATATAATAACCATCTCTTAAACCACCGAATTTTTCTTGACCGGCAGTATCCCAACAATCAAACTTAATTTCACCAAAGTTAGTGTAAAAGGATAGAGGGTGGACTTCGACACCAATAGTAGCAATATATTTCTTTTCAAATTCACCAGTTAAATGTCTCTTGACAAAAGTGGTCTTACCGGTACCACCATCACCGACAAGGACTAATTTAAAAGTTGGGACTTCACCGTTAGCAGGTTGTGGAGCAGACATATTGTTCTTTCTTGCTAAATGATTGTTGAGCTATATTATGCACAAAAACAAAATATACAAAAACTAACCTTAAATCTAAATAATTTTTAATGTAAAATATATATCTATATATACTTGATATATAAATTTTAAAATTTATTGTTTATTTTGATTGATCCCATAACATCCTCATCCCTCTCACAATCTCCCTTTCCCTCTCAAAATTGAAATTTTTTTTGGTTTCTTCGCTCTGCTGAAAATTTTTTTTGGGTGGGTGGGTTTGTCGTTGTGTACGGCGTGATGCCTTAAGAACAGTTCTTTAACACCTTAAATTGCTAACCTTATGGCTCTCTATAAATGTTTGTTTTAATGATGGTCACTGCATTATATTATATTGGGTGAAATTAGTTGTAATCTTGTACTGTGATGCGGCTTGCAGGTGGAAGCCTCGACATGGGTTCCTCATTGATGAATGCGTTTCAACTCCCCTAGATTCTAGGTCTCTTACGATGGAAGTCTGAATTTGAATGTTCTTGTAAACGTCTCTTCCCAGTTTGCAATGTTGTCTGCATAATATTCCCACCATCGTTATATATAGTTTGTTTCGGCAAAGTATTACTCCATTGAGATAATATCATTGGTGGTGCCAGTGCGAATGTTGATGATGATGATGATGATGCCGCTGTTTGGTCTGCCCCAGGTCTTGTTTCGTTACGATTATAAAGATGATCTCTTGGTAATGTAGGTTCATTATCCTTATAAGTTTGTTGTTCTACATTTGCACGTCTCGGTAAACCTGTAGCCTTAACAAGTTCCCCAACATCAAATCTATTACTATCAATCCATACCTTACTATACCCGGGAGATCCATAATATATTGTATTTAAATATTTTGTAAATGTATTATTACTATCTTTCAATTCTTTTATGTGAGCTGCGAGTATTTTCCTTTGATTGCGTTTTTCTTTCGTTGTTGAACAATGTATCTTTGTCCTACTATCATCTTTCTCCTTTGGATTGCCTTGTTTCTTACGTTTATGACTCTTTGTTATCGATTCTTTATGTCTTTCAATTTGATGAGCCTGATTACGATAATAGTCTGCTGCAATACGTAAATGATTCTTTCCTACTAAATGTGACTTACGTACGCTTAACGTGTCATGTGTTAAGTACGAATGACAATATTCACAATAATACCTAGCCATCTGAAATAAACAATGAATATACTGTGCCCGAATCTACTTAGTTTAGTCTATATGTGTCCTTTGTCTTTGATGTGTGTGTTTGAAAGAAATCCATTCTTTTCAGTTTCCTTTCTTTTGTCTCGTTTTTTCTTATCTGGGCAGATACATATGACTTTACTGTAAACACAATTATATGCAAAATATACACATATACATACTGAATTGAAAGAAAAACGTGATAAAGATATGTCTTAAGAATAGTAAATCAATCGAATATGATGTTCACTACGTAAAGCCTATTATATACTACAATAATAATAACAAGACCCATCTATGCATTTCTCGGTCTGACAGACTACTCACATGGTCATCGAATCATTTCTGAACTGTCTCCCCTCAACCGTGCTCATATAAATGTACAGTAAATTACAACTGATCTTATATTGTAATTATGCACTGCAACTTACAAATAGCCATATGTATTACATAATAATAATTAGTCCTTCGAAGATAATAATTCTGACTAATAAAAATTAACTTCAACCGTTTTTGCGGGCCGTTCGGATAAGAAATCGCTTTTAGATTGTTAAGCCACACTATAAGATATAGAAAGTCAAAAACAATGGGATAATCAGTTACAAAAAAGTTTCTAAATAAATATATATATATATATTACAATTGACTTACTAGAAATACGTTTGGTTTGTTAAAGACACAAGGACATTAAATAATAGATTAACCAAGTTAAACAAAAATTTGTACTGTTATTATTTTAAGGATGAAAGCAGTTTTCTTATTTCTAGCAACTACGTTTGCAAACCCCATTTTACAAAGACCGTTTCATATCTCCGAGGATAATCATATTAAATTGCCACATGAATTACCATTTCATGATATAGATATAGATCCACTGGATAGAAAACCTTCGATGTCTCCCGATCCTTCCTTTAGAAAAATTGGTCATGACTACGCAATTAGTTCGGATTTACAATTGTGTAATAATTTAACATTACATCAAATATTCCATAAATTTCCTAATGCAACAGCTGCAGATGCAGCTGTAACTCTGACTTTATGTATTGGGATGGTTAATTTTTTTAACTCCGGTATTGGCGGTGGTGGTTATATTACTTGGGCTGACACTACACATAATGATTATATGTCAATGGATTTTAGAGAAATGTCACCAGCAGCAACAAATCCAGATTCATTTACAGAAGATTATCAAACGAAGATTGGTGGATTATCGATTGCAATCCCAGGTGAATTGAAAGGGTTATATGAATTTTTTAAGTTAAAAGGTAGTGGTACAGTAAGTTGGCATGATTTATTAAAACCTGTTGTTGATTTAGGAAATAAAGGGTGGTTCATCGATGAAGCATTAGCTGCTACATTGAAATTATATGAACCAATCTTTACAACTGATGGAATTAAAGATGATTGGTCCTTTGTTCTCAATGGCGATAGTACCAAAGTCTTAAAGAAAGGTGATCTTATTAAAAGACCACGTTTAGCCGATATGTTAAACGTTTTAGCATTAAATGGTTCAGCAGATCCCTTCTATGATCCAAACCATTGGATTGTGAAATCAATGATTAAAACAATTAAACGTTATGGTGGTGTGGTGACTGCGGAAGATTTCGATCAATATTCTGTAGATATTATGGACCCAATTAGCATAAAATTAAGACATGGATTCCAATATAGTCCCAATAATGATATTACTCTATTGACTAGCGGTGGTACTAGTAGTGGAGTAGCATTAGGTGCGGCATTAAAATTGATGGATAAATTCCCAAATCAAGAAGGTGGAGATTATCAAGATGATACTACATATTTATTAATCGAAGCAATGAAATGGTTAGCTAGTGCAAGAAGTCATTTAGGTGATACGGGTCACACAAATACAACTTTGGATGCACATGATCTATTATTATCCTCAAATTGGACTCAAAATGCTTACGATAAAATTTTACAAGGAATTCATCTCGATGATAGTACCGGAGAAACCTATTACAAGACAAATAACGATTGGAAATTTTATGAACCATTATATGAAATTAATGAGCCTCATGGAACAACTCATATGAGTATTGTTGATAAATTTGGTAATGCTGTTGCCTTAACCTCTACTATAAATTTGTTATTTGGATCTTTAGTTCATGATCCATTAACGGGTGTAATATTTAACAATGAAATGGACGATTTCGCCCAATTGAATAAGACAAACACTTTTAATTTGACTGCATCTCAATTTAATTTAATTCAACCAAATAAGAGACCTTTGTCATCAATGACTCCAACGATTATATTAAATGAATTGGGACAAATCGATTTTGTTGTAGGTGCATCAGGCGGATCTAGAATTGCTACCTCTGTGTTTCAATCTATTGTAAGAACTTATTGGTATAATATGCCACTATTAGAGACTATTGCATACCCACGTATGCATCATCAGCTGTTACCAAATGAAATAGAAACAGAAGATATGGCTATGGTTGGGCATGAAACCATTGAGAATTTAAAACAAATGGGTTATAATATAGTTCAACATGCACCAAAGAGTGTCATTAATGCAATTAGAAGAGTCAATGGTGAATGGCATGCTGTAAGCGATTACTGGCGGAAACGTGGTATTTCAGCAATCCTATAAAACTCGTATGACAGTGGTCCGACACGGAAATACTGTCCAGTAATTTCAAGGATGGTAATTATGTAAGCGAATGAAAATTTCATTCCGCGTCAAAATAAAGTATAGTTTATATATATACACACATCTCTCTCTCTATATATATAGGGGTTGGAATGAATGATTGAATTAAATAACGTTGTTAGTTTATAGACATATTTATATTCTTTTACCCAATTGAATTACCCAAGTACAAATATATATCACACTAATTTTTACCAGAATGCCTGCTTTATTGAAAAGAATTGCCTTCGAAGTCAATGGTTCTTTATTAGAAGAAACCAACACCATCACTTCTGAATCAACAGATGGTCATTATATTTCTTTACGTCCACTATTACACCCAACTAAAGAACAAACTGCCTTCCCATTCGAATGGGCCTTTGCTGGTACAAACAAAGATATTACTGTCTCTAAAGTCTCTGAGGATACCGTCAAGGAAGATTTCTTATTTGGGTTTGACTCAAACAAATATTTACATATACCTAATCAACATGAGGGTCCTGTCGAGACATACTGGAAAACTATTCACAATGGTGTCAGAGAGGAAACAGGTGAGATTTTCCCAATGGGTAAGGCTCAACCAGGTGTCAAATTCATGGAAATGTGGCAACCAATTGATTTTTCAAAACAAGATCTAGTTATTACCGATGGATCAGTCACTAAAGGAAGATCTGTCACTTTAAAGATTGATACCGCAGAATACTTCGGTTTGATCATTGTCGTTGGACAATGGATCCAAGGGTTCCTAAGTAAGAAGGGACAACATTCCACTGAAGGTCTAAGTTTTATCAGAGCCTTTGAAACTAGTCAAGGTACTGTGAATACTCTTGTCAAGTACGGTAGTGATTTCAGTAAGTTCCCAACTTTGTTTGACGCATTGAGTGTTGGTACCGTTGTTGATGCTAACGGTGCCTCGTGGGAAACACTAGAGGCCCACTATTAGTTATAAATATAGATAAATAAGTATAATATAATCGAACTTTTTATCATCCATCACCTCCTTCTTGTAATAAAATCCACTAACAATGTGTGGAAATTTACCCGGAAATTGCCTTTGAAATTTTTTTTGGTTTTTGCCTCAGGCGCAAAGCAAAGCAAAAAAATCTTTCTTTGAATAATTTCCTGACATCCTTTAAGGATCTTTAATCAAACGTTGATAAAAGAAGCTATTTCGACCTTTTAAGATTTTGATTGATATTCAATTGTTTCTCTAAGTTTTAAGCCATTTTCCCTTATTTTCTTTTTGGGATTGTTTATTTTTATTACTATTATTGTAATTATTATATATATATACCTACCGTATTGATACTATAATATATTATCGCCAAATTTTACAATGGGTGGAGCCTGGTTATTTATTCTAGCAGTTGTCGCTAACTGTATCAATTTGTTTGGTCAAGTACATTTCACTATTCTTTATGCGGATTTAGAAGCCGATTACATTAATCCAATTGAACTATGTTCTAAAGTGAACAGATTAATTGTTCCAGAAGCTGGTTTACATGCTTTAATTTCAACATTGATGTTATTGAATGGATACTGGTTTGTATTCTTATTAAATCTACCAATTTTAGCTTACAATTTAAACAAAATTTACCACAAGACTCAATTATTAGATGCTACTGAAATTTTCAGAACTTTAGGGAAACATAAGAGAGAAAGTTTTTTGAAATTAGGGTTTTATCTATTGATGTTCTTCTTTTACTTGTATAGAATGATCATGGCTTTGATTAATGAAACTGGTAGTGATTTTTAAAAAAAAAAAAGAAAATAAATAAATAATTATTAAGAGAAGAAAAGGGATATCTATATGAATAATTATTTTTTATATGTTAATTTTTATTCATATATAATTGTATATATACATACTTACATTAATATATATATATAATATTTTTGTTATCACGAACATTCATAGATAACAATACTTTTAAACAAAGAAAAAGGTATGTGTTAAAGAAAAATAAATTTAACAAGATATATATGTGTATAATAAATATTTAAAATTCATGTATTATGTGAGATCATAACAAAACGAAAAAAAAAAAAATCAAAAAAACAATAGAATAATACCCTAAGTGCAACATAATTTAAGTGAACTTTGATCTAGTCAAATTATGTTGTTTACCGGCAAAATTAATAGCAGCATTTTTCTTTTCTTTCAGGACAGCGATTCTCATATCAGATAAAACATTTTTAGCTGCATTTGAATGACGATAAACACCACCTGTGAATGCCTTCGTAGCGTCTTTACCTAAAGCAGATTTTAATAATGGTTGGCCACCTGGATGTTCTGTAATATAACCAGTAACGTCATGAACAATCCCAGAAATTATAACTAAATTATTATTTTCTTTTAATTGGTTTAAATAATCTTGTTTATCCCAGATAGGTAAGTCTGTAACATTTGGACCCCAATGAATTGAATTAGTATCCTTAGATAATTTTTTCTCACGTTGTTGAATTAAACCTTGATTAATTGTATTTTGTGAAAATGTCTTTAAATCTGATGCTAAACCAAATAAAGAAGTTGAATAAATTAAAATTTTTGTTGGATCATATTGATACCATTTAATTGCATTTCTATAATCTGTTGGAAATTCATGATGGAAATTATGATAACCCTCACCGAAGGTAACTAAAGCAGTTAACCAATTATCTCTTGGAGTTCTTTTATCATCGAATGGTTGAGTACCAATATAATGAGCCATTGAGTTGATACAAAAAGTTGCTTGTTGAATCATAAATACACGAATTAAACCTGCATAAACAAATCCACCAAGGTAATCGTTAAAGAATTTCCCACAAATTATAGTTGGTAGTACAAAAGCAGACAATAACATGATAATAATATAATGACGATGTTGAAAACGAACGATCCAGTCGTCGTTTAAATCTGAAATATCAGCTCTTGCTCTATATTTTGGATTTGGTTTTAAAATCATCCAACCCATGTGAGAGTAAAATAAACCACGACGTGCATCGTAAGGGTCTCTTGGAGTATCGGTATAACGATGATGAATTCTATGAGAATGACCCCACCATTTAATTGAACCTTCGACAGAAGCTGCCCCAAAAAATGCATATAATAATCTTAATGGCCAAGCAGCTGAATAAGATCTGTGAGACCATAATCTATGATAACCTGCAGTAATTGAAATACCACCAACACCATAATATAATATTGAAAATAGGAAAACGTTACGTTGTAAAGGTACTAAATTTGTTAAATATAATGACCAACCAATTGCTGGTAAAATAATTACTAAAATAATATTTAACCAATTTAAATGTTGATGCCAATTATTAATTGTCCAAGGTTGTTCAGAAATATGACGACGTAATTGAGAATTTTTCAAAGTAGCAGTTGGATCAGAATTATCTAATTGAGTCATTTCTTTTGAACCCATCATTGAACCAAATCCATTAACAACACGTAGTTGTTGTTTGTTCATACCTGTTGCTAAAATATTCGCATCTTTTAAATCAACCTCATCAAATTTTTCTATAAAAGTATCTGCTAATGGATCCGAAGGATACATAGTAGCAGTAGCTGACATTGTGTGTGTATGTGTATGTGTATGTGTATGTGTGTGTGTTTATACTGTAGTAGTAAAATGAATAAATATATATAGCTATAACATAAATAAATATACAATGATCAAAAGAGAGATAGTTCACAAAATACCATTATTATGTATCTATATATATACAATTTAATGGAAAATAAATAAAGGAAGAAGTCATTTGACTCAATACAATTGTGTACGAATTGTTGAGTGGACGACAATATATATTTAGCTTGAACTCTTTGTTGAATAGAAAACAAAAAACTAAATGTATATAGGAATGTGTCCCTTGCATATATATTACACCGCAATGCAAAAGATAAAGATATACCCACATACGTTAAGTGTATAGTGGCTGCACATTGAAGTACAACTAAAAAAAAAAAATTCTGTTGAGTTCCACAACTTTACTTGCCCTTATTATCATCATCTTCATTATTATCATTACCTATTTACCAGTTCTAACGAACTGATTACAATAGACACTGAGAATAAGACGTTGCATGCGGTATATTATAATTGAACCGATATATTTATTAAATGACTACTTTTCAATTAATTAGCAGAAGAACGGCATCGGTTGAATCACTTTAAATTGTGTGTCATCTGAGCTTTTCTTGTTGAGTTAATTTTTTTTTGCGACGTTTTCCATTTTTTGCATTTTGTCTGAGTGAGTGACACACGGGAAGAAGTAATCTGTGTTTCTTTCTCGGAGTTTGCCATTTTATCGTTCAGTCTCTGCTTCAGTTTCTGTTGAGAAGAATCGACATCCTTTGAAGTGTCTCGACTTAATGCATTTCCATTGAGTTAGTGAGGGTCTCGCCGATAGTTGCGGAAGGCTTACGCAATTTGTGTGAATTCCTTTTTATCTTTGAATTTTTTTTGTTGAGGGAAATTTTTCGTTTTTATGTTGTTGAAGCCGGCGATTGTTCGACTATTTCCGCTATTTTCGGGCCCAGCCGTGCAGTCACGTGTGTATCATGTGACAGGGAGCACGTGCCATTCACGTGGTGTAGTCACTATCTACGGATGGTACCCCACATTTCTCAAATTTCTTTTTTTTTTTTAAATTTCTTTTTGCATCTTTAAAGGCAGATTCTAGTTAATCACGTTTTTTTTTTTTT